TTGACCAGTTTGTTCCGCCAATATGATACAATTCCCCTGTCATTTTTTTTTCACAATTTAGAATTTAATGATTACCTAAATCTCTGAAATCATTTGCCAGATACCGTAGGTGTAGGTGATTTAATAATTTTCAGGGAAAATGCTAAAAATTTTAATTCATTTAAAGTAAACTGCTAATTTTATATTTGGCTTTTGGTCATAGATACAGTCATGTCTACATGCACGTAACTGTGATTTGCAAGGTCATAGTATGCCTCTCAAATATTCTCTGCTATATGAATATCTGAACTTTTTGTGCTTAGTCAGCTTGTTTTAGTTTTAAGCTGATAGGAGCATTGTGTCAACAAATTCTAAAATGTTATCAGTGTGTGAACTATTTATCTTGCAGAGCTGTGTCAGGTCATTTAAAACACACGCCATTCTCAATCTAATATTAGTGAATTCAATTTGACATATAGATGGATAGGGGCTGGAATATCCTGTGTTTAGTAATTGTGTATACTAACATCATTACTAGAAATGCCCTCTTTTTCATATTCTCAGCTGGTAAGTGGGCAGGTTCTCAGAATCAGTGGACAGGTTCTCAGGGTAAATGGGCAGACTCTACCTGAAGTTAGAATTCAAATTGGCCTAAAATTTAGAATTAACCCTTAATTCACTTTAAATTCTCACATTTTGGTTCCCCCTCCTCCGCCACCCTCAAGGCCCATGAAGGATTAAAAACCCTTTGTATACTCTTCCGATTCCAGCGCCAATCTCCCCCTGCGCTGGGTCAGTGCAATGCTCCACATTCTTTGATGTCATCTGACGGGGTGCAGGAGGAGGGCTAATGCGCAAATGCTGTGAGTGCATAAGCCCCCCCCATAGAAAAGCATTTAATCAATGCTTTCCAATGGGGATTTTACTGATGCTGGATGGCTTCGTGCAGAGTGTAAGGACATCCTGCGACCGACCTAAAGTCGTTTAGCCACAAGGAAGTGCCTCTAGTGGCTGTCTGATTGTTTCTCTAAAACTGCAATGATTTACATTGCAGGAGGAAGGGGGACAGGGACACTGCACCCACACCAATTTAATGAGATGAAGTGGTCCCTTTAATCCTGCAGCTGAAAACAATGCCGTTTTGGAGAAACGGCAATGTTTTCATTCCAGGGTTAAGATTGTCCACTAGAGGTGCTTCGTGCTGTTTCAGAGAGTTTAACTCAATGAAACGAGGCTGGACGTACTCACGCTTTGCTTGAGAATATCCAACGTCTTGCAAAACCCCATAGGGAATCAGTGATTCAATACTTTCCTATTGGGAACGTTTAATGTGCGCACGGTACTCCCTCACGATGATGCTGGAGGAGGTGGAGACAGAGCCAGCGTTGAGGGACCTCAGCACTGAAATCGGGTAAGTATTTATTTAAAGGGGTTTTAACCCTTTGATTGCCACATGGAGGGGGTCACGGGGCCAGACGGGCAGTCGGGCACTATAGTGTTAGGAATACAGCTTTGTATACCTAACACTATAATATGCCATGAAGCCACCCAAGTGACGTTCTCACTGATATGATCACGTGCATGAATACAGGTAACTATTTAAAGGTATACCTATGAGCCCTGACTAGGACTGCTTGCCTATCACATCTGATGAGTAACTATACAATATGACCATATGGATGAGTTGCTGAAAGAGTTAACATTTTGCAGGGTCTCTAGGGAGACTCAGGTAGACAATTCCCAGGTATATTGTGTCTAGCAGTCAGGGTTAATGCAGTCGCTAGGGGCCAGTGACCGTGGAGGAATAAATTAAACACAGCCAAACTTACTAGATAAATCCAGTGGCCTTTGTCCGATTGGAAGCCTCAAATAGTGACATTTCTGAGAAATCTATTAAACCAATGTCTCTTTTCGGACAAACGACCCTTCGGTCAGACCAAATCCGCAGGTTCTGTACTCCATATATTACAATTTGTACATGTGTAACATAATGTCAATATGTGTGCAAATAGTTTCTGTCAATCACTGTCATTTTGTTTTGAGCACCAGTATGTTCTGTAGCGCTGTACAATAAGTAAGCAAGACAGTATTATTATTATTTAGTATTTATATACTATTTAGTAATAATGTAAGAGGCAAGTTTATAACGTATCAAAAAGAAGACATAGATTGTCAGGACAAATAACAATAGCTCTCTCTCTATATATATATATATATACAATTCTTATATAAAATGCAATTTATAGCCAAGAATAGCCAAATTGGAAACATTTTGACAATTTAGCTATGTTTACATCACACTTATTTTGCAGTAAAATTAGCATTTCTGTGGTCAGTTCATCTTTTTTGTGTCAGTTTGTACTGGCTCAATCTTGGATTAATGAGGTAAGTAGTTTATCCCCAAAATGAATTACATCTAAAACCATAGCTGTACAGGAGTAGGACAGCTCAGTAAGCTAGTAGCAGTTTATACATAGTCTGGTTTATTGTTTAGTGAATTGGGTCGTGTGCAGCTTTCATCAGAAGTGTGGTCTGTGCTTGTGTGGTCCCACAGCGTAGCTTTCTGTCCTGGGAGGAGAGAGAACTCAGCCTAAATTGTGCATGCAGTGTATGGTTGCCACACCCAAAACATTAAAAATAATTAACACATTAAACCAGGAACTCTTGTTCTGGGTGCAGGATTGACAGCTCCGAGGGGCAGGCATCAGATTTTATAAATGCTGCAGTACTTAGCTACACTCAGACACATTACTGGGAGTATTATTGCTGTGGAGCTCTGTTATACACTCAGACACATTACTTTCAGTATTATTGCTGTGGAGATCTGTTATACACTCAGACACATTACTGGGAGTATTATTGCTGTGGAGCTCTTTATACACTCAGACACATTACTTGGAGTATTATTGCTGTGGAGCTCTGTTATACACTCAAACACATTACTGGGAGTATTATTGCTGTGGAGCTCTGTTATACACTCAGACACATTACTGGCAGTATTATTACTGTGGAGCTCTGTTATACACTCAGACACATTACTGGAGTATTATTGCTGTGGAGCTCTGTTATACACTCAGACACATTACTGGGAGTATTATTGCTGTGGAGCTCTGTTATACACTCAGACACATTACTGGGAGTATTATTGCTGTGGAGCTCTGTTATACACTCAGACACATTACTGTAGTATTATTGCTGTGGAGCTCTGTTATACACAGACACATTACTGGGAGTATTATTGCTGTGGAGCTCTGTTATACACTCAGACACATTACTGGGAGTATTATTGCTGTGGAGCTCTGTTATACACTCAGACACAGCAACAATATGGAGCTCCTAGAAATGAGGGACATTAGGATAGGAAAGAGGGACAGAGGGATTTGGCCCATAATAGGGACTGTCCCTCCTAAATAGGGACTTGGAAGGCCAGCCTACTACACTCTGTGTTTGTGGCTTGTTTAGTGTGGTGATATCACACCTTGGAGTTTATTTACTGAGCACTGAGAGGTAAAAGTCAGGCCAATCTGTGACTGTAGCTGTGTTGGAGAATCTTTCCCGATCAGCTAATATTTGACAGCGAGAATGTCCAACAATAAAAGTTTACATTTAAAGCCCCCCAGTCTTCCCCAAACCAATATAAGTAAGTAGCAGGGTGCTAACACTCATTAATGTCAGGCAGCTTTCCCCCCACTAATCTCCAAGGTTGCAAGATACACATAAAACAATTATTTAGATTAAAGTTGCATCACTAAAGTCCAAATGAAAATGTATACACAGAGTCCAGACGTGGCTCCATAGAGCGTGAGCACAGAGTATAAAATCAGTACATCTCTCAGGCAATTATGAGGAGCGTTCATACCAGGTTCCCGTACACCTATCAATTAATGAATGGGTTAATAAGGTTCATCTATCCCAGGTTCCCACCACACTATTTTCCTCAGACAGTGAATGGGTTAATAAGATACTTTCATTCCAGGTCCCAGTATACCCCTAGGCAGTGAATGAGTTAAAATTGGCATCCATGTAAGGTCCCAGTACTCCCCTGAAGCAGTGAATAGGTTAATATGGTTCATTTGGCAGTAAACAGGTTAATAATGCTTATTCCAGACAAATACCCCTCCAGGCAGTGAACAGGTTAATAAGGCACATTCATATGAGATCCAAATACCCCCCAGGCAGTAAACAGGTTAATAAGGCACATTCATATGAGATCCAAATACACCCCCAGGCAGTGAACAGGTTAATAATACACATTCATATGAGATCCAAATACACACCCAGGCAGTGAACAGGTTAATAATGCACATTCATATGAGATCCAAATACACCCCCAGGCAGTGGACAGGTTAATAAGGCACCTTCATACGAGATCCAAATACACCCCCAGGCAGTGAACAGGTTAATAATGCACATTCATATGAGATCCAAATACACCCCCAGGCAGTGAACAGGTTAACAAGGCACCTTCATACGAGATCCAGACAAATACATCCGCAAGCAATGGACGAGTTAATAAGGCACAATTGTATCAAATAACGGGTTAATAAGGAGCGTTCATGTCAGGTCCCAATACACCATTTGGCAGGTAATGAGTTAATATGATGTGCTCATGCCAGGTCCTAGTACAACCCATGCAGTGACTGGGTTAATGAGTCACATTTATGCCAGGTCCCATACTCCCATTACACCCCAGGCAGTAAATGTGTTAATATAGAGCAGTTATAGCAGGTCCCAGTACAAGCCTCCAGCAGTGATTAGGTTAATATGCTGCAATCCTTCCAGGTCCCAGTACACCACAAGGCACTTAATGGGTTAACATGGTGTATTCATGCCATGTCCCAGTAAACCGCTCAGGCAGAGAATGGGTTAATAAGGGGCATTGGTGCCAAGTCTCAGTACACCCCTAGGGAGTTAATGGGTTAATAAGGGGCACTTGTGCCAGGTATCAGTATACCCCTAGGGTGTTAATGGGTTAATCTGCTGCACTCATGCCAGGTCCCAGTTCAACCCCTAGGCAGTGAGCAGGTTAATAAGGCGCGTTCATGCCTGGTCCCAGCCTTTTTTGAGCTGGCCCAGTGCGACTGTCTCTTATCGCCCCTGCTCATTATCAGCATTATTCTGAGCAGGAGCTGTGACCCTGCATTAGTACAGCTCAGACCTGTCTGCTATGCAACTGCCACTATGAGACACCCAGGAGCAGGTAAGGAGCTTTGCAATGTTTGTCACTGTGAGATCTAACTAACTACTGGGATCAATATAACTTAACTCTGTCTATACGAGAAGGTTAGAACTAAAGAGATCACACATTGACTTCTTCATGGGGAAACTCAATCTTAGATTAAATTAATAAAATTGAAATAAAAGCTAAGGACGGCTGATTTGGGACGTTAACTGTGTGTGATATAAAATGAACCTAACTTGCCTTTATATCACATTGTGGCTTGTAATATTTTCTATATGACGCCGTTACAACTATTGTTTGTTCCCCTTCCTAACCACTTCTTTTCGGCGTGACATTTTTTTTCTTATTCATAGCGCCAAAGAGTTTTGTGCGAATTCACGAAGCCAAAAATACCAACTCTTCTGCCAAATTCATACTTCTAAAAATAAAATCTTAAAATGCTCGAGTTAAATCCAAAGCACAACATAGCGCAGCAAGGAAAGACGTGAGAGAGTTAAATTTTACAGTTAATCTCCCATAATCCCTCATGCATTGAATTTTAGTTCCAGGCTTTGTCTGGCTGGTAGCAGACACAGGCTAAGAGCCAAGATTGCTTGATACTACCCTATCAAAGCAGCGTAGGCTAGCTGTGCATTAAAGGGAATGTAATTCTCAAACATCTGCAGGGCAACGTTTAGCTATAACTGCGTTTATGTGTGCGTATAATAAGGTGACTACTTGAAACGTAATGGAGCCCCCAGTCGTAGATGACTGCCACGTTTGGGAGGCTGCACGATTAGGATGCTGTATATGTGTAATTGTCTTGGAAAAGAAAGTTACGTAATCATCCATGAGGGATTAAGAATGCTGGCAGAACAGTGCCTAGTAGCCAATGGAATCTAAACTTGCCTCACATTGGTCGAACAGAGTGTTCTAATTTGGAACACTGATGTTCATTTGCGGACCATTTAAACCTTTCTTGCCCTTAGTTAGGCTGGCAAATCTTAATGGATTTTCGGAGTACAACGTTTGGCCACCACTGTGTGTAGTGTCTCTTTAATAATAAAGTCCAAAAATAAGAAGAGACATCAGCACAGGACAAGCTGATAGCTAATACAGGCTGGAGACCTATGGAACATATTGAAAATAAACCAAGGATTACCATGTGACACGTCTAAATTTTGCTTTGTGTGTTGGGCAGATCTTGAAAGACCCAATTAGGTCTCAGATTCTGAAGAACCATTTCCACATGCTGCCAAACAGCACTTCCAAGCGTTGCATAAAGGACTCGTAAAAATGGTGACCAGAGACCATAAGGGGTGTGAATTTATGGACACTGTCAGGCATTGTCAAAATAATCTGATTGCAAGACTAAAACTATACTCTGCAATAGAGTAAAACTACATTCAGCAAAATTTGACCGTTTAATTTGTTCCGCTCTGTTCTAACATAGGGCTAGGGTAGCTGTGCATTTTTGTCTTGCTGAATCTTAGAGTATGTTGCATTCCAGTGTGTACATTGATAGTCAGACAAAGTCCAACTAATTATGGGTTTGATGTAATTAGAGTAAAATAATCACTACTATTAAAAAAAATGTTCTGTTACAAGTTTACTTTACTGAATATCCCATCTTTTCCATACAGGGTTCGCAGTTGTCGTTCTTCTTGTAAGTGTCTTCACGTTAAAAGCTCAAGGTTCCGACTCTAGGCAGCTTGACGGAGAAACAGTCTTAGCACCCCTTGAATCAGTTAAATGTCCAGTGCCTTGTGTGTGCAGTTACGATTACAATGATGATTACAATGTATTCTGTAGTTCAAGGAATCTCTCCAGAGTTCCAGAGATGCTACCTGCTCACGTTCGATTGCTATGGCTAGATGGGAACAATCTCACAACACTGCAGGCTGGAGCCTTTAGAAACCTTTCTCTGCTTGACTTTCTTAACTTGCAGAGCAACCACTTGACCAACTTGGAGCAGCATGCTCTACATGGTCTGAAGTCATTAGCCCATCTCAACTTGGAAAGGAACACGTTAAAATTTCTGGCTCCTAATACCTTCCTCCATACTCAGAGCTTAGTCACTCTGAGTCTCAACAATAATTATTTCACCAAAATTGAAGATGGTCTGTTTTCTGGTCTGTCAAACCTTTGGTACCTGAATTTAGGTTGGAACTCGTTAGCTGTTCTACCTGGTACAGTATTCCATGACCTGCCTAATCTCAGAGAGCTTGTTTTGGCTGGGAACCGTTTGATGTATCTTCATCCTTCACTCTTCATGAGTTTAGTGGAATTGAAGGAGCTAGATTTGAGCTGGAACTCAATCAGAGGAGTAAAGGCTGTGTTTTCAAATCTGCACAAGATTCAGAAACTCTATCTCAACCACAACCAGATTTCAACTATTGTTCCTACAGCTTTCTTTGGTATGAAGTCCCTTCGCTGGCTGAATTTATCTCATAACCGCCTGACAAGTCTTATGGAGGACACATTTGTTGGCCTGTCAAGCCTTCATGTCCTACGTCTGTACAATAACTCTCTAACAAGTCTAAAGCCTCGGATTTTCAAGGATCTTCAGTTTCTAGAAGAATTGACCATTGGACACAACAAGATTAAAATCCTTTTAGAACGGACATTTGAAGGGCTAGGTCAATTGGAATCTCTCTCTTTGAATCACAATTTCATTCATGAGATCCGTCTGGGGGCATTTTCTGGGCTTCTAAATGTAGCGGTAATGAACCTCTCTGGTAACTGTATAAAAATACTTCCAGACCAATCTTTTAAAGGGCTTGGGAAGCTTCACATTTTGCACATGGAAAACAGCTGCATCACCAAAATAAAACCACAGATGTTGTCTGGACTTACCAGTGTCCGAAGACTTTTCCTACAACGAAATGATATATCAGCTATTGATGACCAGAGCTTCTTAGAACTGCAGAACCTTCTAGAGCTGGATCTCAGATTCAATAAATTGACTCAACTATCAGCCCGATCTCTTACTGGCCTAAATAGCCTTTCTTATCTCCTTCTATCCTCCAACCAACTTCACGCAATATCTCCAGAGGCTTTCAGGCCTTCCCAGCAGCTACAATGGCTTGATCTGTCGGACAACCAACTCAAAACCCTTGCAGATGACCTCTTCCTACCGTTACCTCATCTGAGGTATCTCAATCTCCAGAAAAACCTTTTAAAAAGTATCTCTGTTAACTTCCTCCTCCATAACTCGCCAGTGCAGCAGCTTTGGCTAAGTAACAACCCGTGGGACTGCAGCTGTTCTCTTAAAGAACTCAGAGACTTTTCCATAAGGAACGCCACCATTGTTCCACGAGTCGTACAATCCATATCAGAGGGTGATGACAGCAGTAACCTGATTTATACCTACAACAACATCACCTGTGCCAGCCCACCAGAGGCACTGGGCCAAGACTTGAGAGATCTGACTGAAGAACACTTTGCTGCCTGCCAATTGATCTAACCAGACACGCAAGAAAAGTAAACACAACCCTAAAATAACATTTATCAAGAAAATAACAAATAATTGCAATTGGTTTAGTTAATACTACATATAGACTTTATGCAACAATTTTCTAAAGATGAACTAGTAGCTTTCATTTTATTAAGTAGTTATAGTACTTGGCACCATAACCTCTGCAGCCAACTATAGCTGCAATAGTGTCAGCATGCCCCTGGCAGCATTGCCTAGTTCTGTATCACACAGTTTTCAAGTACGTTGACATGAAGTGGGTGTCCCCAGTGCACATTAGTTAGGCCTCTTACGCATTTTATTGCTAATGCGGAAATTGCACTTCTGTAATTAGTAATATCAATTTTGTCCAAATCTGCATGGGGGCATTCATTGGTTGAGCATGTCAGCTGACTGCTCAGCCAATGACTGACATCCAGCTATAGACATATTTCATATTGCTAATGCATTAGTGATTTTCAACCCAGCATGTATACAGTCCAGGAGTTAAACATATTGCAGTTTCAATGGAGATCATGACAAAATGAACTGCTGGTATATTCTGAGCATTAGGTTAGGAACTATACATTGTTTTTTTTTATCTGTTAAACTATAGTAACGAAAAATATAAAATATATATTTAAGATATTGGAAGAGAATTTGTTGTATCAATATTGTATTTGTTTCATATTGATTGCTCATTTTATTATAATTTTAAATTTTCAATAAAAAGCTATTTGAAAAGATATAGGGACAGAAGCATTTCTCCAGTGCTCCACTTTCATATGAATGTAAAGATTTTTTATTTAAAAACACAGGATGTAGTGACTTCTGAAATCTGCTCTTTTGGCCTACATTTTAAAACTTGGTTTTTAATACACTACAATTGAGACTTTAGCAAATAAACCCTTAAATACACCACTTTATGGCTAAGGACTTTGTTTCTTTAATCATTTTACCCCAAATTTAACTTTACCTCTCATCATAATAATACCCCAAATTTTTGAACTGTGGAGATTATTCACTAAACACTGATGTACAATGAATTGAAATCTCAATGTAACTACGGCTAAATTGGAGATTATTTTTCAAATCCGTTATTTTTAACCCAACATGGTTATTCAATGGTGCATGAATTCAAAAGTGAATTTGAAATTTTGGTCAACAGTACCCAAAATGGAAACATTCTCCAAGTCATATGTTTTCAATATGGCTTTATTTAAATTCTCTTATTATTCAAACTCACTGTGTGTAAATAGTATTCATCCTGTGTTAGAGGTGGAGACAATCGCATAGCCTACAGTTTTTATTACAGATGGCCTTTAAGGATAACAGCAACATTTACCCCATGTGAAATCGAAAAGATATATATGTAAATATGGAACCAGGAATTATGGGAGGGACTAGTTGGCTATTTATAGACCCCCTCCTCTTTGCAGTCACTGCAATGTGACTGGCGTATCACGTATCCCTCCCTCAACTCACTTTTTCTGAACACTTTCAGAGAGGGCCCTCTTTATTGTACAGGTCTACCGGTAACTCGGTGTCAGCACACCACAACCGACTTACGTCCACTTCTGTTACAATTTATTATATAATGCTAACTTCCTCTGTGTTATGGCTTTGGTGTCCCAAGCACAAATATATATTTTGAGAGCAACAAAATATTTGCTTACACAATGGACTAACTCTTAAAGGAACACAAACGTTAACTAGTTAGATTATTGAGACCTCCCTCCACCCCACAAACAAAATAAGCAAATAAAAGCAGCTATGACTAATAATGTCACTTGACAAGTTAAAGTGACACTCCAGACCCCTAGAGCACTTTTAGTTTGCTGAAAAGCTTTGTGTGTGAAGTGTGTTCTGTTTTTCATTTTACAAAAATTGCAGATTTCAATAGAAATTGCCACTTTTATAAAAAAAAATATTTTTTATAATTCTTTATTTTCACGATATAACACCTTACAAAGAGATGTTCGCATCAATATACTAGCGTAGCAATGTTTTCAAAAAAGAGCATTATTGTACACAAGGTGCAATAAAACAGCAGTCTGTATATATAAAAGTGAACAAGGCACAACGTCAAAACGTTCATGTTAACATAGAATGAACAGAACATAAAGCAAGAATGGTAGAAGACAGAAAAAAATATTGTCCTGGTACTTGGACTCGTGTCTATAGACTCCGCCGTAACTACCAAGTATTTTTTTTTTGGTTAATCAGTTGTAACTACCAAGTATTGACACTTTTATAAATGTAACCTTGTTATGACCCTATGGTTGTCAATCGGACAGCTGGTCCTGTTACTTCCTGGTTTGGTAAGCTCGGTGGAGCTAAACTCGAGGCAGCAATGACCCAGATCACCTGCCTTGTAAAAAGACTTCTCATTGAGTTGCATTGGGAAGTCTGTGATTGGACAGCCACAGAAAGTCTGGGAGGTGTTAGAAGGGGAGGACTCGTAAAGACTGCAGACAAGAGTTTTGCAGCTTTTGTAAGCTATTTTTACATATATCCCCAATGGAAAACGCATAATTAAACACATGCATGCTTTCATTGAGGGCATATTTACTAAACAGTGATTTTATTTTTTTTTGGGGGGGGGTTGGTTTTTGGAGCAGTGGATGTCCCTTTAAATGCCCCTTGAGCATCATGAACGATTTAATTCACAGACTGATGGATTGTAATTGTTAGCCATCATTGCCATTGAGAAATAGAATGGGGCTCTGCATAAAAGGTGTTTTGAAAAGTGGTCTGGTACACTGAAAGTGGGGCAGTTGCTATGGAAACCAGTGTAATCATTGGACATGTTGCACTAGAGACTAAACCCCTTTTCAGGAGAAGCATTATTATACATAACCCCCAACGTGTTACTTGTGTCTTCTGGACACACAGTGATATAAAGGACATACAATGCAGCACATAGTTCAGTGTAGAGCAGGGGTTGGCAATATTCGGCACGAGAATCAAGGGAGATTTAGCCAACAATATCTGTAGGGCGCAACTTTGCCGACCCCTGATGTAGAATATTAACATAGTTAGTTCTCAACTGTCCTTTATGATTATTCAATAACAAAATCACAAAATATTGTTTTTATTATAATACTCTTCTAGCTGTTTAAGGGCCCACCAATAGCTCTTGGAGGAGTAAGATATGATGGAGTTCAGATTTCAGGGGACCAGAGTTGGAATACAAAAAACAATGCCTCATTATTTGACTTTTTTATTATAATTTTTTTTTTTTTAAACAGGTTTGGGAACAGTATGCGAAAAGTTTGCTCCATAAACCCACCTTCCTGAGAGACTGTGACTCCTTACTCCGGCTGTAATGCATGATGTAGTAGCCTTGTTTGTGAGAATCGTAGTTCAACTGTTGTTCTAGAATAGAAAGCCAGCAATTGTACTGAACCTCAAAAAAAAAAACGCAAAAAAAACCAGTGCCTATAGGATAACCGTGTAATCTGGTAAACTGAGATAGTTGACAATTATCATGTCCGAGACACTTTCTGTTTATCAAGATCTCATAACGCAAATTCAAAAAATTTACAGAAAATACAAGTACCTTTGGAACTGTATAATTTTTACATTGTTTTAATAGATTATTTTGCACATATTTTTGAATGCATTATCTACATAATGCCCTAAAAGGGAACTGTCACTTGTTAAAGGTTTTTAAAGTTATATTAACTTATCACTGTATTTAAGAAATATGTATTTGTGAGGTGTGGGGAAAAAAATTAAAACAAAATATATAATTTGGCACTTCATACCCTGCAACTGGGCGCCTCCATCTTAGTCCCTGTCAGTCATTGTTATAAGTTCTATCCTTTCCACCTTAGCATAGAGAAAGCATACAAAGAGATGAAACAGTGTTTGTATTTTTCCTCTTCATTTGCAGTCTGTGCTTTCCCTTGTCTGACTTTTATTATGATGTAATTTGCTAACAAAATAGCATTTAAAAGGAAATGAAGTATTCCGTGGGGGGGAAACAAAATAGATCAACACAAGTATTGGATGATTTTTTTTTTTTTTTAAATGTTTTAGTCAATGGTACAAATGCCAGAGTAGTGGCAGTTCCTCTTTAAGAACAACGAAAGTAATTTTCCACTTTGAGTATCCCTTTAAGAATTGATCTTCTGATTTGGGTCTATAGAACTAGTTTGGGATCCTCTTCCATTTACAGACATTCAGAGTTAATAAAGGGACTTTTGTTTTGGTTTATGAAGCCCTAGCCACATCTCCCCTGGAGGTTTAATTTTCACTCAGATGTTAACTTGTTTTAGACATTTGTATCTCCTTTTCTGTATATTGAACTTTAATCACACACAGGAGGCTCCTGCGGGGTCTAGCAGGCTATTAACATAGCAGGGGATAAGAAATTCTAAATCAAACTATTTGCAATGACGGAAGTGTAAACATTAGATGACTCTTTACAGGAAGTGTTTATGAAGGCTGTGTAAGTCACATGCAGGGAGGTATGACTAGGGCTGCATAAACAAAGTGATTAACTCCTAAATGGCTAAGAATTGAGCATATAAATATCATATGCAGTGGTCTGGCTACCATGTTACAGGACATTGTGTGGCCTGCTTCCTTGCCCAGACCGGCTCAGCCATCTGTACACACTCTGCCCCCCACTCCCCATCAATTTATACTTTCCACCAAACATTCCCTTTACGTTTGGAGACACTGGGCAAAGAAATTGATACGCAACCATAATCCACAAAACTACAGCAAACCCGAATATAACTGCCTGGATGGATGCCCACCTCACCCACGTTTCTCAACAATTCTAAGCAGTTTTCCTTCCCAGAGTTCGTGGCAACCTACTCACTTCCCTCTTCTGCCTTAGTCACCTACTTACACATTAAAAGCCTGCTACTCTCACTTCATGCATGGAGTATTTAATTGCATAACTATTGGGAAACAAATCGCAAACTGCTACTGAAATGGTATCATGTCCCCTTAAGACTTTTAGTCATCTTTCCAAATTCCATCTCCTGTTGGCATCTCAAATCAAAAATTGGTACGTCACATATCTTTTGAACTTGTCTGATTTTTGTAGCCCTTCTGTCATACAAAAGCTATTCTAACAGCTCCGGGCATTTCACTCCCATTCGAGCCGGAAACTTACCTTCTGGACTTCCTGCCAACCAACTGCACAAGTGCTGCAAAGCTTCGAATATGCACATCCCATTGGTAGCCAAAACAACAACAGGACACTGCTGGAAGTTCCCTTTACTACCAATGATGAAGGAATTCAGACACAACTTTGTTTATTTGCAATTCACTGTTTACATTATTATTGTATAAATAGAAATAGGATGTGTTTCTAGTAACAGTGTTTATCTAACAAAGCCACCCATGTAAAAATAAAAAGTGAAAAATGTTAAGTATTAGCAATGTAATATTTATTATTTCAGAAATTTGTTTTTACAAAAAAAAAAAAAATAATGGTTTATATGCTGAATTACTTTTTATTACAGTGACTTACCCAATTAACCACATCTCTACCTGTGTTACAATGCGAAGAATGGATTAAAAGCATTTGCCTGGACAATAAACCGTTTCCATAAGGACATCCACGTTAATCAGGTTACATGGTGGGGACATGGTTCTGCAATGAATAAATGTTCCTTGGATTCAGTAAGTTAATGGGGTGCGAATTCAGCATGGTGAAGGGAGTGGGCTGGTTGGCACATTAACCAGATATAGTTTTCCTCTACAGATGAGGGCGACAGAGAAGATCAATGCTTGATCTTTGGCTGCCAGGACTGGCACATAGTAAGGCCAACATGCAAGCTGGCACATAGTGCCATGCACACAGCTGTACACATAAAACGGGCACAGTCACAATACATTTGTACAGGCATTGGCCACATGGCACATGAAGCTGGCACTACGACTGACAGTAACAGCCCAGCACATTGTCAAGGAGTTTTTTCTATCATCCAGGCTTTAACGTAATGTAGGGTCCCTGGACAAGCCCCCTCTTGGAATGTGTAGAACTAGTCAAGGAGAATTGGGGCATCTCTTTCCTCCAATCCATATTCGCAGATCACTCAGGAGGAACGAGTGTGGAACAGTTTGGTCATTTTTAACACCCCATGTCCGATCAGGCATCTGAAAGAGGAAAGAAAGAAATGAGAGAAGGAGAAACTGTGAAAGACTGATAAAAATAAATAAAGTAAAAAAAAAAAAAATGAACCAATCAGTTTCATTCTAACTAGTGTGCAGCTCTTGTGAGAACCCAATATCGCTCTGCAATAAACCACACATATCTGTGACTGCAACAATGTAATAATATCCAGAGACACAGCCAAGGGATTTAACCAGAACCAGTAGATCAAATTAAAAGAAGAATGTTAATGAAATCAGAGAATTGGTAAATTAGATCTTTTAGAGTAAAAACACTCTATAATCAGGATTATTCACTAAATTGAGAATTCAAAGTTATTTCAAATTTAAGGACAAAGTAGCTGAACTGGACGTATAGCTGAATTAGAGAATATTTCCGGATCGGCTATTTTGAAATTCTCTTGGAATTCACACCTTAGTGAATAATAGAGTCTCTGTCTTGTGGAGGCAGATAATGCCCTTTCCCAGAGATGATCAGGTAACAGTGACAGGCAAAGCTTTGCATCAAACCTGACAGGTGAAAGGATTAACGATTTAACTGCGCTGATCCGGACTGACTTTGGTTTTTAGGACACCTTTTGCAGTTGTGGGATTTTGTATTCTACCACTTACCTTTCACTCATCAATGCCAATGGAGCACGAGTCAGGACCCAAAGCTGCCGGGAGAGAGAAGGTAAAAGAGTTTAGAACATGGCTAAGAAGAGGTTAAATGTGCCTGATATCATAGGAAAAGAACTAGATTGTGATTTCTTCACAAAGCAACAGTTCTACTAGGAGTTGTGCTTTGGTTAAGAAAGGATTTTCAGATGGGCTTAATTCAACCTCCAGGCTCACCCCGGGAGAGAAGATTTAATGTAACTACACTGAATTCATCAAAATCCCCGACCCTTAGGGGTATAAGAGAATTCAAACATTAAAACAGCAATACGGATACTCATTCACAAAAGTAAGAATTCAAGGTAAATTTCAAGGGTCACTTCAGCTCATTGAAGTGGCCTGGGCGCAGTGTTACTGTCCCATTAACCCTACAATGATAATTACTGCAGTTACTGGCTGTCTACCAGGGAGACTAGGGGGTATAGATGGCCAGAGGGTACTATAGTGCTAGGAATATAACTTTGTATTCCTAGCACTAGTTTCCCTTTAAGGGAAAAACAGCCAAACGAGAAAAAAATGATTTAAGCTAGATTGGCTTCCAGTTTGGTTACTCTGGTCTTACATTTGAAACTCACTTTGAATTCACCTTGAATTTTCTCTTTAAGGAATAATCCTGACTGCATTAGCCACTGAGATCACCTAGAAATGAATAATTAGGTGTGAACTTACCGGTGACATCTGTTGTCTCTTCCTCCTTCATCTGTAAGGGGTCGGAAAATTCCTTGTGGACATCGTTTTGAGGCTGTGATCGGGAACCTAGAGACGGTGAGAGAAAGAAAAGAAAAAAAAAAAAAAAGATAAAACGTCTCAAGTGAGCAACTAGAACTTAAAGCAACCAAGTTTTATTAATAAGAATGAAATAAAAGGAGTGACTTGGCAGTGAGCAGGCAAATACCAGGCAAGGAGGTAGATCCACGTAATATGACAGCTTGAACATGCACACATCATGCCTACAGGACAACTAGTCTAATAAACATGAAACTATAGAGTCCAATGGGGGAGGTTTATATAGAAAACATTTGCCAAGAGATTAGTCCTGTTTTACCCGAACACCGCCATAAATCATCTCAAGCAGTAAAAATACATTAAAGGCAACTTTTTTAAAATCAGTGAAGCCCTAGGAATTTATATCAATCTGAGCAACACGTCACCCATGTTACAAAAATGAAACAGATTTTGTGTAACAAGTTCAGAAGTGAATAAGATTCAGTATAAACTATTCATTACTGAACAATGAAAGGAGAAACAAAATCATTTTCATCTGGTCTAAGAATTGTTAAACCCACTCCTGGGCTTCAGAAGATGATCTCAGTCGTTAATTCTTCTCTCTGTCTGCCTAGGTCTGGGCTCAAAGAGCCCCCATGAGAAGGTGAGGATGTCTTGAAACGGCTCGTGTCTAGCAGCTTCCTCAGGAGAGCGTTATCAAGGCAGATATTAACCGCAAACTCCCCACCGTGGCTACATGGTTTCATGGTACTCTGTTTGTACAAGCAGCTATAGCAAGCTCCCAGGAGGCAGCAACAGCTTTACCCATAGCTTCTTCTTTTTAAGAAATATTGCACAGGTTAGTGTAATTGCAATGGTTTGCACAGGGCCTATGATGATGTCACAAAGGGACAGATAAGGCTATTAATAGTGGATAATTAAATACAGACCATCAATGAAAGGAATAAAGTATAAAAACATAGAACTGATAACACACTGGGGCTAATCCGCTCTCAGGCACCAGTCACTCACCTTGATGAGTGGACACAATCTCTGGGGTGCCAGTAGGTGAGAGAGCCTATGGAGACAAACAGATTTTAGATCAATGGCCAGAGATACAGTCTGAATCCCGGCTCTAACCAAGGAGTGATATTCACCTCAGTGTGTAAAGGGTCTCTGCTGAGGGATCCGAGGAGAGCAGGTCTATCACTGTCAGAAGTGGTCGACGTTTCCTCATCTTCTTCATGGATGGGAGAAGAGGGTGAGCGTAGAGCACTAACAGTGGGAGAAACAGTATCATTAGACATATCCAAGGCCAATGGGAAGAAAAGCAGCTCTGAAAATAAAACCCAATATGGATGGTCTCACCTGTCAGGGGACTTTACATGCTTGCTTTTGTGTGCAGAATTGTCTGCGGGTCCACGGACAGGAAGCCCCTCATTATAGGGAATCTCCTCATATAGTGGGGCAGTAGGAGGTGGAGAACGTAGCCCATTGAGGGCCTCCAACAACGAGATGGGTTCGAATCCCGGAGGCAGGTTGTCAGCACCCTGAAAACAAGAATGTTTAATAATATATTTGGTTGAAGCCCTCCTTTACTGCTGCTACTCCGGGAATACTCACAGAATTGTCATCATGATCCAGGCTCTGAGCTAGAACTGGGCTGAAAGAAATTGGAGGCAGAGGACCTGGCTTCCTCTGAACGGCCCGGATCTGCAGGAGGGCCCGAAACGCTGCACAAGACAATACAATGTGTCACACAACGGATTCTCCTTCTTCTCATGCAGGCAGCCTCTCTCTCCGTGCATACATTAGTGATCCACCACACATTCAAAACGTCTGCAGTATTAAACGTTTTATACTTACATTGAAGCATAACTTTACAGACACACAGACACTACTCTTACAGGAAAAGAAAGGGGGAGGAGTCTGCACTAAGTAACAGAAATATAAGCTGCACAAGCCCAGCATTGACACGGCTAATGCAGTATCCACACGCCCAAGGTAAGGGTACCCTTTACCCGCAATACCACCATTCCCCTGGTTAAACACGGGAAACACCGATAGTAATAACGGGGGTAAACACAAGCCCACCACGGTCGATGACACATAGCTAAGGACACAGGGCCCGATGAGACGCCGTGGACAGGGACCATAGGGGTGGCCTACAAACACTGACACCTAATCAAAGACTGATTAATCTGGTTCAAGGACGATTACAAAGCATTATGTTCACTCAGTTCATGAAAACGTTACTTAATTTATAGTCCCAAACAAATGTAAATACCAGAAAATGGGGACCTGCGAGTCCTTCTGTGATGGGGCCTGCGAGCCTAATTTGTTACCTTTTATAATAACATGCAATGGAGACCTGCGCGTCTCACCGCAAATTTAAATACACAAAATGAATAAAAATCATATTCACGAAAAAAGAAATATAAGCTGCAACCCTAAAAAGGGAATCCCTCAAGAACCCTTAGAGAGATATCGGAAAAGAAATAGGGGGTGAAGGGCTGCACTATTTTAAAGGAGATGATAAATAAATATTAAAATAGTAAAATAGTCTCAGTATATAAAAATAGTCTTTTATAAATAAAACAGAGTCCATCCAACAGTAGAGATCAAATGATAAAATGTCCAATAAAATGTATAAAAAACTTCTCACTGATGGATATCGGCGGTATTGGGGTGTTTTTCCGTCCGGTATTTTTTGCTTTTGCGCCCCATCGTCTTACGAAGTTGGTAGGGCTGGTGTGGTAGGGGAAATTGGGCAGGAACAGCTTGTTTTTCCCCAGCTTGAACGGAGCTCCCGAGAGACACGTCCGGCTGCTGGCTCCGCCCCCGCAAATAAAAGTTTTTATTGTTAAAATACACAGTATAAAACCATTTGACGCGTTTCACCTCATGGGCTTTATCAAAAATGGCTAAAGACTTTAGCCATTTTTGATAAAGCCCATGAGGTGAAACGCGTCAAATGGTTATACTGTGTATTTTAACAATAAAAACTTTTATTTGGTACCCTTATTTATAGGACCAATCTTGTTTTATTGTACAAACACATTTTTTATTCATTTATTTTTCCTGGCATTTTATTGTATCCTGCTTAAAGCAATCCAAAAGTGGGGATTATTCCACCAGCCCTGTTCCTATAGAGCAGTATTTCCTGCTCTATCATTGTGAGTATATTTTATTTTATTTTAATATTCTTTTATCTCTTCCAACTGAAAGCACTATTACTGTTTTTATATATCCTGCGGAATACTACGGAACCCAAGTCGGACGGACAGACCCATTTCCACAGCATATCCTTTAGCGGGGATTATACCGCTAAGTGCCCTTCATCCAAGAGCTGGTCCAAAGTTCCAACAAATGTGAGTGTATTATCCTCCATTTTTCCTTTTTCGCTTACTCTCTCATTACAATACTATACCATTGGAAGCTTGTTGTGCTTTTTATTTCCACATATACGGATTACCTAAAACTCGGATGGATTAACCCCTGAGGACTGTATACACGGCCTATCCACATATCAGTGAGAAGTTTTTTTATACATTTTATTGGACATTTTATCATTTGATCTCTACTGTTGGATGGACTCTGTTTTATTTATTTATTTTATTTATAAAAGACTATTTTTATATTGAGACTATTTTAATATTTATTATTTATCATCTCCTTTAAAATAGCGCAGCCCTTCAACCCCTTTTTCTTTTCCGACTACTCTTACAGGGTTTATAGACGGTGGCATTTAACTCACATCTCACAGCACACAAATTTAATAGCAGTACTCACGCAGCCTGCAGATGGGGCAGTTGTTGGCCTGGTAACGCAGGGTGTCTGCACATGAGTTACACAGACACAGATGTCTACATGGTAAGATCAGCGTATCCCTTAGGTCAGAGAGACAAACCACACATTCATTGCTATTATCACTGTTTTCGTCCTCAGAGGGCTACAGAGAAAAGAAAATACAAGCAGCTAAAATATGCTAGACGAGCAGAGGCAGTGCGGCGCATGCAGAGAAAGCATGGTTTTCTTACCTTTGTTTCTTGGTTGTTCTTGTTCTCAATGCCGTAGATTTCTTGTAAGAGGTAACTGACTCGATCCACCTGTGAGATACACAACACAATCTCATCACTCCCACGTCCCATTACAGCATCAAATAATAGTTGTTTTCCACTGTGCAGAAACGTTACACAGATAGGACAGATTGTGTGCAGCATCAGCTAAATACTTACAATCTGTTTTTGCTTTAAAGGCTTCACTGAGAAACTGCCATCCACATGCTGCAAAAAGAGGAAAATAAACATAAGATAAAATGTTAAAAAAAATAAAATAAATAATCAAACGTCCTGGAGTAATATATAGAACAGTGTTGGATAAAACACCTAGGACGACTCTCCACTTTACAAAATAAATTTTTTTTTAAAAAAAAGCGGATCTTACCTTCTCAAATGCAGCCAACAGCACATGAGCATGACCGGAGCCATCTATAGACACAAGCAGAGGGAACAGCGGCATGAGAAAACAAGTTGCAACATCCGAAGAGTCAGCAAAATGTTTGGAAGTCAGAGATCCAGATTTGCCACATTGTCACGTGTGACTCTACTAAACACAGGACCATCGATCTGAACATGGAGCATTATATACAGTTCTTAACATACCTCCTCCCTCGGACACAACCGCATGAATGACTAGAGGTATGGTGCATTTATCCAGGTCAAGGTTCAGCTGAAGGGGGGAAAAAAAAAAAAGAGAGAGAGAATTTTTTTAAAATATATATATATATATATATATATATATATATATATATATATATATATATATATATATATATATATATATATATATATATATATATATATAAAGAATTAAATGTTAACCCAAAGATGACAGACAGACACATACTTTGCCCACAACCATCAAAATAAACCTGCTAGTCCAATTTAAAAGGAACACTCGAAGGACTAGAACTACTAGACTGCGCTGTAAGAATGGTGCCAAATAGTTAAATAGTTTGCTAGATCAATGCGGAGAGCTTCCAGCCCTCCTGAAGGAGTTAAATGGTGACCAGCAGGCCTCAAGTAATGTGTCAAACTATTTGCAAGCAGTTTGATTACTTACACTGAGAGGGCACCACGGCATTTCTGGCACATACCCACGTACTGTAGTGGTTATGGTGCTTGAAATGTTCCTTTAACTAAGTTTTTCTTTACTTCAATGCCAGACATACGTGGAGATAATGTTAGCAGAATTATACGTTTGTGGATGAGATGGTTAAATGATCAATCAGGAGGCAGGAGACATGGCACATACTATTCTGCTGCAATCAGAAGGTAGGGCAGATATGATATAGTACGAACTGATCTTTAGCCAACGGATAGTGGACAGATCCTATAGCATGTACTGATCTGCACTACCTACCTCTTCATCCTTCCAGTCACTGAAATCTATCTTGAATGCTGGGAGAGAAAATTGCTGGTTTAGTCCTCTCTTATAATACACAGTCTGGGACTGCAGAGCGGCGCTGCGGGGGCTGTACCTGCAGCAAGAAAGGATACAAGCAATAAGCTGGTTATTTTAGCGATTCAGTTTTCAATACACCATCATTAGCGGATTAGTGAATAAACTACAAAGTCTGCAAAATACAATATTCCATGTAATGAATTTAGTGCCGTTTAGAAGGTCTCCCAGCAGGAAAAAAAATAAGAGATTTCTAAAAATTCAGTTATGACTTCAGCCACAGACATGTACCATATAGAGGTCAACACATGCAAAGAGTGAAAAGAAAAATTATCCATGTGAATAGAAATAAATCAGGATGCTTTATAAGTATATATAACGTTCCATAGATTTATTGAGTATAATTACACTTAAGTAGCTAAAACTCAGCAGCATTTACATCTTTCACATTAATCCGACACAACATCCAACTCTCAGAAACCAGGAGACAATATCACCCGATCCTGCTACCCATGATGCACTGCATATGGAAGCCACCCCATGACTTACACTGCCGTGCCTCCAACAAACTCCTCACTGGCTTGGCAGTACACGGTTATAGCTACACGAGCGTCTGCGTCAAATGTGAATTCTAGTCCATACAGCACCCGTGGCTTCCCTCCATCTTCCAGGGGGCTGTCAACGCCATCTTTGTACCTGCAAACACATACAAAAGTATCCTTAGACAGCAGGTCCTGCAATGAACCAAGGTTTCCATGGCAGCATATTGGTTTTTACCTGATTAGACGCAGGGAATCCTTGCGAATATTCACCAGACTTCGCAGAGTTTTCACAGGCTCGTGGGGGGCTGGAGTCAGATAGGGGAACTGCAGGTAAAGGTGTACAAGTAGTAAACACATTAAAGCATTGAAACAACAAGAGGCTCTAGAAACCTATGGACCAAAAGTCCCACTGCTGATTGGTTACACTGAGCAGATATTTCCCTTGTATCTTTTCATGAAACCGATGCAGACTATAAAGCACTTATCCCACAAACTGCAGAGGGACAGGTTTATGGCATATCCTTCGCAATCCTACAGAAAGTTAGGTGAGCAATAGGATTGGCTGAAATAATTCAGCTATTTCCAGGTGTGGTTAGAGTTCACTGCAAATCCTAGCAATTTGCAGAATATGCAGACACTTCTATGCTGAAATGATTCTGTATATATAATTTAATTTAGAATGCCTTAAAATTGTATCAATCTCAACCTGGTGTAGCCCTTTAAATGAAAATTGTAAGGAGCATTCAGCATGCAATGTGATCGGTCATCACTTCTCTGCAGTGGTTTTACAAAAACCTTATAAGAGAAGATGGGAGATTAAACCAGCATCTCATGGGCTCAAGCGCCTGCAGTTGTGAAACCTATAAAATGGTATATTGAATTGCAGATGGCACACCCCAGGTAAGCATTATCCCAAGTACCTGCACTGGCCGGTTCCCCAGGAAGTTCAGGTCAGTGTTCTCGCCAAAAAGATAGCCTTCTGGGTGTGGGGTCTCAAACTTTTCTCCCCCCATGAAAAAGTGGCTAGCAAAATAGTTTCCTGGAAGACAAAATGGATCAGAAGGCTTACGCTGGGCCAAAGGACATCCAAAAGGTTAAAAAGTCATTTACCAATAAAAAGTCATAATTCATTTTTATTTTCACTGTGTCTAATAAACCAGCTTTATCTGCATAGCCATGTCCGTTGCTAGTTCATTTCTACATTAAAGGTTTCACTGCGTCACTCAATTCTGAAATGCAGTTGTATCCAAACAAATAAATACACCTACCTGATTTAGGAGGGTAACGATATGCAGAATTTGCCTGGATATCAATATCTTCCACACCAGCCATTCGTCGGCCCCAAACAGCCCCCATTGTCTAAAATAAATAATTTTATAAAAAATTACTTTAACTAAATAAAGCAAATGTCAGATTATGTTGTGAAAGTTCAAATATTTAAAGTAGATTGTTTATGTTTTTTGGAGCATAAAACTATTTCTATTTTGATTTAACGGGTGATACTTTTTCTCTCATAATGTGCTATGTTTTATTAGAGTCACTTCCTTGTTATAATATCAGATCATAATTAGACACCCTGTGCTATGCAATTCTGTTTGATCACGGTTATGTACGGTGAAGTTTACCATTTACACACAAACAACTTTACATAGTCAATCTAAAAATAACAGACTTACTTCTTAACCAATTTACGTCTAATGTGGCAAATTTGACCTAAAATTTGATTATCACTTTGAATTCCAGACAATTCACACTTTAAAGAATAATTCTTGTTCCATCAGCCGAAATTCAAGTTAGAAAGTGTAAATATTGCAAGCTGCTTTTTATTTTACATTCTTCTGTGCCTTTGGTGCCCTTCAGGAAGAAGGGATATAAAATAAATGACTTGTAATACCGAAGAACGAGCAAAAAAAATATATAATAAATAATCAGCAAAATAAAAATAATTATTGTACATTGATATTAAATGTCACCTCTCAGTTTGGCCACAAATGTGAGGAATAGCAGCAGATGTGATCTTCCAATGAGTCTATGTTCGTGCATACTGAAATAAATAAAGACAGTCCGTTATTACAGAAATAATGACTATTTGAAATTACCGGCAAATCAGGTCTGTGTTTTTACCAATAATTGGTAAAGCAAAAGCAAAATGTGTTCTCGACAGCAGGTGTTAGTGAAATGCATTAGTCTGACTAGGCATTGTGAAATGTAGTTCCCAAGTTAGTTCTATGCGTGGTATGGTTCACTACACAAATACATATAACCCGATGGTATGGTTCACTCAAGCAGACTCCCAGCTGGCACAACAGTCAAGGAATGAGAAAGTCCAAACACTGTCAAGTAAAAGAATGGCCCTCAAGTGTAAACCACAGATATTGTTCAAAAGAAGCCTGTGTCCCAGCTACATGGTGACTTTATTTCTATGACATTTCCAACTTCATAACAATGAATTCTGGGACAAGATTCTACTTAACAACGTCAGCATAATGGTGTCCATGGCAACTGCTCCATTTGGTTTTCAGGACTTTGCACTAGAAGTGCTCTTTGTAGAGAACCCTCGCTGTTTTTATTCAAAACAGATGTTAACGTTAATAAAAAAGGCTACTTGCCACTGGCATAAACAGAGGCCAGATTGGCAACAAAGTCTCCAGTTGTAAAATTAGCTCTGTAAACAATACTTCAAATATAATATAGTTAAAACTAAAGTAAATTTTGCAATACACCTTAAAGGAGCACTATAGTGCCAGGAATACAAACTTGTTTTCCTGGCACTATCGGGTTATTAGGTCCCTCCCTCGGAACCCACCTCCCGCTGGACTGAAGGGGTTAAAACCCTTTCAGCTACTTACCTTAATCCAGCGCCGGGCTCCCTCTGCGCTGGTGACCTATGCCACCCCCTGCCGATGTCAGCTTCGAAAGCCACGCACGCGTTCAAAGTGCCCATAGGAAAGCATTACTCAATGCTTTCCTATGGACATCCAGCGTGAGTTCAATGCGATTTTCAATGCTGGATTAACCCTCAATGTAAACATAGCAAGTTCTCTGAAACTGCTATGTTTACAGCTGCAGGGCTAAAACTAGGGGGACCTGGCACCCAGACCACTTCATTGAGCTGAAGTGGTCTGGGTGCCTATAGTGGTCCTTTACTTAGACTCTTTCCAAAATCATAATTGTTTGCACAATTCCTCCCATGAGAGAGAGCTGAACTGCAGACTGCCCATGCGCAAAATGCGGCTCTGCCAAGAGCTTAACATGGATAAATAGATGGCAGGAATAAGTGAATCTCTTGGAATAACCCCTTCACGTAGTTAGAGCGGAAAATATCGGCACACAAATAATTTCTCTAAAGCAGTTAGGATGGCATGGAATGTCCTGCAGTTTTGATATGAGTAGGGTTAAATCCTTGCTCGCACTGAGGAGAACCAGGTATCAATCAATAATGCCCCTCTGTCAGCTGAGGCCAAATATAGGGTCTCCAGGGCTCAAAGTGACCACCAGGACTGACCAATTCTGTCCCAAAGTGATTATATCATGTTCTACTAAAATGGTAGACACCCTCCCTGCATGCCCCCTGCTGACAGTGATCAGGTCTGGGGTGTGCCTGCTGTCCAGCACGGATCAATATGTGAGCAACAGGGACCGCATGAAGGAGATCTCCCTCTCATGCTGCAATCTCACAGAGTGCTCTGTACTGGATGAGCTGGTAAATATTTCTGCCGATGTGAGTACTGAAGTTAGCAGAGGGAATTCCTCTGAGTTAGGGTCGGTGTAGGGTTCTTAGTGAAGGGTAAGGCTTAATCCTGGGTTAGAGTATCTGTAAGCATACGATTAAGGGTAGGATTACCAAAAATAAAAATCCTAAACATACTGGGCATTTAACTAGCAGCACTAATAAGTCAATCTATTGTGACTTCTTTACAGTTACAGAGACTGAAATGAGAAATGTATCCATCAAGTTCTGCCTCACATCTACTTTCGCCGTTGATTCAAAAGGCGGCTATTAAACAAAAAGAAGAAAAAAAAAAGAAGAAAAACCTTTGAAGCATTTCCCATTGACACACACTATATTGTATGACAGTACACACACACTATATACAATGTAACAGATAAAATAAACATTGTATCGCTGATTATAAAGACTAACAGTACACACACACAGAATGATTATACACTATTACACACACACACACACAGAATGATTATACACTATTACACACACACACACAGAATGATTATACACTATTACACACACACACACAATGAATACACTATTACACACACACACACACACACACACACAGAGAGAATGAATACACTATTACACACACACACACACACACACACTATTACACACACACAGAGAATGAATACACTATTACACACACACACAATGAATACACTATTACACACACACAGAGAATGAATACACTATTACACACACACAGAGAATGAATACACTATTACACACACACAGAGAATGAATACACTATTACACACACACACAATGAATACACTATTACACACACACAGAGAATGAATACACTATTACACACACACACAATGAATACACTATTACACACACACAGAGAATGAATACACTATTACACACACACACACACACAGAGAGAATGAATACACTATTACACACACACAGAGAATGAATACACTATTACACACACACACACACACAGAGAATGAATACACTATTACACACACACACACAGAATGATTATACACTATTACACACACACACACACACACAGAGAATGAATACACTATTACACACACACACACACACACACACACAATGAATACACTATTACACACACACAGAGAATGAATACACTATTACACACACACACAGAGAATGAATACACTATTACACACACACACACACACACACAGAATGAATACACTATTACACACACACACACACACACACAATGAATACACTATTACACACACACACACACAGAGAATGAATACACTATTACACACACAGAGAATGAATACACTATTACACACACTATATTGTATAAAACACACAGCAAGCCCCCCCCGAATATTGTGATATTTACAGACCGAGATCCCACTTCCTGTCCGAGGCCTTTTTCCCAGCTCAGTTCCTGGACAAGCCGCCGCTTACCCGCAAAGGACAGCGGGAGTTGTAGTTCACCGTCTATAAAAGTATGTATGGCCTCAGCCAGTTTCATCCGCTAAAAATCCTACAACTCCCAGTATGCCTTGCGCCCACCCAGCTGATCGACAACCTCAAGGAAAACAAGAGTTCGGAATATACCAAGTGCTTCAGACAGGGGGAGCAACCTTACAATGAAACATTCCGGGATGGTTTGTCCTAGGCATCGAATTGCGCATGCGTCATTCTGAGCTCGTGCTCGTGGGACACGGGGCCGCGCATTAGGCAGATCCGTTACCTAGACAACCAGTGTTAGGTGGATGTTTACCCCCATTTTACAGAGCCTTATACTGAGTAACACTGTGTCACCTAGTGTAAAGCCTGCGTATACCGTCACCCAGTATATATACAGTCTGCGTATACCGTCACCCAGTATATATACCGCCTGCGTATACCATCACCCAGTATATATACCGCCTGCGTATACCGTCACCCAGTATATATACAGCCTGCATATACCGTCACCCAGTATATATACAGTCTGCGTATAGCGTGACCCAGTATATATACACCGCCTGCGTATACCGTCACCCAGTATATACACAGCCTGCGTATACCGTCACCCAGTATATATACACCGCCTGCGTATACCGTCACCCAGTATATATACCGCCTGCGTATACCGTCACCCAGTATATATACAGTCTGCGTATAGCGTGACCCAGTATAAATACCGCCTGCGTATACCGTCACCCAGTATATATACAGCCTGCGTATACCGTCACCCAGTATATATACAGTCTGCGTATACCGTCACCCAGTATATATACAGCCTGCGTATACCGTCACCCAGTATATATACAGTCTGCGTATACCGTCACCCAGTATATATACAGTCTGCGTATAGCGTGACCCAGTATATATACCGCCTGCGTATACCGTCACCCAGTATATATACCGCCTGCGTATACCGTCACCCAGTATATATACACCGCCTGCGTATACCGTCATCCAGTATATATACATGCGTTATGCCGTCACCCAGTATATATACAGCCTGCGTATACCGTCACCCAGTATATATACGGTCTGCGTATACCGTCGCAGTATATATACAGCCTCGTATACCGTCACCCAGTATATATACGGTCTGCGTATACCGTCACCCGGTAACTTATATACAGTCTGGCATTATGGCGTGACCAGTATATATACGCCTCTTGCGTATGCGGTACCCAGTATATATACGCCCTCTTTTGCATTGTACCGTCACCCAGTATATATACAGCCTCGTATCTACCGTCACCGTGCTTGCCGGCCTATAATACGTCACCATTATATATACAGCCTGCGTATGCGTCGCAGTATATGCTTACGGCGTACTCTGTATACCGTCGCAGTATATATATACAGTCCTGCATTATAAGCGTGACCCCGGTATATATACGCCTGCATTATATACCGTCACCCAGTATATATACCGCCTGCGTATACCGTCACCCAGTATATATACAGTCTGCGTATAGCGTGACCCAGTATATATACCGCCTGCGTATACCGTCACCCATTATATATACAGCCTGCGTATACCGTCACCCATTATATATACAGCCTGCGTATACCGTCACCCAGTATATATACAGCCTCTGTATACCGTCACCCAGTATATATACCGCCTGCGTATACCGTCACCCAGTATATATACAGTCTGCGTATAGCGTGACCCAGTATAAATACCGCCTGCGTATACCGTCACCCAGTATATATACAGCCTGCGTATACCGTCACCCAGTATATATACAGTCTGCGTATACCGTCACCCAGTATATATACAGCCTGCGTATACCGTCACCCAGTATATATACAGTCTGCGTATACCGTCACCCAGTATATATACAGTCTGCGTATAGCGTGACCCAGTATATATACCGCCTGCGTATACAGTCACCCAGTATATACACAGCCTGCGTATACCGTCACCCAGTATATATACAGTCTGTGTATACCGTCACCCAGTATATATACAGTCTGCGTATAGCGTGACCCAGTATATATACCGCCTGCGTATACAGTCACCCAGTATATACACAGCCTGCGTATACCGTCACCCAGTATATATACAGCCTGCGTATACCGTCACCCAGTATATATACAGCCTCTGTATACCGTCACCCAGTATATATACAGTCTGTGTATAGAGTTACCCAGTATATATACAGCCTGCATATACCGTCACCCAGTATATATACAGCCTGCGTATACCATCACCCAGTATATATACAGCCTGCGTATACCGTCACCCAGTATATATTCCGCCTGCGTATACCGTCACCCAGTATATATACCGCCTGCGTATACCGTCACCCAGTATATATTCCGCCTGCGTATACCGTCACCCAGTATATATACCGCCTGCGTATACCGTCACCCAGTATATATACAGCCTGCGTATAGCGTCACCCAGTATATATACACAGTCTGTGTATAGTGTGCATCACATGTACCCGGTGCCAAGTCACACAGCTGGTCCCCTGGATAGATATTTAGGTTTTTAAGTAATTTCCTCACATAAAACAAGGCTTTACAAATCCAGGGAGCCAGGTTGCAATGGAGTCTATGGAGACTCGGTAATAAGACTGGTCTCCCTGCACCTCCCTGTATCCAAAGACAAGTCTGGAAACCTTAGAAAGAAAGAAAGCAGCGTTTTTCTATGGGGACCTGAAGCATGAGACCACTGTCTAGAGGAGGGAGAATGTCTAATGGCAGGATTTAAAAAGGTCCCTGTTGGTATGCAGAGCCTGCCAGCCTCCCCGGCACTCAATGAGTGCCAATCCACCTTTAAAGGAACACTATTGCCCAAATGACAAAGTATTAGAAATCACTTTTTTTGTAGATATACCCCCAATGAAAAACATCTATGAATTTCTCATTTGAAATTGAATTTTAATTATGCAAATTGTGCAGATCTCGTCTGCTGCCTTTGCAAGCCCTCCCCTTTAAGTATCAGGACATGTTGATTGATTGACAGTCAGTGGGTATAACAAGGTTGATTTACAAAAGTGTCAATTTCTATTAAATTCTGCACTTTTTTGTGAAATGAAAAAGAAAAACAAAACTTCACACAACACACTTAAGCAGTTGCTAGTGTCCCTTTAAGAACTGTTTGACAATTACCTGCGTCCCCTGGGTGTCCGCAGTCTTACCCATTTTCACCTGTCATTGGACAAAGAGTTTCTATGCAAACTAGGTGTATTGCATCCTCCCCAACCATATCACGTTACCCCTCGCTGGATATTCATCCATTTATTTACAGTGTATTATAATGTTGAAGAACAGCTTTGTATCCTTGATACTCTGAAACACAGTGGTTCCCAAACCAGTCCACACTTACAGTCCAGGATTAATGCAATTCCCTGTTTTATTCCGATGGAGATACTGACAAACCTGGAGTTTTGGTGGGTCTTGAGGACACTGTGATAACACATTATAAAAGATCTCTGAATTTGATACTCAAGGTATGTGAACAAGGGGGATTAATGAGTGGCAGGCTATTACCATGAAATATTCAGCAATGCTCGCACACCCATAGAAACAGGCGTTTACTATTTGGCAATCCTCAATGTAGTCACGCCCGCAGATTCAGGGAGGGTGAAGTACAAGTTGTCGCTGCCTTTGTCTGAGTCCGACTCCTGTACTTACCATTATTGCTGCCTAAAGCAGTTTAGCTCACAGCATCACACATCCTGTCACTGTTTTATTCACTAATGGGAGAATTGTCAGGAAATCAAAGTGAATTTCTATTTCAGGCCTAAATAGCTAAACTAGAAAACTCAAAGATTGGCTACTTTGGCCTCAAATCAACTTTGAATTCCTGGCCCATTGTGATGTTAGTAAACAACCCTGATAGTAGCAGATGCAAAGTTGATACATTGTATAAGCTGCCTGTCAAGTCAAAGCCACGCCCCCAAAGATACTCCCCTCAGCTTCCATTGGTGAGGGGAATGTTTACCTTATATGGCCTGACACTGCCACAGCACAAGTGCCTATTGGGTAGGAGCTAAGCCTGCCTGATGACCTCATTATACAAACAAAGCAGAGGATTAGGGGAGTTGTAGTTCCACTCTAATAGGCTGTATCAAGCCATGTGGGATAGACAAGGGTAGAAGTGGACAGATGCTATTAATAAATAGCAAATTGAAATTGTAGAACTAGAGTGTGTAATTCTAAATGGGAGATAGAGTCATGTAAATAAATTCTACTGTTAGCAGAAGGAAGTAGTAGATACATGGTACAGCCTTTAAGTGTGTATGGTAAATGAATTTATCAATGCATGGGGTGTGTATTATTGCCCTGGAAAGCTAAGTGTTGTATTCACTATCACAGAGTTGCAGTGAATTAAAAAAACAAATTGCATAATTAAAGATAAAATTGCTAAGTTGTGACTTTATTTTTGCCTAAATCTAGCAATATTACTCGTCGATTCTCTACAATTTGTTACTTAGTAAAAAACCATGAAAGCAGACAGGGAATAGGGGGGTCATAGTTGGTTCTATAATGATGAATGCTTATTCGTGCGTATGGGGGGATTTACTAAGCTGTGAATTGGGATTTAGCAATCCCATTGCAAAGTGGAGACAAAAACTGGCCAGTTTAAAATGTAGTAGTATTTATGTTATTTCCAACTTGCCTAATTTGGATTTATTATTCAGTTCACTAACATGCAGTTAAATCAATAAACCCCTAAAATGTTTACATTTTTTCAAAAGGCCTGTAAAATGTTTCCGTAATCATCGACTTGTATGTATTGATAGGTTGTTGTTTTTTGTTTACTTGTAATAAGGTAACAAAATATTTATGGGATTTATTTACTAAATAGGGGATTGTGGTGAATTAACACATAACTGCAAGTGTAACTAAAAATTAAACAAGATGGAATAAAATAGCTGAAATGAGAATTTTTCCAAATTGGCTGTTTGGTCTGAAATGTGCATTTCGCTTACCGTGATAAATAGAGCACTGTACAATCGGTAAAACAAGACAAACAAATAATTCTAACAAAACATGTTTGACCTACGGGAACAGTAGTGGAAGAGAGCCCTGCTCGAACGAGCTTTTTTGAAACCCGTGTCTATTCTCCAAAATTAGTAAATACATTTGATTAGAGATATGTAACAGGCAAATAGCACCACGTGTCACATTATCAAGGCGGTAATGATAAACTAACATTGAGATATGTAACAGGCAAATAGCACCACGTGTCACATTATCAAGGCGGTAATGATAAACTAACATTGAACGGCTTAGTTTTTGTCTAGATGTAGAGTCTGCCTGCTTCGCATTCTGAGACAGTGATTTAAAAACTACAAGATCCAGCATGCCTTGCTTCTCCACACCTCCCCTGGGCTGAATTTTGCAGACGGGCAGTTGTGCGTGTAAGCAGTGAGTGTGCAGTGTGTGTTTATAAATGAATATATACATGTCTGCTTGTTAGTGTGAATATTATATAGCCATTATTTAGAAATATAAAGATATACACTTGTGGACCTGTCCACAGTGTGGGTTTATTTTCTATTTTAGCACTTTTATCAGAGTATATTGTGTATGTTGAGCTCTATAAACTGGGGTTTGCACAGAACACAAACGTTACTGACCTGTTTGCTTTTGAAATTAGCAAAGTTCAGCGTAATTTTATAAATATTAGGCATGGGGGGTGTGCAATACGGCTTGGATACTACAAGTTTGGAAATGTATCTTTAAGTTTATCCATATTGTGTTCTGTTTGTTTTTATCATACTAACTGGGCTCTTTGTGTGTTGCAGAGTTCTATATTAAGCCCCATCGTGCTAGGATCAGCAGAGTGCTAGGATCAGCAGGTACCACTCAAGTAGCTGCCCGAGTCACTGCTCCTGGGATGTCTGGGGACATGGAGCAGTTGAAACAGCAGCTGCTGGTATCGCAGTTTGTGTTGGCTGCGGGATGTGCCACTGACCAGGCAGAGCAGCTACTGCGGGCAGCACACTGGCAGTACGAGGTGGGTCTCGCCTACTCCCCTCTCACCTTCACCTACAGTTTCTCGATCCGTCTTGTTTTATTGGATGTAAATCACTTTTTGTGCTGAGGGTCAGGGCATGAAAAGTTTCCCTTCATTATAAAAAATTCAGGGGGGAAATAATAAATCAAGAATATATTTCATGTCCTGCACATCAGCATTAAGAAATAATTTGTAACCAGGAAGACATGATGGATCTGCCAACTCAGCACTACCTTACCTCTCTGTTACCAAATTCCTTCTTGATTATGTTGTACTCTAGCTTGTTTTTTAAAACTGTTGCAAGAATCAATTTAATTAGAGTAAATCCCATTCTATATCCCTAATTAATGACTGATCGTCTTGTTGTGACCTTCCTGTGCGGTTAGTCTCTGTCACTATTCATACTATTCCTCATTCCAGCGTGGAAAATTATGTGCACCCTGTCCTTTTAGTTCCACACGTATCTTACATGTATGATTAATATTTCTTCCACAGACTGCCCTCAGTGCTTTCTTCCAGGAGTCAAACCATCCGTACATCCCGCACCACCAGATGGTAAGCAAGATGTTGGCAGAGCCCAGGGATGGGTTAATATGATGTAAGAAGGGGGCACATTGAGTGAAATATAACATTTATGAAGGGTTACTGTATTCAGCAACACAGGAAGTATTCAGTATAGGGCAGGCATCTTAAACTCAGGCCCCCAGATATTGTTTAACCACAACTTACATGATTCTCAAGGTCAGGAGTGGGTAGATTCCCAGATGTTGTAGAACTACAACTCCAATGATGCTTTCCACACCTTTAGCATGCCTTTAGTGCATCATGGCAAAAGCTTCATGCAGTCTGGATCATAGGCGTGTGCAGCCTATTGTATAAGGGTGTGCACCCTAAAGCACAAACACACACACCGCGTATATGTGTGTGTGTGTATATATATATATATATATATATATATATACATACACACACACACACACATACTGCTGTGTGAGGGCGCTGTGTGTGTGTGCAGGGGGGCGCTGTGTGTGCAGGTGGGCGCTGTGTGTGTGTGCAGGCACTGTGTGTAAGAGCGCTGTGTGTGTAAGGGTGCTGTGTGTATATGTAAGGGTGCTGTGTGTGTAAGGGTGCTGTGTGTGCAGGCACTGTGTGTATATGTAAGGGTGCTGTGTGTGTAAGGGTGCTGTGTGTGTATGTGTAACGGTGCTGTTAGTGTGTGCTGTGTATGTGTAAGGGTGCTTTTAGTGTGTATGTGTGTGTAAGGGTGCTATTAGTGTGTGCTGTGTGTGTAAGGGTGCTGTTAGTGTGTGTGTGTAAGGGTGTTGTTAGTGTGTGTGTGTGTGTGCTGTGTGTGTAAGGGTGCTGTTAGTGTGTGTGTGGGGATGCTTTTAGTGTGTGTGCTGTGTGTGTAAGGGTGCTGTTAGTGTGTGCTGTGTGTGTATGTGTAAGGGTGCTGTGTGTGTGCTGTGTGTGTAAGTGGGCTGTGTGTGTGTATTTGTAAGGGTGCTTTTAGTGTGTGTGTGCTGTGTGTGCAAGGGTGCTGTTTGTGAGGGCGCTGTGTGTGAGGGTGCTGTAAGTGTGTGGTGTGTGAGGGTGCTGTTAGTGTGTGTGTGTGCTGTGTGTGTAAGGGTGCTATTAGTGTGTGCTGTGTGTGTGTACGTGTGAGGGTGCTTTTAGTATGTGTGCTGTATGTGTGAGGGTGCTGTTAGTGTGTGTGCTGTATGTGTAAGGGTGCTGTGTATGTGTAAGGGTGCTGTTAGTGTGTGTGCTGTATGTGTAAGGGTGCTGTGTGTGTGAGGGTGCTGTTAGTGTGTGTGCTGTGTGTGTAAGGGTGCTATTAGTGTGTGCCGCGGGGATAAGGGTGTGCCCAGGCACACCCCATGTGCACGCCTATGGTCTGGATGAAGGTTGGTGTGGGGCCATGCAGTCTGGATGAAGGTTGGTGTGGGACCATACAGTCTAGATGGAGGGTGGTGTGGGGCCATGCAGTCTGGATGGAGGTTGGTGTGGGGCCATGTAGTCTGGATGAAGGTTGGTGTGGGACCATACAGTCTAGATGGAGGTTGGTGTGGGGCCATGCAGTCTGGATGGAGGTTGGTGTGGTGCCATGCAGTCTGGATGGAGGGTGATGTGGGGCCATGCAGTCTTGATGGAGGTTGGTGTGGGGCCATACAGTCTAGATGGAGGTTGGTGTGGGGCCATGCAGTCTGGATGGAGGTTGGTGTGGGGCCATGCAGTCTGGATGGAGGGTGGTGTGGGGCCATGCAGTGTGGATGGAGGTTGGTGTGGGACCATACAGTCTGGATGGAGGTTGGTGTGGGGCCATGCAGTCTGGATGGAGGAGTGGTGTAGAGGCCATGCAGTCTGGATGGAGAGTGGTGTGTGGGACCATACAGGTGCAGGCCGGAGGGATTGGTGTGAGGGCCGCTGCAGTCTAGTGGAGGTTGGTGTGGGGCCATGCAGTCTGGATGGAGGTTGGTGTGGGACCATGCAGTCTGGATGGAGGTTGGTGTGGTGCCATGCAGTCTGGATGGAGTTTGGTGTGGGGCCATGCAGCCTGGATGAAGGTTGGTGTGGGGCCATGCAGTCTGGATGGAGGTTGGTTTGGGGCCATGCAGTCTGGATGGAGGTTGGTGTGGGGCCATGCAGTCTGGATGGAGGTTGGTGTGGGGCCATGCAGTCTGGATGGAGGTTGGTGTGGGGCCATGCAGTCTGGATGGAGGTTGGTGTGGGGCCATGCAGTCTGGATGGAGGTTGGTGTGGGGCCATGCTGTCTGGATGGAGGTTGGTGTGGGGCCATGCAGTCTGGATGGAGTGTGGTTTGGGACCATACAGTCTAGATGGAGGTTGGTGTGGGGCCATGCAGTCTGGATGGAGGTTGGTGTGGGACCATACAGTCTGGATGGAGGTTGGTGTGGGGCCATACAGTCTGGATGGAGGTTGGTGTGGGACCATACAGTCTAGATGGAGGTTGGTGTGGGGCCATGCAGTCTAGATGGAGGTTGGTGTGGGGCCATGCAGTCTGGATGGAGGGTGGTGTGGGGCCATGCAGTCTGGGTGGATGGAGGTGGTGGTGTGGGGCCATGCAGTCTGGATGGAGGTTGGTGTGGGGCCATGCAGTCTGGATGGAGGTTGGTGTGGGGCCATGCAGTCTGGATGGAGGTTGGTGTGGGGCCATGCAGTCTGGATGGAGGTTGGTGTGGGGCCATGCAGTCTGGATGGAGGTTGGTGTGGGGCCATGCAGTCTGGATGGAGGTTGGTGTGGGGCCATGCAGTCTGGATGGAGGTTGGTGTGGGGCCATGCAGTCTGGATGGAGGTGGTTGGGGCCATGCAGTCTGGATGGAGGTTGGTGTGGGGCCATGCAGTCTGGATGGAGGTTGGTGTGGGACCATGCAGTCTGGATGGAGGTTGGTGTGGGGCCATGCAGTGTGGATGGAGGTTGGTGTGGGACCATACAGTCTGGATGGAGGTTGGTGTGGGGCCATGCAGTCTGGATGGAGGTTGGTGTGGGGCCATGCAGTCTGGATGCAGGGTGGTTTAGAGCTATGCAGTAGGGATAATGGGTTGCTAGTAGTGTGTGATAGTAATGATTGGTGGCTCAAGACTTTCCATTGCGAGACTAGGGAATAAATACGAATGATATGGAACTGCAGTATAATAAATACAATAAAATAGGCGATTGAAGGGGGCTGGCGAGCATAGATATTATGAAACTAGGGCATATGATGGGGAGGAGGTGATCTGGTGTGTGCAGTAATGGGTCTGGTTGATGGTACATGATAAAAAATTAGAAGATGCTGGTTAGTCATTGCACGAGTGATGAAGGGTGGAAGGTGCTTTGTAACTGTGTGCAGCATTGTTAATTGATCATAATTCTCATGTGTAGAACTTCAGAAGCATGTGGCTTTGTAGCTTTTTTTTTGTCACAAACCTCTTAATGTAGTTGGTAGGAAGTAATGTGGATTTGAAAGGTAGCAGAAGTGGGTTATTGACATATTTGAAAATTAGTGGAGTGAGATATGCTGAGGTGGGGAGGTCGGAAAGAAATGAGAAATGTAAAAATATAGAAAGGATAGGCTAAAGAAGAAGAAAATGAAAAAGAAGAATAATAGGATCCAAACCGTGCAGTTTATGGTAGACAATTTTAAAGCTCTTCAAGAAAGGCGCAGGGTGAGCTGTTGGTGAAGACAGGCACAGGGTTAGCGGATTGTGAGGACAGACGCAGAGTGAGCAAATGGTGAGGACAGGAACAGGGTGAGCGGTTGGTGAGGACATGCGCAGGGTGAGCGGTTGGTGAGGACATGCGCAGGGTGAGCGGTTGGTGAGGACAGGCGCAGGATGAGCGGTTGGTGAGGACAGGCGCAGGATGAGCGTTTGGTGAGGACAGGCGCAGAGTGAGCAGTTGGTATGGAAAACAGACATTCCTCACCAAGTGAGCTGTTAGTGAGAATGTTAGAGATAACATATAACAAGAAGGAGGATTGAAATGTGGTGTGAGCAGTAGCAGTTGGAAAATCAAGATGAAGTGAGCAGTTGGCAAGGAGAATAAAGGTGGGAACTGCTATGGATTGAGCATGATGGAGATGAAATTTGGAGGAGAGGGTAGAAGTTACTGAAGCAAAAATGTCTCATCTTTCTTTAGATGGGTACTCCTGCCAACACGCCTGCCACCCCTCCAAACTTTCCTGATGCCCTCGTCATGTTTTCCCGCCTGAAGGCTTCAGATAGCGGCTACCTCTCTTCACTGGCTACGTCCCCTCCTCATCATCAAGGTGGGCTCGGATCAAACGTCTCCCAGGACCCTCGGAATCAGCAGACTGGCACGGGACTTTCCAGTCCAGAAGTGGCACACTGCTCTCATAGATCAGGAGGTGTAGACCCTAACTCCGGTGCGGAGGCCGAGAGATGAGATGAATGAGAATTGGAGGTGCAGAATATGGCATGTAAACGTTCTTCTGGGGCTATATTGCGAGACACCTGCAAAGTATTGCTCCTTAGAGCGACAAGAAATCTCAACAGAGCAATACAGCAATGGCAGATCGCCGGATTACCTCACGTGCCTGCAGAGCATTGCACCAGCTAGTTCTGACAACTTTTGCAGAGCATCGCTCCTCTACTAACACTGCATTACTCTGCTGTGCAACATCACCTTCCTCACCTGGTGGGATTTTAGCCGTACCTCACTCTGCAATGTATCCTGACGCAGAGACCCTCCTGACCTCAGCACTTGTTATACCCTAAGGTTTTCAGCACTTGTGTAGGAATGTGTACCCATGAGATATTTCTAAAACCGGAATCCCCAGTTCCATTAATGTATTTTTTTTTTTTTAGGTTTTCTTGGTTTTTTTTTGTAAACTTGTCATCCTTCCAAATAAAATAGGGTGTCATAACACAGCTCTGTATTGCAATGCTGTCCATTAGAAGGTCAGTAAAATTAACAAGAAAAGGTTCCTTATTTTAACAAGCGTCTTATAAAATCTGTATTGTCAACCTGACGTGTGCTACGTCCTCTTATTGTGAGATAAACAGGGTTATTCACAAAAGTAAGAATTCCAAGTGAATTTTAAATTTGAAACCAAACTAGTCGAAATGGAAAAGGGCAGGCTATGCTGTGGTTACTTTGACTTTATATAATTCTGTGAACACTGGAAGGAAACAAAACCACACCTTTAATATTATTTTAAATTGTTTCAGATGTTTGTAATGTAGGAGAAAAAAAAGAAACATAATTTGCAGGAATCTTTCATTGGGGGTTAAAGGGACACTCCAGTCACCCAGACCACTTCTGCCCATTGGAGTGGTCTGGGTGCCAACTCCCACTACCCTTAACCCTGCAAATGTAATTATTGCAGTTTCTACTAGACAGCCACTAGAGGGCACTTCTGGGTTTATAGCACAGATTTTTAGCACTTCCCCATAGGGAAGCATTGAGAGCATTTTTCAATGCTTTCCTATGGGGAGGTCTAATGCGCAATCAGTCTCTCCCGCTGCATGACGTTGGCGGGGGAGGAGCGTGGAGCGTGGGCGGACCCTGGACCAGCGCCGAGGGACATCGCTGAAGGGGTTTAAACTCCTTCAGCAATCTGGGATGGGGGTGGGAGGGAGAGGGGACCTGTAGTGCCAGGAAAACAGTTTGTTTTCCTGGCACTGGAGTGTCCCTTTAATCTCCAAACTGAGAATTGAGAGGAAAGCAAATTTAGGCCAGAAATAAGGAGCTTACATATAGCTTAATTAGAGTCATTTTAAAATTCCACTCTTCCCCACATTAAATATAAAAAAATAATAATAATAAGTAACGATAAAATAGACGAGGTTGCTACAATATCTGCTGTCTTTAAAGTGGAGAATAATGCATATCAAGTCTCACGATACACAGTATATGCTTACCTTCCAAGTGTCCCTATTTAGGAAAGACAGTCCCTATTATGGATCCAAATCCCTCTGTCACTCTTATCTATCCTAATGTCCCTCTTTTCTAGAATAGAAACCCCATATTGTTGGTGTGTCTGATTGTGTAACAGAGCCCCACAGCAATAATACTCCCAGTAATGTGTCTCCATGTATAACAGAGCTCCACAGTAATAATACTCCCAGTAATGTGTCTCCATGTATAACAGAGTTCCACAGCAATAATACTCCCAGTAATGTGTCTGAGTGTATAACAGAGCTCCACAGCTATAAATGGCGTGCGCCCATTAGACCTCCCCATAGGAAAGCATTGAATCAATGCTTTCCTATGGGGGAAAATCTGACGCTGAGGGTTCTCATGCACACCGTGAAGAGGACGTCCAGCATCAGATAACTGACCAAAAGTTCTCTGGGACTGCAGTATTTAACATTGTAGCATTAGGTGCAAAAGGGACTGTTCCCATCAGTTTGCAGCATTCATTTTGAACAGGAGTGAAAACAACTGAATATATTAAAAGGACATTATAGTCACCAGAACAACTACAGCTTTTTGTGTTTGTTCTGGTACGTAGAATTAGGCCCTGCAAACATTTTGCAGTAAACACTGTCTTTTCATAGAAACGGCAGTGTTTACATTACAGCCTAGGGACACCTCCAGTGACAGTCACTCAGATGGCTCATAGAAAAGCTTCCTGGGACAATGTCTACAGTGTGCAGCACTGACGTTCAGCATCTCCACACTCTGCATGAAGACTCTGAAAGTTCCCCATAGAGATGTTTTGATTAAATGCTGATTGGCGCAGTGCAGTGCATGTGCAATAGCCTCCTTGGACTGGTTGAGATCATCAAGTTTGATCTCAGCCAAGGAGGCGGAGCATGGCCAGACCGGCGTGGGAGAAAAGGTGAGTAAAATCAAATTTTCAAAGCAAAGCGAGGGGGTGGGGACCTAAATACCCATTGCAGGACTATAGAGTCAGGAATACATGTTAATATTACTGACGCTATAGTGTTCCTTTAAACATAGCAAATAACACAAAGGAACAGCTGCATGTGACTGAGCACCATTAGAACTGTTCACAAATGTCCAAGGTTATTATTCATCTCTGGACCTGAGTAGAATGTGCAACCTTGGCTATCCAGCTTTTGCTGGACTACGTGTTTACCAGAAATCGAGCTGTTTGAGAGCCAAGGTTGGATATTCTTGGTTTAGATGTTTTGACTAAATATTCTTTAAGCCTGAAGGCCACTGATAGCTACATGTGAGCATGTTTTCTACTAGCTGCCTCTGAAACTCGTGCAATTGGTATGATAAAATATTTCCGATTTATTGATATACTGCACATGTAAAAATCTCATATTAAAAGAAAGAGTTCCAGGGAATTCTGGGAGACTGCAAGTGGTTCAAACTTGCTCCAGGAGACAGGGGGGAGAAGGGATTATACTTCATTTATAGCAGACTGTTCCCTCTTCCATGTTCTGCAAGCCCACAGTGATTGCATGAGTTTATTCACTGGTCCGGTCCTGTCTCCGTGCCACCTTCCAGGCTTTGTTGTAGGATGGGGGATTCTGTGACTGTTGGCACATGGAGTGAGTTGCGGGTGTTCTGAGAAGAGTGTATTGAAGTACCTGTCACAGAGAGAATATAGAGTGTCAGCCAGGTCACGAATGCTCAAAAACACGCATCTGCACGTGATCTGTTTACTAAACCCTATAATAAATGCATGATCCCATCATCAGCAGAACTGGACTCACGGTTGACGGGGGTGCTCAGACTTCTCTGCTGGGTGGCAGAGCGCGCTCGCTCTATCCTTGATGGTGGCAGGGGAGTCATCACCACTATAGAGAAAGGAAAAACAATATTTAGCAAAATGCAAACTGAACGTTTTCTTGAGAGTTGAGAATCCAAAATGGAATTTAAAGGGGAATTGAGTACAGAGAAAAAGCAATAGCTTGCCCTTCGATTAGTCCTTGCTCAGGTCTCGAGAACATTCATTGCTGACACTTACCTGAGGGATCCTTCTCGGATGTTTGGTTGCCGAAGGACTTATCTATTCTTCCCTTATACATCATGCCATCTATCCCAATCAAGTCAAACTCGCTCTACAAGAAATTAATTTAAAAAAAATAAAAAATGGGCAGGGATATGACGGCCATGGAAATGTCTTCATACACAGTCTTAGAACATCTCTGTTGAACAATTTTACATGCATTATGTATCAGAGCTGGATAGTGGATAATGCGTGTTGTTTGTTTTTTTAACCCCATTTGTTTTAAAAATTAATAAATAAATACAATCTGTAGTATACAAGGTAACACTGGCTTATGTTGCATCCTGCAAAGAAGAATTATAGTGTACCTATAAAGCCCTCCTCTTCTTTCTTCTAGAACGCAGCTCTGTGCTTTGTCATCCGTGTAGTCTATTAAACGTCCATTGCAAGAATGTACTCACATTTCTGTAGACAGACTGCCCATAGTCAGCGTATGGGTATACAGTTGTCAGGTGCTGCGTACGGGACATCCTCTTGTAGTGAGGGCAGGCCGTGTGGGGCCTTTGGCTCTCTGAGTACTGGAAATCGGAGTCTGTCACTTGTAATGGGTCTCTGTGAGGGAGAGAGTGACTAAGAGGGTGGATTTCTGAGTGACACCATTGTGACAATGATAATCAAACTGACTACCTCTATGTATTGTATATGATACATTATAGTCTGTGTAAGAGATGATTACCCTGTATTTACTGTGTAAGAGGTTGGAGTTCTGTTACATGTTGTATAACAAATAAAATCCCTGTATGTAGAGTTTAGGTGGTGGGAGTTACGTTACATTGTGTAGAACAGATTATTATTATGCTATTGTTTATATAGCGCCAACAAATTCCACAGCGCTTTACAGTGGGTGGACGAACAAACATGTCGTTGTAACCAGACAAGTTGGACACACAGGAACAGAGGGGTTGAGGTCCCTGCTCAGTGAGCTTACATGTTAGAGGGTGTGGGGTATAGTGACACAGTAACAGAGGGATTGAGGGCCCTGCTTAGTGAGTTTACATGTTAGAGGGAGTGGGGTATAGTGACACAGTAAATGAGGGATTGAGGCCCTGCTCAGTGAGCTTACATGTTAGAGGGAGTGGGGTATATTGACAGTAACAGAGGGATTGGGGGCCTGCTCAGTGAGCTTACATGCTAGAGGGAGTGGGGTATAGTGACACAGTAACAGAGGGATTGAGGGCCTGCTCAGTGAGTTTACATGTTAGAGGGAGTGGGGTATAGTGACACAGTAGCAGAGGGATTGAGGGTCTGCTCAGTGAGTTTACATGTTAGAGGGAGTGGGGTATAGTGACACAGTAACAGAGGGATTGAGGGTCTGCTCAGTGAGTTTACATGTTAGAGGGAGTGGGGTATAGTGACACAGTAACAGAGGGATTGAGGGCCTGCTCAGTGAGTTTACATGTTAGAGGGAGTGTGGTATAGTGACACAGTAACAGAGGGATTGAGGGCCTGCTCAGTGAGCTTACATGTTAGAGGGAGTGGGGTATAGTGACACAGTAACAGAGGGATTGAGGGCCTGCTCAGTGAGTTTACATGTTAGAGGGAGTGGGGTATAGTGACACAGTAACAGAGGGATTGAGGGCCTGCTCAGTGAGTTTACATGGTAGAGGGAGTGGGGTATAGTGACACAGTAACAGAGGGATTGAGGGCCTGCTCAGTGAGTTTACATGTTAGAGGGAGTGGGGTATAGTGACACAGTAACAGAGGGATTGAGGCCTGCTCAGTGAGTTTACATGTTAGAGGGAGTGGGGTATAGTGACACAGTAACAGAGGGATTGAGGGCCTGCCCAGTGAGTTTACATGTTAGAGGGGGTGGGGTATAGTGACACAGTAACAGAGGGATTGAGGGCCCTGCTCAGTGAGTTTACATGTTAGAGGGAGTGGGGTATAGTGACACAGTAACAGAGGGATTGAGGGCCCTGCTCAGTGAGTTTACATGTTAGAGGGAGTGAGGTATAGTGACACAGTAACAGAGGGATTGAGGGCCTGCTCAGTGAGTTTACATGTTAGAGGGAGTGGGGTATAGTGACACAGTAACAGAGGGATTGAGGGCCCTGCTCAGTGAGTTTACATGTTAGAGGGAGTGGGGTATAGTGACACAGTAACAGAGGGATTGAGGGCCTGCTCAGTGAGTTTACATGTTAGAGGGAGTGGGGTATAGTGACATAGTAACAGAGGGATTGAGGGCCCTGCTCAGTGAGTTTACATGTTAGAGGGAGTGGGGTATAGTGACACAGTAACAGAGGGATTGAGGCCCTGCTCAGTGAGCTTATATGTTAGAGGGAGTGGGGTATAGTGACACAGTAACAGAGGGATTGAGGGCCCTGCTCAGTGAGTTTACATGTTAGAGGGAGTGGGGTATAGTGACACAGTAACAGAGGGATTGAGGGCCCTGCTCAGTGAGCTTACATGTTAGAGGGAGTGGGGTATAGTGACACAGTAACAGAGGGATTGAGGGCCCTGCTCAATGGGCTTACATGCTAGAGGGAGTGGGGTAAAGTGACACAAGAGGTAAGGATAGTACTAGACTAATGACAGTTGCAAGAGAGGAATCAGTCGGGAGCTATTAACAGTTTAATGGATACACTTTTTTTGAAGAAGTGGGTACATAAAATCTCTGTATGTGCAGTTGAGGTGGTGAGAGTTACGCTACATTATATATAACAGATAAAATCTCTGTATGTGCAGTTTAGGTGGTGGTGGGAGTTACGTTACATTGTGTATAACAGATAAAATCTCAGTATGTGCAGTTTAAGTGGTGGTGGGAGTTACGTTACATTGTGTATAACAGATAAAATCTCTGTATGTGCAGTTTAGGCGGTGGTGGGAGTTACGTTACATTGTGTATAACAGATAAAATCTCTGTATGTGGAGTGTAGGAAAAACGACTCTCTATCTGTTTTTACCCAATGCTCCTTTCTCTGCTGATGTCCGCAGTGCTGGGGCGGTTTCGTGGAGTCAGGGAGGCTGTGCGTACAGTAACCATGTGCCTGGAAAGAAGTAATAAGATATTGAGAGAGATCCCGAGCGGGAGAGAGGACCACAGCTGCAGTTGGTACATTGTGACTATTAGCTATTAGTGCTGCAAGCTTTGTGGTAACCATCTGGAATAGCAGATATTGTACCTGTTTTATAATAATGGTGACAATGTTTCTTATATAAAACGATCGTTATTCAACAGGAAAACGTTGGCGCAGGGGTGGTCAAAAGGTAGACCCCCATCCCCCTAGCTGTTGTAGGACAACACTTCCCATAATGCTTTGCTGCCCCTGCGCTTGTGAGTTATAAGGAATGAAAATAAGAGGAAAAGCTACTGATTACTTACGGTCCAGTTGCCACGGTTATAGGACGATCGCAAGAAATGCACTTAACTGTCTCAAACAGCTTCCTGCAAAGAATAGAACAGTAATGAGAATCTCCTCTGTCCTGCTGTACCTACGTTACGATACAAGTTTATGTACACAACGAAAGGATGGGTATGTTCCCACTAACATCATCTGTTAAAGGACCTTCCTTTGTTCTCAACAATGGGGCTGGTACCAAGAAAAGCCAAAACTAAGTTATCTCATATTAAAATATTTTGAGCTTGGGTCTATGTTCACAATCAGCATTTCAACTAGTTATGAAACTAGTTATCAACCACAACCCAAACTTTTCATTAAAAAAAAAGGTTATTCAAAATACTGAGTGTTGTTTGTTATGTTATAAATACTGTATCTCTCTTGTAAGTTGTCCATTGCCAGAGACTGCTTGCAGGCCCTACCCTTTAATTAGTAATATCAGGCTGATCTCTGAACTGTGCTTCGCAACTCACTTCCTGAAACCAGCAGCCCCATCCGGTTCAAAGGCTTGTCTGGACTCCATGTACTTCTTCAGGATGTGCCTCAGTTCCTCCAGATCCCTGTTAATGGTATCCAGGTCGGATCGGCTTAGCTAAAAAAGGAGAATTGCACGTGGTCATGAGTGACTGTAACTATATTGTGTAATCACACTTTTTATGGGAATTTATACAAAAGATCAAATTTGTACAAAGATAAAGGTAGGTTATCAGATGGAGGATTAAACCCCCTTACCCACATATTTTTAAAATATTGATAGATTTCTATTCTTTCTTTGTATCTTATAAAACCGTAAGCTGGCACACAAATAACGTAGGAGCAACCTAGTATAAGTATCCTGGTTGTCCTACAAGTGCAATAATTGTCCGCAGTGTGCCAGTTGGTGTTGCATTTATTACAGTACTGGGTATATTGTTTGCTGTGGCCAGAATCAGGCAATTTGTGTAGTTGCGTTACTTTTGCCTCCAGGCTGGCTAGCAGTTTTTCCAGCATGGTCCGCCACTCCGAATCCTGCGCGTCCAGCTTCTTAATCAGATCGTCCAGCACACCATTGACCTCGCTCACTGCAGCCTCCAGTTGAGAGTGACCCACTTTAGTATCTAGCGCCCGCTTATCCGCTTTCTGAAGGTAAAATGGGGCAAAAGAACACACGTATAAACTTACTGAAAATTACACTCTACCCTTGTAATCTGGCAGAACGCTCTGCACTCTGTCACTATGTCACAGATTGGTAGAAAGTGTGCACTCACAGTGCTTAGTTCTAACGTGAGTTCCTCGCGGTCGAGTTTCTTTTTCTCCAGTTCATAGATCTGGCCCTGCAAGGTCTAGAGGGAAAGGAGATAGTTAACTATTTTATAAACCATATCACAATATTACTTTACACACCAAACCTTTCACCATACACTAATTATATTATACCAATATTACCTCATACAGTGGGCCTCTTTCCGTACACAATTCATATTATACCAATATCACCACACTAAGACTGCTTGTCCGTACATCTTATTATACCAATATTACATCATACTCCGAGCTTCTCACCATACACCCATCATACCAATATTACATCATACTCCAAACTTCTCACCATACACTCATCGTATTATACCAACATTACATCATACTCCAAACTTCTCACCATACACTCATCGTATTATACCAACATTACATCATACTCCAAACTTCTCACCATACACCCATCGTTTGATACCAATATTACATCATACGCCAAATTTCTAACCACACACCCATCATACCAATATTACCTCATACTCCAAACTTCTAACCATACACCCATCATATCAATATTACATCATACTCCAAACTTCTAACCATACACCCATCGTATTATACCAATATTACATCAGACTCCAAACTTCTCACCATACACCCATCATACCAATATTACATCATACTCCAAACTTCTCACCATGCACTAATTGTATTATACCAATGTTACCTCATACAGTGGGCCTCTTTCCGTACACAATTCATATTATACCAATATCACCACACTAAGACTGCTTGTCCGTACATCTTATTATACCAATATTACATCATACTCCGAGCTTATCACCATACACCCATCATACCAATATTACATCATACTCCAAGCTTCTCACCATACACCCATCGTATTATACCAATATTACATCATACTCCAAACTTCTCACCATACACCCATCATACCATTATTATCTCATACTCCAAACTTCTCACCATACACCCATCGTATTATACCAATATTACATCATACTCTAAATTTCTAACCATACACCCATCATACCAATATTACCTCATACTCCAAACTTCTAACCATACACCCATCATACCAATATTACATCATACTCCAAACTTCTCACCATACACCAATCATATTATACCAATATTACATCATACTCCAAACTTCTCACCATACACCCATCGTATTATACCAATATTGCATCATCCTCCAGATTTCTCACCATACACCAAACTTCTAACCATACACCAGTCGTATTATTCCAATATTACATCATACTCCAAACTTCTCACCATACACCCATCATACCAATATTACATCATACTCCAAACTTCTCACCATACACCCATCGTATTATACCAATATTACCTCATACTCCAAACTTCTCACCATACACCCATCGTATTATACCAATATTACATCATACTCCAAACTTCTACAAGTTTGGAGTATGATGTAATATTGGTATAATATGATGTAACCATACACCAATCGTATTATACCAATATTACATCATACTCCAAACTTCATACCATACACCCATCATACCAATATTACATCATACTCCAAACTTCTAACCATACACCCATCATATTATACCAATATTACATCATACTCAAAACTTCTAACCATACACCAATCGTATTATCCCAATATTACATCATACTCCAAACTTCTCACCATGCACCCATCGTATTATACTAATATTACCTCATACTCCAAACTTCTCACCATACACCAATCATACCAATATTACATCATACTCCAAACTTCTAACCATACACCAATCGTATTATACCAATATTACCTCATACTCCAAACTTCTCACCATACACCCATCATACCAATATTACATCATAATCCAAACTTCTAACCATACACCATTCGTATTATACCAATATTACATCATACTCCAAACTTCTCACAATACACCCATAATACCAATATTACATCATACTCCAAACTTCTAACCATACACCAATCGTATTATACCAATATTACATCATACTCCAAACTTCTAACCACACACCCATCGTATTATACCAATATTACCTCATACTCCGAGCTTCTCACCATACACCCATCATACCAATATTACATCATACTCCAAACTTCTAACCATACACCCATCGTATTATACCAATATTACATCATACTCCGAGCTTCTCACCATACACCCATCGTATTATACCAATATTACATCATACACCCATCATACCAATATAACATCATACTCCAAACTTCTCACCATACACCCATCATACCAATATTACATCATACTCCAAACTTCTCACCAAACACCCATCATATTATACCAATATTACATCATACTCCATTTTCTCACCATACAAAAACTAGATTATACCATATTGCATCATACTCCGAGCTTCTCACCGTACACCAACCATACTTTACCAATAGTACATCATACTCCGAGCTTCTCACCATACACCAACTATATTATACCAATATTACATCATACTCCAAGATTATCATACACCAACTATATTGTACTAATATTACATCATACTCCAAGATTATTACCATACACCAACTATATTCTACTAATATTACATCATACTCCGAGCTTCTCACCTTACATTCATCATATTATTTCAATATTATCTTACACACCGAGCCTCTCGCTGTGCACCAAGCATTCTGTACCATTATTACCTCCTAGCCTTTCACCGTTCACCAACCATATTACACCAGTATTACCTCACTCCTGCTCTCAGACCCCATTACTACCCTCACCACCCTACAATGGTTCCCCATCCTCACTGCTGTCTCTGATAGGTCAGCTTCCAGTTTAGCAGTCTTTGAATCCAGTTTTTGCAGAGCCATGTTCAGCTGATGTAGAGCATTTTGCAGAGTCTTCATCTCATCCTTGCCCTACACATATAGAAAACGTCTTTTAGTTTAGCAAGCATAAGAAAGTTGAACTGTGCTATGCCAATCGTATAATGGGTTGTTATAAGATTTTTTGAACTAGTGTAAAAGACATCTTCTCTAACCAGGCCTCAGTGACCATTCATGGGTCTGGTGTTGTAAATATGTCCATTAGATTGAATAAATCCTATGTTTTCTATTACTGATGGTCATGGAAGTGGAGACATATCTACTTTTTTACATGAGAAGATATAGACATGTGCCCTTACACTTTAATTGACCTATAGTTTTTTCTCTCCAATTTGGGAGCTACTGCGAAGACTGGAGGGCTGGAATGAACAGGGATATAAAAGTGGCCGGGGAGGGTTTAAACGTGGCGAGGACAGTTAGAATATGCAGATTCATTTATGTCCTGGAAATGTGATATCAAGGCAGCAATACAGCACAGTGGTATCAGGTGGAACCATGAGACTCTGTCAGTGTGGTACCAGATAGAAGTCTGAGACTCTGTCAGTGTGGTACAAGGTGGAACTCAGAGACTCTCTCAGAGTAGTATCAGGTGGAACTCTGAGACTCTGTCAGAGTGGTACCAGGTAGAACTCTGAGACTCTGTCAGTGTGGTATCAGGTGGAACTCCGAGACTCTGTCAGTGTGGTACAAGGTGGAACTCTGAGACTCTGTCAGTGTGGTACAAGGTGGAACTCCGAGACTCTGTCAGTAAGGTACAAGGTGGAACTCAGAGACTCTGTCAGAGAGGTACCTGGTAGGAGTCTAGTAGTGTAGTACTGTGTACGAGTATTGTAGTACTGTATAAGAGTAATATAGTACTGTATTAGAGTATTGTAGTAATGTATAAGAGTAATATAGTACTGTGTTAGAGTATTGTAGTAATGTATAAGAGTCCCTCTCTCCATCTTACAAACCTTACTATTTTCACTGAATATTCTGTCCACATCTCGTCTCAGGCTCTGAAGCTGCTGCAACAAGTTGTCAGGGATTCCCACGTTACCTGTGTGATACAGAACATGATCACACATCTAAGCTATTACGACAAACCTGGAAACAGTGTATGTGTGATTGCAATCTCATAGTGGGGATGTGGAGAAGTAATGTGTAATACTGAGTCACATGATATGGGAATGCCATGTTCTCATTAAGCTGACTATATATATATATATATATATATAGTTATAACATGGGATAATAAGCTATAGAGTGGGGCATCTGGAGACGGAAAGCATTGTGGGAGATTATGTTCCAGACACTTGGAGTGATATATTCTGGCTTCACCTTTAGTTTACAGTTTGGGTACCATTTTGCAGATGGCCTCAATGTTTTTTGTGACTTAAGAAGAGTTGCTGGAGTGTTTTGATTACTTAAAAATAATTTGGTTTATTATTAGGAGAATATGAACAATTTACTTGGGAAACTGCATATTTTAGAGCAAAATATTCAAATTGGAAAAAACCTGTGACTCAACAATCTTTCCAGCTTGGAGAATTTGACCTAAAATATGCAGAATGAAACTATAAAGATATGCTTTTTTTTGTAACATACATCTATCTATTTTTTCATCTAATATTTATCTCATGTTTCTATTTTTTTTGCCTATTTGCACAGTTCCACATTGTAATGGAATATTCTGTGTGTACTGCAAAAAAACAGATAGTGAATAAAAATAATGTTACGCAGTTGCAAATAAAAGAATGCCTGTACCACGATATTCAAGGCGACACTGTGACCTATGGGAAATAGATGTTATAAGTTTCACCATGATTATTCAGCCAAGTGAGTTTAGCCAGCAGTAAGTGGTGCCTGCGTGTCATGTGATCCACTATAATGGTGAGCTGGAGGTCAATAACCTAACAAGATTTAATGGACAAATAAACTTGCAAAAATAATATTCTTACATTCTACGGGGTTACATTTCATTCTATATTTAATGCTCGACAAAAAAAAGCATTGTGTGTTATTCTTCAAATTTAATACATAATCTTCCTCTAAAACCAAAGACGCTACTTTGCTTCATATGATTTCTGTTTTGACTCACTGATTTCTCTGCCCAGTTGTTTCAGCTCTTCCTCGATACTGTGTACCCGTTCGGCCAATTCCTCGTGTCTCCCGGGCAGTTTCCCCAAGTTTCGAAGGATTCCCTTGGCATTCTTTTGTTTTGCGTCAGTGCTTAGCATGTTGTTTGAGGCCTGCCAGGTACAGATCAATATATAAAACATAATACAACCTCCATGCGTCCTCTTACACAGATACACTGACTGACCTCTGTGACGAGACCAATCTCGCCACATTGCATTGGAGAAGCCTGGTTGCTCGCCTGCTGCCTTTGGACTATGGTCCCCTGTTAAAAGACATCTTTTTTACCTGCAGAAAAGCTTCATTCGTGCTTTCTGCCTGGGGTTTGGTAGATTTGTTTGAATGTGTTACACCCCAGATAGGAATCCCATGGAGCCCATTCGTATGAAACTGACTGTAAAGACTTTGGCTCCATGGCGATTAAACTGTATTCGTGTGGTCTGAGCGCCATTCACTTAATAATGTGCGCTCAGACCTGAGCTATCTGGGGATATGTGAAATGTCTGTGTTTTATGTATAAATGTGACTTTATGTATTTTAAAGTGCTTTGTGTCTTTTTGCAACCATGTGCTTAATGGAGTCTTGTGTCTGTCCTGGGAGATAATTCAATTACTTATCTCCAGGATAGAAGACTCTGAAACTGGTTTGGGCCAGAAAGCCATGCTTCATTTAGTCACAAAGGACTTTTTACTAACTGTTGAACCCCTTGTCTGATTTGTGCCATTTTTGAATATGTTGTTCCCCTGAATGGATTGATTGAGAATATGTAATTTTATGTGAATGTGATGTATGGTTTTGGAGTTATGAAAGTTGGGTAGAAAGTATGTTTTAACTGTTTGTATAATTGAGTTTCCTCTCAGGATAAGGGGAGGGAATATGTGGGATGTAACTGTGATATGATTGGTTGTTTTATCCCTCCCTGTGGGTGGTCCTGTATTTGAAACACTGTAATAAAAACCAGGCTGGGTGTGCCAGCACCTCAGACCACTGCTTGACCCTCAACACGGAGCCTTGTCTCGTTCTTGGGGGGATTCACTGTATGCTGTTAGAGACTGATTGCCAGGAGTGTAAGCTGCTTTTCCTGTTCGTCTGCTAGCAGCTATTTGGGAGGTTCCAGTTCGGGAGTTGGAGTGCTATTTTGTATCCAGTTTGGGAGTTTGGTGTTCTGCAGTAGCTGTGCCTGTATCTCTGGAAAGGGGGCCGATCGCCTAAACGTTTTTTTTCCCTTGTGTTCAAAACGGTCCGTTACAACCTCCATTTACCAAACAAACATTCTGTTACCCTGTCCTCCCTGAGATTTGGGGGCAGTTAAGTGTTTCTCATCTAAGAAAATGGCAAGATGTGCATGGGTAATGTAAGAGATCCAATTCACTGGCCTGACCTACGAGTTTAGTATTTTTTTAGTATTTTTTTCCACTAATAAATCTCGAGTTCTACAATACACACCCATTTGGCAAACCGCATGCAGGGTTAATGTCAAAGCAACATACCCGAACATGAAAACACCAGTGCTAAGAGCGTCCTACACTACAAAGAGAGTCAAGGTCAGGGATTCCTGAGGTCAGATAAACGCATGCCTAAAGTCAAAATGCACTCTTGGGTAACCGAGACCATGACAGGTAAAAGAGGTGTGGTTAGAGTTACAATACGGGGAACTGGTCACATTAAAAAATTATTTATTTTTTTTAAACGTATTGCATATGGAAAATTGGACAAAGTTCTAAATGTGGAACAAATCAATAGTAACATTCCACTAACATTCTCATTTTTTCAGAACATTTTGTTGCATTCTGTACTGTTTGGGAAAATTTACAGTTGCATCTGTTGTACATTTTGTTTGTAACATTTTGTTTTGTATTTTTTTTTTTAATATAAGAGAGAAGTCCTACAATAAGTGAAAGTTTAAGCCACATCGCCATTGTAGTCAAAATTCAATCAGTGGACCATTTACAACAGGGAATAGAAAAGGGACAAGGTAACTGTGATCCAGTATTGTACTTTGTATCATCATAAATTGGATCAGCATAGTATGAATGATCTTCTAGAACAAAGAGGTGGGGGTCGAGATAATTGGTAAGGAGTAAGTTTTGATTCACTGTATTTTTATTTTACACAAGACAACATGAAATTCACTTACCTCAACTGTCAACGAGTCATGAAGTGAGGACCAGGTGGCCAAATCTGTTGACTCTGGATAAGACAAAATCTTTTTCTGAAGACTCTCCTATAGGGCAGGAACGAAACACATTGTAACAGCCATAGGTATCTGCACCATAGGACAATATGGGACAAATGCCTCTCTTACCCCAACTACTGTCCATCCTTTCCAGTGAATATGTCTGACAGACACCCCTGCTAATAGCTTATCTATTACCCAGGTGTTCTAACTAAGGTAACACATTTAATATTGGAGGGGGGTTATTCATCACCTCCGACATCAGTTTGGCCTTACCAGCTGGTCGGCCAGGGTGGGCTTGTCCTGGTTGCGCCTCTCCAAATCCAGCAATCTCTGCTGAATTGCATTTAGATCCATCTGCAAAAAATACACAGACTTTAAAAAACGTATGGTTCAGTACAAGTATGTTAAAACAAGGATGTCCAATCCCGGGTCTTCAGGACTACATGTCCCACAATTCCCTGTATGCTAATAGGAAATGTGGTTCATGTCATAGAAAATAATACCTTTTAGCCAAGAGCTTGGCTAATAAGGGGCCACCAGATTGGGACATAGCTCCCCTGGATAAGGATTGGTTGGTGGATGGGTCGCCCTTATTCTAGATTGTATGCTTGCAGGCCAATTACAAGCAACATTGGTTTGTTCTAGTAACTAAAGTTTTTTCCTATCCTTAAATTACTGCATATGCATAAACAGCAATAATAAAAAATAATATTGGGATCTATGAAGTAAAGAAAAAAAAAAGTTTTGATATAGCTAATCATTTGCATTTAGAATATTAAAAATTACAATATTTTTTTAAAATTTTTATTTTAAACTTTTTTACAATTTTTTTAAGTTAACTTGTCTTGACAAGCTCTTAAAGCAAGGAATATATCATTGATCATAAAGTTCATTACCAGTGCATTCACATCAAAAAAGAGTGGCACACCATCACTCCATTCTTTTATTCCCCCTGTCAGCAAGAGATGTGCTTGGGTGAATAATTGCGATGGGAAGCAGGAGAACCACCAGTAGGGGAGTTCTCCTGCTCTCCCATGTCAGTCAGTTTATGTAGAAATTGTCTAGCAATTAAAATTACACAGTAGGGATGGTGTATAGAAAGCATTGCATTTGCTTTCACGAATGCTACTTTTAAGTGAATTTGTCATTTTCTTATGTACAAAACCATTGTACCCTTTATACATTGGTGCCCCCTTTTTTTATGAGTAATCAATATCTCTTCCACTTTTTTTCCTTTTTCCATTGATTTGATCATTATGAAAACACATTTGCAGAAACGAGAGAGGACAAAAAAGTAATATTATTCAGGAAAAAAGGCACATTTGCAGTTCGCTGGAATTTATCACACATAAACGTACCCGTCTCAGAAAACCCACCACTCTAACAGTGACGGAAAAATCTGTCGGAAAACTATTGGGCTTCTCTTATTAAACATCGGAGGCAACAAATTTGTGACCGAAAACCATGAACCAAAAAGTAATGGGAAAATAAAATGGTGGAACGAGTGCAGTGAAGAATATTTTCGCACAAATAAAATAAGAAATAGTCCCAAATAGTAAAATTGCCAGAAAAAAACCGACATGAACAGTAAACGCCAAGTGTATAGACAACATTTTATTGTACTATCGTTATGTAAAGCTGTGTGTTAATTGAGAGGTACACTTTAACAACATTGTATAGCTTTCTGTATCGAAATAGTGCTGGTTCCTCTATGTTCCACCCACGTGACTGTTACGCGTTCTGCATTTATTTGCGTCTTCGCCTTTGATCTCTCCCAATCTGCTCACAAGTCTAACTGTTGATAGAGCACAAATCCATGCCTGCAGGGACTGCTGCCATTGCAAGTTGTTCACGGATGCAGTGGCTGCATTTTAATATTTGATGAACGTGAGTTTATTTTCTACACACACACAGAGTTATTCATCAAAGTAGAAACTGCCGGGAATTCAAAAGTCATTTGTATTTCAGGCCAAAGTAGCTGAAATGGAATTGAGCTGCTTCCGGTTCAGTTACTTTGGCCTAAATTACAAAATGAATTTTGACTTTGCTTTAAATTGTGGATTATTCACACTTTATGAAAAACCCTTGTAGTAATAGCAAACTGGTGACTGGCCGGCCATTAGTAGGCTATATCTGATATCGTACGAAACTCACCATTTTCACGGTATCGTTCAGCTTACTTAGATCGCCTTGGATATGATCAGAGGTCTGTTTTAGGCTGTTAAATGTACTGAGCAGTTCCTGAAAAACACTCATTGCCTGCAGTGGGAGAGACAGAGTACAGTTAATAAACAGATGTAGAGAACAATGTGAATGCATAAATTAAATTAAATAGGACCCTGTTATATAACTTAGAGCGACAATTATATGCATGTGGACAAATCCTTCGGGTTCCATTGAATATAGACTACTCCATAGGGTGGTGGTAGTATCCAATGCCGTGAGTTAGAAAGCTAAAAGGACAGGAGGATCCAGCAACTTAATTTAGAAATAAAAAACACCAGGGGGATCCAGTGACCAGCTGTAAAGTTGAAACTGAGGATGGGAATCCAGTGACCTTAGTTACAAAGTAAACATGGAGGGGGATTAAAAGAGAGTAAAGATATATAAATTATTACACACGTAGTTGTATATTTACATTGTCTATTCATTTAGGGGCATGTTAAATAAATGCACACATCATGCCTCTAATCAGTCATTTGTAGAGAGCAGCCTGCATATTATCCAATTCAGCCTTGTTGTAGCATTTTATAAACTCCAATGATTAAATAGGTATTGAGACCCCTCCTCCCCCCATAGTGAGATACATGAACCATGGCAAAAAGCTGACATTTGCAGAGGTTTGAAAGGGACAGACAGGTATTATGACGGCAGTGTTGGTGTTAACTGAGAGGTGCCTACTGGCCTGGGTACCTGAATATTCTCATTTGGGATGTCAGTCTATACTGCATGATTCTGGGCGATGCATTCAAGCAGGAGGTTGTTACAATGAATTTCCAACATTGCAAAATATTGAATCAAAGGAGAAGTCTACACTTAACCATCACTGCTCATATCAGAGTCCAGGAAACACCAATGTTTCGGCCCTTGTTGTTGGTAGATTGGCATTTTGAATGCTTAATCAGAGAAGGATTAAGATACCATATTAAATTACACAGATTATTGGGTTGGTGTGTCCCTTCATTCTTCACATTGGGATGGTAAATGGGGCCAAGCAAATTCATGTTTCCATCATAACCCAGAGGCCCCAGGCACATTTCTAAGGTCCTACTAAAGTTAATCCTGCTCTGATCATTTCTATGAACAATATCAACCACTGGGCAGTTATCTCCAGTCTCTTTACCAGCCTTCCCTGTAGGTATGAAGGCACGTGGACCTAGAACATCCAGTGCTCATTTGAGATCACTCTACCTCCTCACCTTGTTGACTCCATCTTCGTTCATTTCCACTTTCTTCTTGAGTTGCATCAGCTGCCACATTTCCTGAATGGGTTTGTTCTGGGACTGACTGGCTTGTAAGAGACTATTAGATGATGGCAGAGAGTCTAGCTCCATGAGTTTACTCTCCATCCTGGTTATCTTGTCCTGCACCTGGCGAAAGAGTGAAGGTGACTTTTCCGTTGCTTCATTGGCCTTGGACCCTAGAATCAGCCCTGGCTGTAAGAATTCCTTCTCCTCCTGGGAAAGCGCCCTCCGCACGTCACCCAGCTGTAGGTGCTCCAGCATTCCATGAAGGAGGGTGTAAAGAGCGTTAAAGTTAACGGCACCAACCTCTGGAGATCCGATGGCAAGATTGACCAATTCCTTGAAAGACACAGACGCAGACATGCTGAGACTGATTGGAAGATCTGTGGAAAGGATACACTACAGGTCAGCAACACGTCAGATATAAGAAAATCATAACAGGACAAAGTGTCAGAACTAGAACCATAGCTGACTTGGAGAATCTTTACCATAAATTTGAAATTCACTTTGAATCAATATAAATTTTCAAGAATTCTCTCTTTAGTGAATAAGAGAGTTTGTGAGCTGACAATCAAGCTGAAACATGTACGCCGTAGACGTGGGGATGGAGAAATCTGGTCTAAATATAATGGATATGTAATGACTTTATATTAATTAGCATTTTATGGTGTTGTGTGTATTTGAAATATACATACTGTGTAAAGACATTCCCCGTAATTCCATTTATTAGTGTATTTATACATGCAGTACATAAATGTCACAATGTGTCTATATATTATGTACACTGTACATATCACTGCATCTACTTTGTGTGTTTAGTAAACAGTTAACAATAAATCTGTGTGTTACGTATTACTGTTTGTGTTTTATTTTGTTTAGTTTCTGTTTAGTAAATATAACACATTGTTTCCATGCATTAAGAATACTGTGTTTCTCTTCACATCAAATGATATTAATACATTTTTATTAAGTGAAATGTGCAAGAAATGATACGAATATATGTAGATCTGAGTGTTAGCTAGTTTCAGTCTCTTAATAAATCATATGAATATCCTCACGTTACAAAACACGTATCCCTCCAATTTATTTGCTCATTCCTAAATTATACTCAAACAATGTGCCAGTTTGTATTGTATACTGTATGTAAATATTGTCCTACGTATATTATTTGTGTGTCTGTTTCGTAGTTAACTATGTATTGTTACTGTGTATTGTGCGCACTATACCTGTCATTGCGCATGTACAATACAAATTGCTGAATGTGTTTGTGTAACTTTAATAATGTATCACTCTATTGTGTTTTCTGTAGTTATCAGTGTATTCCTGTTTGTGTATCTGTGTCGCAACATAACACTGTGTCAGTGTACTCTGTATAATGTTTATATAGCTGTACCTAAATCATCTGTTTAGTTGCTGTTTAGTAAATATAACACATTGCCTTTTTAGTATGGAAATGTCACTTGATTTACGTGCGATGTATCGCTGTATGTGAATTGTTTGTGTAATTGTTTTGCCAGTAATGTATCTATGTATTGTGAGTGTTTCTGTGTACCTGTATGGTGATATGAGTCACACAGTATCACTGCATTGTTCCTCAATGAATAACCCTTTCCTGTCAATCAGGTTTTGTAAAAATCAGCTACTAATTAGAATTTATGGGGATTTCACCTACTTTTAATGATCATTATTATCTGTGATAATATGTATGGTTAACCGCCAATCTTAGTAGCATTCTTTTAGAAAGGGAGCTATATAATAAATAAGGTATGTACAACACAGTGTGCTTTGCAAAGCATCCTGGGTATTGTAGTTCTATAATTCGGTTATGCTCCCTGATCCCAATGACAGCACTCAGACCGTTACTTATAGCATATACCATATATAGGACACAGTTAATTCTTACAGGTTTATTCCAAAAAGGAGAGAGAAATAAAACCTACCCCAGCCCTGCGATATTTTTTTAAATTCAATATGTATTACTTTGTAAGATTAAAAATATATTTTTACCTGTATTCATTTTATATGTATATAAACATTCAATTAAAATGAATCCTTAACTGATGACAAATTCACAAGTGTTCTTATTTTACTTAAATTTTTTTGTCTTGTACAAAAAATTTACCATTTCCTGGTCAATTCTCTACAATTCCTAATTAAGTTAATAGACAACTTTGCTGAATCTACTCCCCTCTGGCAGATGTAATCCTGGTGTATAAAAAGTCCCCAGAGCTCCAGAAAGACCCAACCCAATTACCTCCAGAATATTGAGACTGTCAGATCTTCAAGGAATTGTCCGGCTATGATTGCAAGCTCTTTAGACCAGTAGCTGCCTGCTGCTTTGTGATCATAGTAATTCCTCAAAACCTTGGCCAGCCATGCCTTCCCTCTCCCGGTATCTGCAGGGAAGTTTCCCTTGTTGCCAGGACACCAATAAACGCTAATCTGCAGAGGCCACTTGTTCAATGTTTATGTCCCTGTTGTTCTATCTCCTGGTAACTCACATTACAAAGCAATGTAACACTGGTCCCTTGGACAGCACAGGGTTACGTTTAAAGGGCAGGAGTATGAATGTGCAGCAGCAATACTTTAATGTACACATTAACTAAGATATCTATCTATATTATTATTATTATTATTATTGGTTAATTATTTATATAGCGCCAGCTTATTCCGTAGCGCTTTACAATAAGAGGGGAATTTACCAAATGAGACAATAACAAAGTGTAACAGCAACAATAGGTAGCTGAGGACCCTGCTCAGACGAGCTTACAATCTAGAGGAGGTGGGGTATAAAAACACAATAGGAAGGGTATTGAGGAAGACAGCAAATAGACATGGTGGGAAAGTAGCAGAACTGGAGGTGAGAGTGGAGTGTGGCCCTCTAGGAGAGAGCAAGAGGAAGGTTTGAGAGATAGAAGTTACTCTTGGAGGCCATAAGCATTCCTTAAAAGATGGGTTTTGAGGGACTTCTTAAAAGATTGAAGACTAGGGGAGAGTCTGACAGGGGTAGGCAGGCTGTTCCAAAGGAGAAGTCTTGCAGGCGTGTATTTGCAGTAAGGGTGCGAGCAGCAGACAGGAGAAGGTCACCAGTAGAGTGGAGAGGCCAAGAGGGGGCATACCTATGAATCAGTGAAAAAATGTAAGAGGGGCTAGAGTTGGTTAGAGCCTTATAGGTAAGGGTTAGTATTTTAAATTGACACCAGTAGGGTACAGGAAGCCAGTGTAAGGATCGACAGAGGGGTGAGGTGTGGGAGGAGCGACAGGAGAGAAAGATCAGCCTGGCAGCAGCATTCACCACAGATTAGGGGGGCAATACAGCTTGTGGAGAAACCAATTAGGAGAGAATTACAGTAATCGATGCAAGAGATTACTAGAGCGTGAACAAGCTGCTTGGCAGCATCTTGTGTAAGAAAGGGGCGTATGTGGGCAATATTTTTAAGTTGGAATCGACAGGTTTTAGCAACAGACTGGACATGAGGCGCAAAGGTGAGGCCAGGATCAAAAGTGACACCAAGACAGCGAGCTTGAAAGGATGGGGTAAGGCAGGTACTGTCAACCTGCAGGGAGTGTGAAGGAGGAGGATCAGTGTTATGAGGAGTTAAAATAGGAAACTCTGTTTTAGAGAGATTGAGTTACAGAAAGCAGGAGGACATCCAGTCAGACATAGAAGAAAGGCAATTGGTAACACGTTGTAGGACAGCAGGGAAGAGGTCAGGGGAGGAGAGATAAATCTGGGTGTCATCAGCGTACAGGTGGTAGTGGAATCCAAATGAATTAATGAGTTTGCCAATAAAGGCAGTATAGAGAGAGAACAGAAGGGGACCAAGAACTGAACCTTGAGGGACTCAGACTGAGACAGGACGAGGAGAGGAGGTGGCATTGGAAAAAGAGACACTGAAGGAGCGTTGGGAGAGATAGGAGGAAAACCACGAGAGGGCCTTGTCACAGAGACCAAGAGATTGAAGAGTTAGGAGAAGAAGGCCATGATTAACAGTGTCAAAGGCAGCAGAGAGGCCAAGAAGAATTAGTATGGAGTAGTGGCCTTTGGATTTGGCTGCGATTAGGTAATTTGTAACTTTAATAAGAGCAGTCTCAGTAGAGTGGAAGGGGGCGAAAGCCAGATTGAAGAGGATCGAGGAGGGACTTGGAATTTAGGAATGTATTTTTTTATTTTTTTTTGCTTTGTTTTGGTTTTTTTTTCTCAATACACATTTGAATTTAGATCCAGTTCCAAATTACAGCTGACACCAGGGAAAATGCAGCAATTGTAAGTTGGCCAGACCCACCATGTGTTGCTAGCTATATCTCCCTTCTATATTCTGTAAGGCAATACATGAAAAGGGCTGCCCTGCGGAACACGTTGAATTGTTGCAGGAAGAAAACAAAATAATTAATCGATAAACCCAGGGGTGCAGTGTCAATTAGTTAGTTGATATTCCTCCTGCAGGATAGAAATGCTTTATATAGGGCAACACTTTTCATGTGCTTCCCATCAACATTAAGATGTAGAAACAGACCTGGCAACGCAATGTCCACAAACAGCTATGTTGACGATTTTACTCGTCAGTGTTTTAGAAATGTGATGGATGTAGTAAATATGGACTGGCACATAGCTATCACTGATCTGCACTAGTCACATAATCATATTATTAACCATACGGTGACCTAAGGAGAGAGCCCTGTAATCAGCCATAATCGCCTCTATACGAATAGTGAAGAGGGGCCCCTGGTTTCTGCTACACTACAGTCACCATAACAACGACAGCTAAATGTGTCTATAGCCTGTCCCTGCAGGCTTTCTAATGGAAATACTGCCTTTTCAGAAAAAAAGGGCAGTGTTTACATTGCTGCCTAGTAACACCTCTAGGTGTAGACACTCAGATGGCTGCTAGAGGTGCTTCCTAGGTCAGTGCTGCACAGCGCGCAGCATTGACGTTCAGAGCTTGGAGACGTTAAACTTTCCCCATATAGATGAATTGACTCAATGTACCTCTATACAGAGATGATGATTGGCCAGGGCGGTGTTTAGCCGCACAGGCGCAATAGCCTCCCAATGCTTTCAAATATGATTATCTTAGCCAAAGCAGCAGAGCGGGTCGGAGCCAGCTGCGACATGACAGGCACGACGTTGGAAATAAGGTGAGCAAAATAACTTTTTAACAGGAGGCAAGGTGGGCCAGAGAGCTAACATGTTTTTTAAAAACTATAGTGTCAGAAATACGTATGTATTCCTGACACTATACTGTTCCTTTAAATGCACACTCTGAAAACCTCTTTTTTAATTTTACAAAAAGTGCAGATTTAAGTAGAAAGTTTGACTTATTATTATTGGCATTTATATAGTGTCAACAAATTCGGCACTGCTTTACACTTTTATAAATTAACCTTGGTACATCCCCTGGCTGTCAATCAGACAGCTGCTCCTGTTACTTAGGCAGCAATTGCCCAGAGCACCTGCCTTGCAAAGAGTTCTCATTGAGCTGCAATGGGAAGTCTGTGATTGGACAGCCACAGTAAGTCTGGGCGGGGTTAGAAGGGGAGGGGCTTGTAAAGGTTTCAAACAAGAGATCTACAACTTTTACAAGCTGTTTTTAGATATAACTCCAATGGAAAAAAATGTATCATTAAATGTATGCATGTATATAAAATAAATAGTGATTTTTTAAATGTATTTACATGTATATTTATTTTGTATTTGTGCAGTAGAATGTCTCTGCAATGCTTCCCTGTCTAAAGTGTCTTCCTAGAGCCCATGGCGTAGTCAGGAGCCCAGTGTGTCCAGCTGCAGCATACACAGACACACACTCTGCAGCTGAAACATAGAAACATAGAATGTGACGGCAGATAAGAACCATTCAGCCCATCTAGTCTGCCCAATTTTCTAAATACTTTCATTAGTCCCTAGCCTTATCTTATAGCTAGGATAGCCTTATGCCTATCCCACACATGCTTAAACTCACAGTGTTAACCTCTACCACTTCAGCTGGAAGGCTATTCCATGCATCCACTACCCTCTCAGTAAAGTAATACTTCTGGATATTATTTTTAAACCTTTGTCCCTCTAATTTAATGGTTGTAAAGAATTGGCTTGTGTGTTTCTATGGCAATGGCAGTACCTGGCCTGCGTACATACTACATACAGCAGGCTGCCTGCCAGCATGGCAGCACTTGGAGCGATTTGGGGAAAGCAGAGAGGCGGCAACCTGCACTAACTGCCAGTGAGATACAAGGCACCATTCTTCCACCCCATACTAACGGAACGGGGGTCCAAACTGGCATCCTGCCAAGTGCCCCATGGTATCTCCATCCGTCTTTGATAAAACATGGCACAGCACCACCCGTGTTGAAGCATGGAGCTTCGTTATGGTTTTCCAGTTACCAAGGAGGGAACAAATTGATTAAACCGCGGCCTGAGAATCTGTGTCCGCACCTCAAAAATGCAGTAAATCTTCAAATTCAGAGGGTGAAGTACCCCAGTTATCATAACATGTTATGCTATTTGAATTGTTACAGAACTACAACTTCCATGATGCTTTGCCAGCCACTTTAAAACAGATAGAGGGCACCTTCACTTTTCACCTCTACCGGAGGATGTTCAGAGTAGTCTCTATGGTTTTCCTGTTTCACTCCCTGCACAGAGCATGGAATAAAGCAGGGACGACCATAGAGACTAACTGTCGGTTTTCAAACACTGTCTGACCCAAGGTGTATGTTCACTGATCAGTCACAACATTAACCCCTAAAGACCGCAGCCAAATGTACACGTTGTGATCAAAACAAAACGTAAACAAAACCTGGCATTTGCGCTATATCTCTGTCCAACCATAATTCACCTCTTTCATATTAAATGCACCCACACTTATTATATATCATTTTATTCAGGGGAAACAGGGCTTTCATTTAACATCAAATTTAGGTATGGAACATAATTTAATATGAATAAAATATATAAAAATAGGCGAAAATAAGATTTTTAAAAATTTTCTTAGTTCTACGTGACATTTTAACTGTGAATGTCAAAATACTGTTTGCTTTTACTGCAATAAAATACACATATTTGTATTCAGCGGTGTCTCACGTGTAAAACAGCACTCCCTATGTACAGGGTTTATGGGGTTTTGGGAAGTTACAGGGTCAAATATAGCATGTTACATTTTTTATTTTTTTCACATTGAAATTCGCCAGATTGGTTACGTTGCCTTTGAGACCATATGGTAGCCCAGGAATAAGAATTACCCCCATGATGGCATACCATTTGCAAAAGTAGACAACCCAGGGTATTGCAAATGGGGTATGTTCAGCCTTTTTTAGAAGCCACTTAGTCACAAACACTGGCCAAAGTTAGTGTTAATATTTGAAAATGCAAAAAACTAATTTGAACGCCAATTTTGGTCAGTATTTAACAATATGGCCGGTGTATATCGCAGAAGGATCTTGTTGTATATTAAAGGTAGGAATGAGTTTCCCATAATTTGTTTTTACATATACTTCATTTTAAAAAATTAAATCTAATTTCTTTTATTACTAGCAAAGGATTATTATATTACATTTTTTTTTTGAGGTGACAGTTGTCCTTTAATTACTATATCTTTCCATATTCTAGATTGCAAGCTCTTTGAGCAGTGTCCGCCTCATCAACCTATGGTCCTGTAAAATTCTGTAATTGTCTCATTTATAGTTAAAATTCTCCCTTTATGATATTATTAGGCGCTGAGGAATAAGTTGGCGCAATATAAATGCCAATAATAATAATAACAATAATATTATAAAGCTCTAAATAACTTTATTTGGACAATACAGACTGCACAGACATCCCCTAACCCTCAGAGCTTGCACTCTGCAGAGAGGATGAACCCTGATGACCCTGTGTCACAGTGCCAGCCATTTCACATGGAAAGCAAAGCCTGCCATCCATGAAGTCTGACTATATCCCTGGGAGGGGGCATGAGCCAAGGTGCCACCCCCTGGCCACAAGGCGGAAGTGCGCGCATTGCCCTCTGGGAGTTGTAGTTCTGGGTGATTGGGGCGGTACTGCAGCTCCCACTGTACAGAGCGAGGAGTAAACAGGTAGAAAAGCAGAGGAGCTGGCTGGAGGTGAGTGCAGGGGCTTTAAATATAATAAATATGAATGATCTGTCTATAGAGAGAGAGAGAGAGAGAGAGAGAGAGAGAGAGAGAGCTATATCTGTATTACTGACACAGAGGATCAGACTCCCCTTCCCTACCAGCTGCATCATGATGAGATCACAGTCAGGATTTAAATAGATCCCTGTGTGGTGATACTTTGTATCAGTGTGTTGTTCCTTCACTGGATTTGCATTAAATTGCATTATACTGACTCCTGCAATCCCCCTCCCAGAGCTGCTGCATGGCTCACATTGGGATATTTACGTCCTAGCTAATTCTGCATTGTGGGTTTCCCTGTACAAGGCTGTCAGACCAGCTGGTGACTGGCCAGGTTTCATTTGGTGAGATATTTATATTATTTATTTTTATGTATTTATAAATCTGGCTGCTCTCCTTCACCTTTACAACCCCCCAAAGTGTCCCCCATTACCTGTGTTTACCTGCACTTCTAAAAGCAGTGATGGCAGATCTTGGCTCCCAAGTTGTTGCTGGTCACTGATGCTTAGTTTAGATAATATAAGTAAATAATGAAGCACATTAATTGTTTTGTGGGTTGTAGTTTATTTTACTAAGCAGTGAATTACAAAACACATTTGTGCTATTTCACCAAAGAGAGCGAAGTTTTAAAATTTGTCCTAAATGTTCTGTATTCAGTTCATTATAATTTGCTGTTTACTGAATAAATCTCTTATTATGGTCACTATGCTGGCTACCAAAGCAATGTACCCCTGGGTGTTTCTGTCTTGGGGTGTGTGAGTCACAGGTGGGGCTATCTGGTGCCATTTATACCATAAAACTGTTCATCTATACATTGTTAACCAAATGGTGGCAAATCACAGCCCATGAGTTTTCTGGAGAGCCACTAGAGGCGCATCTGCAACACTGGAGGCACATTTCGCCTCCATCGCGCAGAGCGTCCATAGGAAAGTATTGAGAAATGCTTTCCTATGGACACTTTGAATGCACGCACGGCACTTGCTGCGCATGCGCATTCGGCTTCACTGACGTTGGCTGGGGAGGAGAGGTCACCAGCACCGAGGGGGAGCCCGGCGCTGGATTAAAGTAAGTAACTGAAGGGGTTTTATCCCCTTCAGCGCCACGAGAGGGGGACCCGGAGGGTGGGGGCAGTCTCAGGGCACTATAGTGTCAGGAAAACTGCTTTGTTTTCCTGACACTATAGTGATCCTTTTAATATAGCAGTTTTGGTATACAGATCATGCCCCTCAGGTTTCACTGCTTAATTCTTGGCCATTTAGGAGTTCAATCACTTTGTTTCTGTTTATGCAGCCCTTGTCACACCTCCTCTGGCTCTGACACAGCCTGCACGAAAAAAAAAAAAAACTGGTTTCACTTTCAATCAAATGTATCTTAAACAATTTTATCTCTTGCTTTAAATTGAACTTTAATCACGTACAGGAGAATCTTGCAGGGTCTAGCAAGCTACTAGCATAGCAGGGGACAGGAAAATCTAAATGAAACAGAACTTGCAATAAAGGAAGGATAAACTTTAGATGACTCTTTACAGGAAGTGTTTAGGGAGGCTGTGCAAGTCACATGCACGGAGGTGTGACTAGAGTTCATAAACAAAGTGATTTAACTTCTAAATGGCCAATAATTGAGCAGTGAGACTGCAGGGGCATGATGTATACACCAAAACCCCTTAATTAAACTAAAGTTGTTTTGGTGACTATAGTGTCCCTTTAATTAGGCTCTTCCCATTGCTGGAAGAATGGAATAAATCTTTCCTATTGAAACTATTTATTTTAAAATAATAATTCTAAATAAGCATATCAATAACTCTGTTTTTTTGTGTTTTTTTAAATCTTACTCTAAGTCGTATTCACTAAACTCTGAATTTTTCAAATTAAATCAATATGAATATAAAAATGAGGCCAAAATAACTGATCTAGAAAGAATTCTCCAGCTCTGCCATAGTCACAACAGTTTTTCATTTATATTTCATGAAAAATCCGAATTGAGTGAATAACACTGGGTGATATGAACTGCTGAAATGAAATTTTCTTTTGCGCGCTTGCCACCATAAAACAGGTATAGGGTTCCAGTATAAAAAGGCATAGTTCTAAAAGTGGAGAAATAGTGAATATTCCATTGGTTTCTATGGCATCTGCTCCACTTTCAGTACTTTAGCCTGAAATTCCTCCTTAAACATAGCCCACAAGGATCAGTGCTTGTATCATTGGATGAATTGGGTAAATACACAGCAATATGGATCCACACCTTGTCGTCTGGGATATCGCAGTGAAGTGAAAACTTCCTGGGCTATTCTTCTGTCTTTACTGTATCATTTAGGCTTCTTTTGCACTTGTAATGGTCATCGATTGAACACCATTTTTTTTTTTTTGCTGTACAAACAATTTATAAATATTTTCATCACTTTTTACCTGAGAAAAGTCTTTGCTTTTTCCTCTACTCTAAAGTCGGCAGCCGCCTCTGTGAAAAATTATGGAATTTACGTAGAGAAAAGCCAACACTATTTAGATGGTTTTTAGAACAATTTAATATATTTTATAAAAACAGATTAGAGACCCAGAAACAAAGACTCTATTCAGAACTCGGATAATTTTGTGTGGGATCTCGTTATACAATTAACCTGCTTCCAGTAGGCTGGCTGTGCAATCAGTTGAGTGATTGATGCATTGTTTCTGGAAGAACAATTGATGCAGATAATGATTATTACTCAATAAGCTGATACTAACAAACTATAGGACTCTTCCTCTCATAAGGTTGTTTTGGCTTACTTGTCTTATCAAAACAACCCTCAGGGTGTTGAACTCAATTGTGGATTTTGGTGAATTGCAAACTAAACTTTGGGGCTATAGGCCAAAATAGCTGGAGATTAGCTGTAGAACATGTCCAACTCATCTACTTTGCTGACATTTCGCCATAAATGAGACCATGGCTGAATCCAAAAGCCGTCACTTGTGATGGCTGTTAGAATTGGACCAAAGTTGGCGTCTGAGCTCCATCTTGTCAACCTAAGGCTTGTCCATAAGACCAAGTAAGTCCCTATTTCCATCAGGTCAATGTACAGAGACATGTCTGGGCACACGATATACATCGTCCTTCGCAGATTTTTTTTAAATCAAGAACTGGAGTAGGCATACTCTAATCTTTTATAAAGTCTGTTATGGACTTTTCTTTGCACAGACAAAATTCCAGTATGTCTTGATCATTGCAAGGAATGAACCTGCTGGGGCCAATCAGACTAGCTGTATCCTGATATTTGTAAACCTAATGCATCAAAACAGGAAAGATACAGAGAGGTATGTGTCCTGTATTCACCAATTGTTGCCATAACAAAGAGTTATTTCATGCACAGCTCCCCCCCTCCACCATCACTGGAAAAATACAGACTGCTTAACCCTGTAACACAAGTACGGCAGTATACTACTTCACACAGCGGTATGTCTACTCAATATTTGTCTCTTTTTATTTTTTTTGCAGAATACAAATGTAAAATCTGCATTAACCCTTTAAGGACACATGATATGTGTAACATGTCATGATTCCCTTTTATTCCAGAAGTTTGGTCCTTAAGGGGTTAAAGGAAACAAAATAGGCATGATTGAAGGGAGCCTTTTAGTGACACTGTCTCTTTAAAAGGGAGTGATCACTAAACAAAATAAATAGATTTCTCCTATAGGAGCAGGGATCTAAAACCGAGCAGCCTTTACAAGCCGATCTGCTACCCTGTCTTTCAGATATAAAGCTGTGGGAACACTTTTTTGTACAAGTCTTGTGAGTGGCATCTCATTTTGGTTCTATTTTATTGGTTGGAGTGGGTTCATTAATCACTGGACGCAAGAAACTGATGATTTTCTGTAGTTTACCTGGGTGATCGTAATAAGGGGCTTTTCATTCAATTGTGAGTGTCAGAGAATTGGTGATCAGCTTTCAAATTTCACAAAACTTACCTGTTAGTTAAAGGGACACTATAGTCACAGGAACAACTACAGCTTATTGAATTTGTTCTGGTGAGTAGAATCATTGCCTTCAGACCTTTTGCTGTAAGCACTGTCTGTCAGAGAAAATGCAGTGTTTACATTACAGCCTAGAGATACCTCCACTGGCCACTCATAGAGATAATTGATTCATTGTATCTCTATGAGGAGATGCTGATTGGCCAGGGCTGTGTTTGACTTGTGCCGGCTCTGCCCCTGATCTGACTTCTTGACATTCTCAGCCAATCCTATGAGAAAGCATTGTGATTGGCTCAGATAATTTCTTGGGTTCTGCTGTGTGTCGAGCAGTGGTGTGTGAAGTAGCATATAGAGTCCCATTCCGCATCTGTGAGTGATCTATCCAGGGCTGTTTCCCACTTTCCCATGAATAGGGGTTTCGCTGTGGGGGTCTCTGCTTGGAGTGTGGAGTACAGTGTACAGACTCCGTGTGGGATTGGATCTGGGTGTTGTCAAAGCTTTTCGAATGTGGTATGCTCCCTGTTGAGCGCTGGTTCCGGTGGCAGGGTGAGGATATATTTGATCAGTTGTGCGTATTTAAAGTGGTGCATAAAGGTCGGTGGTGTCTCTCCCATCAGGTCTGTCAATGTTCTGCATTTCTGCCCCCTTACAATGTGATGTAGACTTGGTGAGGGGGTTGGGAGGATGTCTCTAAATGCTTTTGGGTCCAGCCCTGGTTGGAAGTCGTCGTTATGGGTCAGTGGCAGGAGCGGGGAAGGGTACGGTGCTAAGTTCCCTGCTTTCGCAGCCTTCCACCATATACCTAGAGTGTGTTTCGTATATACAGACATGGCTCCCTTGCCCTTGGGGTCTCTGTCCCAGGGCAGTTCGGAGATTGGTCTACCCGCCCAGATAATAATTTCTGAAATCAGCCTAACGGGTAGATCAGAGGCCGAGGCAGTAGCTGCAGACTTGAATACAAGTAAGATTTTACTGTATTTAGGGTGGCATAGGGGCATTGTGGGGAGCTAGATGGTGGTTTTAACACTATAGGGTCAGGAATACATGTTTGTGTTCCTGACCCTGTATTGTTCCTTTAACATTTTTGGCCTTAATATTCAAGGCCTGTTCTCATCTCGCTACAATCCCAGTTTAGCAGAGAAATCCTTTTTTTCTTTCTTTTATTTTCTTGACGGGTGAACAAAGGTTGTGGTTTTAGGGAAAATGTGATCGGCAATTAGAGTATTGTCAGAGTGAAAGCATTTGAATTTTAGCATCTACATTGGTTTGGAATCTATTACTTTTTAATAAGCCTGGTGAGAAAATTGCGCATTAATCACATTTGAAGAGAGAAAAGAAGCCGGAGTTTCTGAGTAGAAATACGTATTGTCCACAGATGTAAAGTGCAGAATTTAAATGTACAAACGCTTTGATAATTTAGGAGGATGTGGTTTCAGTCATGCCATGGGGCTCATTCACTAAACAGCAAATCGTAGGAAATTGAAAACCAAACACAAGCTTTAGGTGAAAATAGCCGATGTGCTCTTTAGTCATAGGTGTATATTTCAGCCTGATTTTTACAAAAAAAAATTTCTTGCAATTTGCTGTTTTGTGATTAAGCACCGTAATGTCACTTTTATACTTGTTTTATAAACCTTTGTGTTTTTAATGTTAATCCACAATGCCTGCCCCAACGTACAGTCATCGGTTCCCTAGACCATTTCTGGACTCAGTGACCTTTGTGACCTAGAACTTTTTAAATAAACAATCCAGGCACCATAACCACTTCTGGAGAGCCAATAGCACTGCAAGGCTTAGCTCAGGAGAGCAGAAAGATATTTGTGGTTATGAACGTCCGGCTATCTGGAATATTGTTTCATTTTTCCTTGTCTCTGTATGCTCTCTCTGTGCTGATTGCCGGGTGCGAAGGACAGAGCTTATAACAATGGCTGACAGGGAGCTAAGATGGAGGGGTCCTGTTGCAGGGTAAAGATGCGTAGATTTCTACGTTTATGATTATTATTCACACATCACACGTACATATTTATAAAATATAGGGGTAAACATAATATTAAACATCATGGAAAGTGACCCTTCCCCTTTAAGCACTTGGATGTAAATATTGGGCAAGCGGTGGCTGGCTGTGTGGGTGGCCTTGTTGCTTTCTGTAATGCAATCTCTGTCTCTATGAACAAGTTGAGCTCTTCCACTTATCTTTGTTGATTCTGTTTATAAGGAGATAGAGAGGGGGTAAAATTTAAAGGGAAAGAACCATGAATGTGTAAAATCATTGTACCTGTCTGGACGCATGCAATAAATTAGTATTTTCCTTGCATGATGTTCCAGTGTCCTGGGTGTCAGTCGATTTATTAATTCCACATTCCTGCATTCGGTCACAAGGTGCCAAGTTGCAGACCACTTAAATACGGCTGGACTACAACCCCTATCTCACTTTGCCGTTGTGTGTCTGTCTGTCTGGGTTGATAAACACTCCTATTTTGGGGATGTTTTTGCCCTCAGGTTACACGGCATGTCCCTTTAAATGAAGAGTGGTACAAAAGTGATAAATCAATCAGTTTAGCAGCCCAGAATATCAGACACTAACTTAATGGGACATTCTAAGTACCATAACCACTTATTGTAGTATATGTGGTCAAACAAATCCGTTCTGATTTAAGTTTGGCTATTGTGGCGTAAAATTTTTAATTTAAATTCTATGTTGTGGGGGAAAAAACAGTTAATATACAATCAAAGCAAATCTGTAACGTCTGCTGATGGTTATTTGTGTATGTTATCTATGTGACCAAAATATAACCATGGTAATGAGGGCAAATGGTCTGAAATGCAACAAAACCAGCGTTATTAACGGCATTTTCTGATCAAACGTTACGCTTTTGTCCTGTACACACGGGGTTGCAGACGTGTCTCTCATCGCTCCGACAAAACCAAATACTGGTGTTTATTGAATAAACTGGGAATTAACAAAGGGGTTGGGAACTTGTTCATTGTGCGATTTCTCTATAATTTATTTTACCCTAAAATAAAGAAATGATGAAGTACTTCCTGTTTATGGAATGAAGCCCACATTACGCCCATTTTTTTCCAATACGATCCTTATACCGGTTTAGGGCCGGTCGTGGAAGAAGTATCCCTATAGACTGAGATAACAAGAAGACCCAGGTTGTTTATAAGCCAGGCAGAGCAGTAAGATAAGATTTAAATTGGTTTTCATCACACAATGAAATAGATAAGAACTCTTTGCACAGTCTGTTTGTAATGCTTGCTGTGTTAACTGCTCTCTGTAACATGGTGTTCAGGCTATCTCCTTGCAGAATATATATAATATATATGTCAGGGCTGGAAGGCACAGATGCCTCCATGGTAGCGTTTGTTGTGATTTTGCGGAAGCCGTTGCTATGTGCGCAGTGTTAATTAAGTGTTCATTCGTGTGGCAGCGCTCATCCTGTGACTAATGCTTTCTTGCAGATATTTATACAGAGCCATGGCAAGCGACCCACCACCTCCCTACCCTGGAGGACCCACGGCCCCCCTGTTAGAGGAGAAACATGGAACATCTGGCGTGGAAGGTGGTATGTTTGGAGAGTTTAAGGATCTAGCATTGTGCCATTAACCCTTTACTGGCTGAGCCAGTCTGCAGAACATTACATCATTGGGGAATTTTAGGCCACAATAGCCATCAAACTGTTATCCCCTTCCTGGCTGCAGAGCATTACATCCTGCTTTACACCTGACTAGAGAGATTGGCACGCAGTTAAAGGGACATTCATAATGCTGGGCTTTCTATGTAGTGCTGAGCAAATCCCTACAGAGCAGTATATCATGGACTTAACAAAAGGCCCATCATATACTGGGAATTATAGTTAATATGTTTGCTTTCTACTGTAGAACTGAGTGCCTAACGTGTGTGGGAGCCTGGAGTGTCCCTTTAATAATATAAACCCACCCAGTATAACTAACTGTAACCTAACCTACACAGTGCATCTAACGTGTGTGGGAGCCTGGAGTGTCCCTTTAATAATATAAACCCACCCAGTATAACTAACTGTAACCTAACCTACACAGTGCATCTAACGTGTGTGGGAGCCTGGAGTGTCCCTTTAATAATATAAACCCACCCAGTATAACTAACTGTAACCTAACCTACACAGTGCATCTAACGTGTGTGGGAGCCTGGAGTGTCCCTTTAATAATATAAACCCACCCAGTATAACTAACTGTAACCTAGCCTACACAGTGCATCTAATGTGTGTGGGAGCCTGGAGTGACCCTTTAATAGAATTACATTAATAAGGTACCCATTCCACACCCCTGGTTATAGGTCAAATAATTCCCCAATTAATATCCCACTAAACATTCATTTAGGTGAGTGTCCCTTTAATAATATAAGTGAGGCCTAGTGTTACACTATTGTTGGTTTTGTGTAATTGTCGTGTTATGTATCTGGTGTGTTCTCCATAAATTAAAATAATATAATCCGTTTACTTCCAAATATTTTCTCGGAATTAGGGTTTAAACATAGCTTAAATTAAAATAATCCATGCTGAATCTGTGGTATTTGTTGATCAGTTATTGGGTTTGTGTTTTTAATGGTTTTACATTTTCTAATCCTGTTTGTTTATGTACGTTTTGCAGACAATAGACAATATCCTGGGGTCTTTCCAGGGGGTCCAATATACGCACCCCCAGATTCAGGGCCTCCTCCCTATGAAGCCCAGCCTGGATACATTTCTCCAAACCCAGGTAGGTCTTTTCCCTACACCACCTACTAGCAGTTACATTTTTTTTTTTTGTTTTGTAAATCTTTTTTTGGTCGTGCATGAAAATACATTACATCCTGCAATTGCAAGAATTTGTGTAACACATAATGAAACCTATAGCGTGAAGTTGTAAACATTTAGCGAGAACATTATGCTTCAATTCGAGGAAACAGCACAGTACTTTGTTAGTGGTATATTGGTATCAGGCTTAAGGATACAGTCAAGCTGAGAGGAACATGTGAGCAGGTGCTTACAAGGTAGCGGTATTAGTGAATGTCAGGGTCGGACAGTATCCATTTTTATAAGCAATTAGGCTAAGTGCTTGAGTAGTCAACTTGAACTTAGTGTTGAGGGAAAGCATGCTTAATCGAGAATAAACTGGTCAGGCCAAACTCCACACATATGCAACACAGTGATAACATGTGCACAAGACATGGTGAAGCCTCTGAGTGATAGGTGTGTGCAGAGAAAGTGTGTGGCACTCTATTGTAAGTCAACAGTAGGTTATTCTACAGGTGAAGCACTCTCTGTTTGCTTAAAGGATTAAGCTGATAAGGTAGTGGCGGATCTGAGAGTGAGCAAGTTTAGACCACAGTGGCCATATTGGGTTGTAGGTGGCCTCAAGGCTAGCATAGAAGCCTTAATGGCTTTATCCATGAGCTTAACCAGGGGTGTATTATGGTGGTAGAGTATTATCGCATTCTTAACGAATGAAAGTATAATAAAAGGGCAACAGGCCTAAATAAATCATCAGTCATAGTAGATCATATGCGCAGTTGGTTCTGGATCTCAGCCTTTGGGTGTGACGTCCATCCGTATTCACTTGGCCTATTCCCTGGAGTGGGTGTCCCTTAAGGCCCTGTGGTAGTCCATACCATGGCAGGAATGGTGTCTCCACTTTCACCCCTTTCCTCCAGTGTCTAGATCCATGAGGGCCATGGGTGATTGCATGTTGCCAGGGTGTGGGTCCATGGGACCTCTGCAGCTTGTGTCTTCGGCCCAAGGCCTTGGTGGGGGCCCGTGCCTGTAATCCACTGATCCCATTAGCAGATTTGTGGGTCCATGTGGTTACCGGGTCCCGGGCAAGCCTCTGGGGGTATGGACAGCGATGGGGGGGTTTACCTCCAATTGGGCCCCGGCTTGGATGAAGAGCAGGCAGAAAGTCATTGGGAGCCTGCCCTCTGGCAGACGGCATGCGGTGCCTTGCACATGCTTGTGCTGCATTGGGGAAGCAGGAGGCGATATCACCTGTGAGCTGGTAGCCAGACGTTGCCACACAGCTTCTGGCACACAGCTTAGAATCTGGCATTGAAAGAGTCCAGCCACTCCTGGGTCTTCTGGCTCGGTCGGGAGTGCAGTGTTGCCTAGCCGGCGGCCATTTTGGTCTTGCCTCGCTTGCGTGCACGGTGTGCCGCATCAAGGTAGGTTAGCCCCAGTGGGGACCGTGATAACCCCCACCGATCCGGGGGGGGCGGGGAGAACAGGGGGTTGCAGCAAGTGCCACCTGGTGTTGTGCCGCAGGGACAGGGTGATCGGCCGCCTCATCCATCCGCCTGCCGTGCTGGGCTGCTGCGGGGTCTCCGCGGAGAATTTTCTCAGGTAAGTTGCTCCAGTCCGCCTCTGGGCCTGTTGTGGGTGAGATGCAGTGGAGTGCTTTGAGTTTTGGGGGCTGTCTGTCTGTGGTACAGGCTTAATTAGTGAGTTCTTACAGGAGCTCTCACGATGTGCAGCCAGCTGCCATGATGTCCAGGCCCCGCCCCCTCTTCTAGCAGTTATATTAAACTGCAGTGTTTTGCTGTCTAAATAGTCTTTCCTAGTGCTACAAATGAATGCTTCCTATTGGCTGATAACCGGAGGCAACACAGCTGGGTGCATCCTATTGGCTGATAACCGGAGGCAACACAGCTGGGTGCATCCTATTGGCTGATAACCGGAGGCAAGGCAACTTGGGGGAAACTGGAGGCAGGACAGCTAAACATATTGGTTGCTTTATTTTATGCTAACAAAACTGAACCTTGTCAGAAGAGCTAACAGTCTAAATTTTGTTTGACCTTTTTAAGTCCCTAACCTGTGTAATGGAGGGAAAATGGCTCAACTATTTAAACCCCTGAGAGTTTTGCATCTGAAATAATTCAGAGAGGAGAAGTAAATATGGATGATATATTTTGCAAAATAATTAATTCATGCCCTTTTCTCTACAGGATTCTACCCTCCTCCTTCCGGGCCCTATGCACCAATGGGGTATTACCCACCCACATCTGGGCCTTACCCAGCTCAGTACCCATCTCCTGATTTTCATGGCACCACCGTGATCGTTCCCCCAGGAGCCAGTGCTTCATCTGCTGCCACCACCACGGTGACTGTACTGCAGGGGGAGGCCTTCGGCAGCAATCCCGTGCAGACCATGTGCCCGCACTGCCAACAGCCAATTGCTACCAAAATCTCTCATGAGATCGGACTCATGAACGTCTTGCTGTGCTGTTTCTGCTGCTTTGTTGGGTATGTGATACGAATGGGGAGCCTGGTTGTACATTGTTTTTAGGAAACTTAGAGTCACCAGTTTTCATTGATGGGACAAATAGCCCAGTAGAGGGTCCTGAGAGGTACCTCTGCCTGATCCCCCTGTCCAAAAGCATAAAAAACTAAAGGGTTTTATTAATTAACCTGAGAATTAGAAAGTCAATTGCAAAAATTTAGAATTCTACAGATCTAAAATAGAGAATATATAGGACATTATATGCACACCAGTGTATTTTATAAACCATTACACTCACAAGTGATACATTGAAGATCTATCGGAAAATATTAAGTATATGTTGTCTTCTCTCTCTCAGGTCACAAATTAAGATGGAAACAGGCGAAAAATACAAACATGGCGTCATTCTTCCAAGTAAACTGATCCTGTAATGAAAATTACACTTACAAGATGTACAAATGTTAAAGCATTTCACCGTCACCAGCCAGGACTTTAATCCTCCAGAGTACCCAAAGAATTTACTCTTGAATAGGCAGGTGAATAGCCCAATAAAAATAATTGCCCTACGCATGTCGCCCAAACCTCTTTGAAAGGTCTCTCAGAAAAAAATGTGGCTTCCTCCCACGTCCATGTGGAATGGATGTTTGAGTTCCACGAGGATGCAGGAAACTTATAGGGAAAGAGTGGGCGAGTGGGGTTTATACTGGTTTCTTCTGTGAGCTGTTTCAAGTGCCCCTGAGGAGGTCCAAGCGTTTGGATGAAACGCGTAGGGTGATTTTTTATTTTTTTATTTTTTTTTTACCTGTTTTTATTGGGCTATACATCTGCCTATCTAAGTGAGGATTCTTCAGGTATTCTGTTGGATTGGAGCTTGGAGATTGACGTCCTGGCTGATGATGGTGAAATGCTTTATCATATTCAAAACTTTTCATTTTCAGAATTACACTATATTTCTATTTTTCTCCTGTTTTCATATATATTTGTGACTTGAGAGAGAATGAAGACATATGAACATATATTTAGCAATGGATGATATATCCTCAAACAGAGTATCTCTTGTGAGAGTATAGTTTATAAAATACACAGGTGTGCATGTATTGCCCTATATATTCCCTTTTTATATTTTTTCAACATTTTTACTATATTTAAGAAGATTAGGGTAAATATTTATTTTGACCCCTTTACAAATTCTTCCACTGGTGTTTTTTGGTTGTTTTTGGTATAGAATTGCAAATACAAGGATGAAAATAGCTGATTTGGACAAATTCTCCAGCTTGGCCATATTGACCTTAAATTAAGTGGCGACGTTTAGAACTATTGTGAACCTTCCAGCCAGAACTGTCCCCATTTACAGCAGGGTTGACCCTGATGGCAAATGGAACCGAGTCACTGATGTTTGAGCTGACACTTCTAAACTATTTCTGTATACTTGGCCTTTTGACCATAAGTATTTGTTTTTGGGCAGTAGCTAGGACTGGGTCTCTACAAGTTTAACCATATGCATCCTATGTTTTGTTTTTTCGTTTTTTTCTAAACTTTATTTTTAACTTTTTTTTTTTTTTCTTTTTTCAGATGTGACCTGGGCTGCTGCCTCATCCCTTGCATGATAAACGATCTGAAAGATGTCACCCACACTTGTCCAAACTGCAAGGCCTATATCTACACCTACAGAAGGATGGGCTAAAGATCCCAGGCCACATGCAACAAGTTGTCCATGCCACTTCACGTCCACCTTAATCCTTCCATCATTTCATCTCCATTTATACATTACTGAGGAGCTGTGAATTTTCCAATTTCGAGTGACATTGAATGATGCCTCTCAGGCACAGAAAAGGGATTTTGTGTCAAACTTGGTTTATTGTTTCCGTTAAGAACATTTCCGCGGGTAGACCAGCAGGCGGTCTTCTCCTGGTTGGATTTGAAAAAGTTTAGTAGTGGATGCTGTGACTGTAGATGCATCCATTGCTTTTAAATGTTCTTAAATTGAATTTGCCTTTTGCTCTGTAGTGGTATAAGGTCTCATTACTCGGCATATCCTGCATCTGATCTTACAAGAACCCACTAATTACTGTTTTAGCCGTCCACCACCAAAAGACTGTCCTTACTCTGATAATTTGAACTGTCTGCTGGATTCCCTACTATGATGTGACATTCTCCAGATCGTAATACCTCGAACACTTGTCTACTTGATTTTCAGAAAGTAGAATCTAATGCTCTGCAAAAGTTAACCCCTTTTACTGCAGATGTTTTATTGTAGGTTAGCAGCACTGGCAGTAGAGGTGTACAAGAAGTTGTACGTTGAATGGAATCCCCTACTAGGAGTAATATTTAAGTGTACACTAATATGTCAATTCAATCTCTGAGCCTGCAGTGCATGGAATATTTTCTCAAACCCTATTGGTGCATCTCACTTTGATGCTGCACAAGGAATGGTCTCATTGGCCAATGCTGCTACATTTAACCCACTTTCTTCCACTTTCACTATTTTTGGAATTAGTTGATCTGTGGGGGTTGAATCGTTGTGTGTTTTTTTTTTTTTTGTTTGTTTTTTTGTTTTTTTTTAATTCCATCAGGTAGTTTCATTTTGAAATTTTATATTCAAAGATCTCTTGCTTCAATGAAATACCTTATGCACTGGAGCCTTGTACTCAATATTTACTTTCTCTTTGATTTGCATGTTTAAAAACAAAAAAAGTTACGTTCTCTTGCCTGTGGTTTAGAATGTTTAGTTTTTATAATCGCAAAAGAAAATGGCAATTTGTTAGCTTTTTTTGTTTGTTTTTTAAATTTATTCTCATATAAGAAATGCATTAACATTTTATTAAATTATAATGCAAAGAATCAGATTCATCACAATAGCTTAATAAACTAAAACCTGTTGTAAAAATAATTTTAAACCAATATATTAGTTCTTAATTCTCTCAGGTGTGTATATTTCTAATCTTTCCTGTTATTTAGAGATTTGCTAATTAGCCTAATTACTGTAGCTGCATGAATACGTACTGAACACTAGTAAAGAATAGATTTCCTGGACTTGCCAGTAACATAACCGTGCTACATGACGAATTTTGACTCATTTGTTTAAAACCCTGGGCATTACTGAAATAAAATTACTTTTAAGTACTGCAGGGAAAATCATTTTGACAGAAGCACCTGTCCCTTATATGAAGCCAGCTGTTGGATGGATAATGTTTGGGTTGTAGTAGCTACAGATGTAAAAGGTAGTGGGGGGAGGGAGGAACAGATTATTTTTTTAGGGTTGTTGTTAGATGAGAGACAAAAGATTAGGGGTGTGTTCTCTAATTACTATCTCAAACGAAGTATACGCTGTGCGTCCTAAGATTTGATTTGTGCTGGTGAAGTTCACTGCTTGCCTGATTTGCCATATTGCATCCAGCTAAGCTTCGGCCAACCGACCGTTGTCTTGAACAAGGAATTTGTGTATATATGAGCCGAGTAGTCCAGCTCAGCACCGTTCCATAGAACCGCATGTTCGTTATCCTGTTAAAGGGACTCTATCATAAATCACAATTTATTGCAGTGGAACGTCTGCTGTGTTTGTATCTTAACCATGCGTTTTAGTTGTGTGTTGTGTTTTTTGTTTTTTTTTTAGACGATGAAGTAGTGTGTGTTTTTGCAGGTAGGAACTTTTATTAGAGAAAAGATGAAAGAAATCAAGATTAATTTTGAAGTGTAAAAACAGCTAAAATGGTTTCTTTTATTGCATATTATATATAATTAATTTTTGTTACTTCTGCCATACACCCAAAAATAAAATAAGTCCCACTAGGTACACAGTGATTTAGTATTCGTACACTGTATCCCTTTGATTCCCTAGAATAGTGGTAGGGAACCTTCAGCACTCCAGATGGTATAGACTACATCTCCCATGATGCTCTTACAACCATACTGCTGGCAAAGCATCAGTGGATAGGTAGTCCTCAACATCTAATGTGCCGAAGGTTGCCTACCCCTTACATAGATCTTTTATTGTGTCAACGCACATCAGTAACTTGTTGTTGTTGTGTTTTTTTTTTTTTTTTCATTCACTTTATACCTTAAAAAAACATCCTGTAATATAAGAACGCATTTCATTGTATTTTGCACTGAGATATCAGTCTTGATGTTTCCTCTTTTCTCAAATTAAAGTTACTGTCACCATGTAGTACTTTGCCCTATACAAGATATATGAAGACCGTTTTTTGTTACTTTGAACCAAAGTTAAAAGGACTCTATAGGCACCTACACCATTTCATCTCAGTGAAGTGGTCTGGGTGCAGTGCCCTTGGCGATTTAGTCCTGCAAATCTTTGGCTTTGTGTAGAAACTGCAATCCTGTCATTATAGGCTAAAGTCACACTTGGTTCTTCAATAAATGCTTCTCATAGAGAGCATTTAATTAGAGGATTGTTGTTTTGCCGGCATGTGCTTCTCGCTTCCAATGCTTCTCTAAGAGAAGGATTGGATGAGAAGAGGAGGCAATACTGGTGGATGCAGTGACTGGATATCCGCGCCGGAGAAAAGACTGAGTAAAAGTCTTTATCTTTTTATTGTATTTTGGTAGATCGGGAGATCCAGAAGTCTTAACAGTAAGTAGAACATTAGGAATACACTTTTCTATCCCTAACGCTAGTATTCCTTTAGGAATGTAGGAGGCTAATTTGTTGAAATGAGGTCAAATCCTGTATATTAACCCCTTTAGATATTTGTTGAAGTTGGTGTGTAATCTTGGAGACTCAGAAACTAGACCACAGACTTCTAACAAGTCTCAGAATAATGTTCTTGTAGGAAGAGCGTTCATTGGTTTTAACCTTATGGTCCTATCAGCAGTTTGAGGTAATGATTTTGTTTTGGGTTTTGCTGACTGCACAGAAAAACAGAATTTACGAAGATGAAGTTTTTGGAAATGGCTGAGTTAACGCCATGTGATGTGTCTGCAATGCAGATGCTGGCCTTTGTTTGTCCGTGATTATGATAGATCTCCTTTAACTTCTTGCCTGGGATGGGGATTCTCCTTACTGCAAATGTTACTGTAATCACCAGCACAACAGCCCTATGAGTGATTTATTTTCTCGTTAATTCATCGTATCTGAGCCACATGTGATCGTCTCCTTCGCCACTGGAGCCTTGTTTGACGAGATCTCTTCCTGTGAAAAATGTTTAATTTATTAATTTATATTAAAACCACAACTGATTTTAAATGCACGAGATGTCGTTTATACCAGTACTTAAAGGGAACTTATAGGGTAAAAATTACCCCCTATTTTTTTTTTAAATCTTTGTATAGCTATAAATAAAGAAGACCGTATCTCTCCTTTTTAATGCAGGAAACATACAGGTGTATATGTAGTTTATCCTCCCAGAGCAGTTCCATTCATCACATAGTATGAAATGCTAAATGGACTGTACCGTGTGTTCCGTTAGTGTCTGCTGCAACGATAGGCAGAACTTTGGATCGCACCTGTTTGGCTGCAGCTTGGATGTCTCAGAGGAGGCGTGTCCATGAACAAATCACTGCACTCGCCGACTGAACTATCAAGTGTGCCGGACTTAAATGTTTTTATGGTGCTCAGATTGACCGTCTAAGGGAGTGCGTGTGTCATGAGATCAGATGAAACCAATGTGTCAGTGGTATTCAAGCAATATGCCATGGCACTGGTGTCTCTCAAGCCTTCTCAAAGTGTGCCGTGAACTCATTGACCTTGGGGATATAGTAGGCTGAATGCAGTCCTTAAAGGAACGCTATGGCTACTAATGTGTATTCCTAACGCTATGTTGCTCTGATAGCAGCTTAGGTCCCCAGCTCCCACCTGTATGGAGTGAGAAAATAAACTCTTACTTGCTTTTTATTCCTCACAACACCTGTTTTCGCACAACCATCTGGCCTCCTTGCCTGCGGTCATTGAGATCGGTGATTTCAGCTAATCCAATGATTTCCCATAGAAAAGCTTTGAGAGGCTATTGCGTATGTATGGCAGAATGCTGCGCTGCTCCATTCAGTCTCAGTGTGTGGCTATTTGTGGGGTAGCAGACAGCCACTAAAGGCATTTAAACCATGGAATGAAAACCTTCCAATTCCTTCACTGAGATGGAGTGAGCTGGGTGCCTAGAGTGGGCCCTTAAGTGTGCATTTAAAAAAATCTTATCACATGGAAGCGTTACAATTGTAATTCCCATGTTACACACACATATATAACTTTAATGTAAAATAAACTGGAAGAGGGCCCATCTGTCCGGTGAGGGTGGGATAAATAAGAGAAGCGTGTGCCTTGGAAAATTTCCTCTCGTTGAAATGTTACATGATCCAAAAAGACTGGGAACCCAGCGCTCACATATCTCTCCGTCTGTTCACTAAATTTAGACTTGTGGCGAGAGAGATTCCACGATGGAATGAGAGAGTCCAAACTCCCTGTTATCAGTACCTTGTTCCAGGGAGCCCTAAGAGGACGGGTGCATCCGCTAATTGGGTTCATCTCATACGAGCAGTGTGTGTGTATACAGATACAGCCCGTGAACTGTGGATTATGACAAAATAATGCCATTGAGATCTTAGAAAAGTGATGGGCCAGTGGTTTAGAAATGTCTCCAGAACCCTAAAATGGTATTATTTTCCTTGAGTTCACACTGTACTGTTCTCTATGTTTTATATTATGTTTGCTTTTGTTTTTTTCACAGCGCAGTGTGAGATTAATGGGAGTTACAATCCGCGGTGGCAGCTATTTAAGTTGTTACCATTAGATAAGCTCTGGAGGGCACAGACTAAGACATCCTTACCAATTCAGCCTGATATTCAGACCTGATATCAGGCAATGTGTGTATCATGCTCTGTGTGAGCTAAAGATTTCATGTTTGCATCATCAGTATACAATAACTCATATCGCTATGGAAATACGGAGGTAAAAATGTGGATCTCCTATTGGAACCCTGAGGATGTCTGTGGTATGCACAATCTAACCACTAGATGGCAGCAATGTTCTTAAGTAGACTTACGGTATTTGGCTAGTTATTTGTGCTAACTGCTCACGTGACATGCTCACTGGATCAGGCCCAGCAGAGTAGGATATGTTAAGCGACCTAATGCTGAATGGTCACTTAATATATTGCCCTGTGAGGCTCAGGGCATCTACATGCCATACCAGGGCTTGCATTCTCAGACAGTACTATTATGGAAAACCTCTCAGCATTTAAATGATATACCACCCAAAGCCATCATTTAGTTATATGCTGATCATCCACAACATTAAAACCACTGACCGGCAAAGTGAATAACATTGATTATATTGTTACAATGACACCTGGCAAGGGATGGGATATATTTGGCAGCAAGTGAACAGTCAGTTCTTGTATGACAGTAATGGATGGTAAAGTGTGATAAAAACCGAGAAACAAGGTACTACAATCCCTGTGTGTATCACTCCAAAACACAAAGAAAATAGTGCGCTCTCACCATTTTTACTGTATTTTAGTCTTGTACTTCATGTTTCAGAAGCAGGAAAAGTGGGCAAGCGAAAAAAATCTGATTGACTTTGCCGAGGGCCAAATAGTGAGGGTTAGACAACTGGGTCAGAACATCTCCAAAACGGCAGGTCTTGTGGGGTGTTCTCGTTATGCAGTGGTTAGTACCTACCAAAAGTGGTGCAAGAAAGGACAACCAGTGAACTGGTGTCAGGATCATGGGCGTCCAAGGCTCATTGATGTACATGTGGAGGAAGGTTAATCTATCTGGTCTGATCACACAGAAGAGCTACTGTAGCTTAAATTGCTGAAAAACTTAATGCTGGTCATGATAGAAAAATGTCCGAAAACACAGGGCATCACAGTTTGTTTCGTGTGGAGCTGTGTATCTGCAGACCAGTCAGAGTGCCCATGATGACTTCTGTCCACCACTGAAAGCACCTTCAATGGGGACGTGAGCATCAGAACTGGACCATGGAGCAACGGACGAAAGTTGCCTGGTCTGATGAATCACGTTGTCTTTTAGATCGGGTGGATGGCCAAGTGCGTGTGCATAATTGACCTGGGGAAGAGATGGTAACATGATGCACTATGGGAAGAAGGCAGGCCGGCGGAGGCAGAGTTACGCTCTGGGTAATGTTCTGCTGGGAACCCTACACAATATTAGGCAGGTGGTTTTAAAGTTGTGGCTGATCAGTGTATAATGAGCCGTGCAAAAAATAAATACCTTTTACATTTTTTTTCTATTTAAATTATCTATATTTCTACATTTTGCCATTTTCCAAAACTTGCACAAGAAATAGTCTCTACAAAGTATTATATATCATGATCATATTGTAATTTCAGTGAAATCACAATGCAATATATAAGCAGTTCCTATAGTCCGATTATAGATTTATTATATAACAGTTTATTCACTGAAGTGTTAATTGCTGGGAATTCAGAATTAATTTCAAGTTTTAGGTCAAACTAGCTGAACTTAAAACATAACAGACTTGGAGAAATTTTATAGTCTGCCTTTTTCGGCTTGAATGTGAAATGAATCGTGAATTCCTGATCATTTGCACTTTAAATAAAAACTGTTACCTGTTATCCCTCTAACGGGTTGTAACAGCTTATTATGCAAAAAAAACAGAATGAAATCACAATACACTTCTTTGTAAATTCTGAGACAGTACCTAGCAAGGAAGTAGTCTTACTGCTTGTCATCTGAACAAGTATTGAGTAATATTGAGTAATAGCCGGACACGATTGTCAGAGCAGTCTGTTTATTACAAAACCATACAAAAGACAAGTGAATTTTTTGATCCGTTTCTTAAATATATAAAAAGCCATTTGTTCACGCAGACCATGCTAATTGCGGAGGAGATGTTGAAAAGTGTCACAGTCAGAAAACTATTTTGATATGTATGAACCGATTTACAGGAAATGCCAAATCAGCCTTATCCACATGAAAGGTTATTCCAAAAAACAGCATTTATAAATTTAATGAAAGAATAACGCTAAAACGAATTTGTGTTTTGGCACCGAGGGCAGCTGTAGCACCATTGGTCCTCTGTAGCCTGGCTTGCTGTATGTGCTGAGAACAGACGTCCAATATGCACAGAATTTACATTAGCCAGCCCACAACGCTTGTTCCTTGCCGGCTAAAGCACCCTAGTGATGCTACCGGAGGTGGAGTTACACCTTCGGCAGCAAAGGAGTGTACCTCAATCACTATGAAATGCTGTACACACAGCCTCCAAGCACCATAACCGCTTTGAATCACTGAAATGGTCATTGTGCTTGGAGTAACTCTTTAATTATTCAAGAATTTGGTTACCTAAGCCATGTGTTAACGTAATCTATTTTGAATATTTTTACTACAGTTTTCCTCCTCCATCTTACTCTGGAGTTAACACAATGTATTAACGTTATACTATTGTGTCTATTTAAGTTGAACTGTATAAAGTCCAATCGCAAGGCTTTATCAATGCCGGGAGTCTGAATTACAATCTATATGTTCAAAATGACGCCGTTATTAGAATGGCCCCGTCATCAAATATTGTATGTATGTTTCTAAAAAAAAAAATATTTAACAGAACATACAGATCGTCATTATTCTTTCCAGCACTTCTTTTTCTTAACACATTGAATCTTCCTTAACTTGCAGTGACTATGCAGTGTCTTGTGTCGGTTCATACAAGTAATTAATCTTCTCTGAAAGTCAGCGAAATATAAGAATCTGCTGACCTCACTCACTCACTGGAGCCTAATTTTTCCCTATTAGTTACTGTAACTGAGAAATTGAGAAACATGATGTGATTCTAAGATGGTCACCTACATATTGAAACACTGAAAGATCTTGAAGTGTTAATGAAGAGATAGACCTGCTATAGCTTGTTTAGATGAAGATATGAATTTGTTGAGATAATTGTTTTAAAATGACTTATGGGAATTAAAATTGTAAGGACTGTGTCACTTTAAACATCTTCTTCCAGGTTTTAACATAACTGTTACCCATAAGTTTGTAGGCCACAATGGTCAGGGTAGAACAAGGTTAATTCTAAGTCCAAGTTTTTTTTGATAGTTCACACAAATCTTCTACTAGTTTAGGTGGCAATCTCCCCATAATCGTTTCTTGGTCATTGAAAAGCTGTCTCTACCAAAGGACGTCCTAAGAGCTTGTTTGTAAAATACTTTGACCAGTTTCGGGCGTTGGTTACAAATCTTTGTACGCCTCTTTGTTCTCTTCAAACCATTGCTTGAATGTCTTGGTTTGGGGGTTGAGTTTGTGTGTGAGCTTCTCATCCCGATCAGGCTTCAACAGGTAAAATCGGAACATGTTTGCCATCTCTCCCGCTCCCGGGAATCCCAATTTTTCATACTGGTCAGGAGAAATCTGTAGGTGAGACAAACCGAGGTCTGGGTCAAGATGATCTCCACTACTTGCAGATAGCTGGGATGGTAAAGGCTACTTAATAGAAACTGCATTAAACATTGCATAAACAAACAAAAAAAAATTTGTTATTAGAAACTTTGAAAATTAGGAAGCAGGTACCTTCACTGTGTGGGGTGAATACATCTTATGATTATATTAACCGGTATCTGGATAGCATTCAGGAACTTAAATTGCTCACCTTAGCGTCTTTAATGGTCTTGCCTGTGACCTTGGACATGATGGCTGCATACTGCTCTATGGTTAGCTTCTCCGCACTAAGTCCGATATCCTTTCCGATGTATTCTGATGGGCACTTCAAAATGCTGACCACAACAGGACCCAGATCAGCCACAGATATCCCATCCATTGGGACATCACACATTGGGAGGTCTGGAATTGTGCACATTATTAATCATTTAGAAGACACCATTAATAACCAGCCACTGAACCCTTCTTCCTCAACATCATCTATAAACATATTTGTCTGACTCCTAGTTACCAAAGTATTTAACAGTTTAAAAGAAGACCCATACTTGCAAGAATTACATTGACAGAGAACATATGGATGACACCAGTATACACTGTGCTAAAACCTCACTCCTCTTCCCCCCCCATCCTCTCAAATCAGGTAAATCACAATATCCATTACAACATGATGAGCACACTCTGTAATTACCCCTACTTCGTGATGCATTTTATTGAAAATCTGATTAGTATGCCACCTTTGATTTCTCACATATTACATATACTTTGTTTGTCCTATGTAAATGTCATTAACACCGCTGAATTATACACGGCTACTCCGTAATTGAGCATTTTAATCCGTTTGTGGAATATAGATTGGTTGGAATGATTGACTTACTCAGCTCGTAGGTCTTCCCATCTGCTGATTTTCTGGGTTTGGATGTCAGGAAGTTCTCATAGTAAAATGCAAGTCTAACACTGGTCATCGGGACTCCAATGGCCCTGAAGTATTCCTCTATCTCTCCTTTGCCATCAAAATGCAAGACTTCCAGCTTGTCTCCTGTCAATTTCTTCACATTTTCCAAGCCACTATAGACCACGTGTTTGAGGTCCAGTTTTTTGGACAAATCCGCAATCAATTTGCCCTACGAAGATAAGACCTCTTTAAGAAGAAAAACAATGTTTCTGACCCAATTAAACGCTATTCTCTGTCACGAAGTACTGATGGTTTATTTGACCTTACAGACCTATTAGGGAATAGGGTTACATCAGTAGCTCATTTAATCTTATTTGCATATATATCCAGGTACAGATTACTTTAAATTCTAACCTTTTACAGATTCTGAATTTTATAATAAATTCTTAATTTTTATAATAATTTTAGTGGTTTTACATACAATTTAAAAAGCCAGAGAGGTACACTTTTTTTTAGGACCAACAGTGAGACATTTAACAACAATATACACCAAAAGTGAAGATTAAATTCTTAATTCAAGAGTGCAAATTTCACATTTTGATAAAAGTGACAAAAGTTAACATAAAACATAGTAAAGCCACTTATAGAAATTAGCATTACTACTTATTATTGTCATTTGCATAGCACCGACAACATATTCAACATTGCCTTACAATGATAGAAACTGGGTATTTAGAGGTGAAGTCCATGTTCCAAATGAGCTTACAATCTATGAGGATTTGAGTTAGGCAGATATCAGGGGTAGGCTGGCAAGGGGGGCCACTTGCATGCAGAAGTTATGGACCTTCTTCTACAGATTAAACCAGGCAGTGGACAGGATTCGTGCAAGTCTTTGCAAGTATGACTTTCTTTTTACATGACCTGCTGGCCTGGAATCTCATTGTCCTCCAGACCTAGACTGGTTCACTCTGATATCTTTCATTGGCAGCAATAGAGTCATAGGCAACAGATTCTGTGGTCCTTAGTAATTCACAGATCTCTGAGAATGTTCCATCATGGTACCCAGGTGATAATGATGGAGGTTGCAGAGATATCTGTCAAATCCAAATAGTGCATGCACTGCACGAGAAGGTAAACTAAACTTTTCTTTCTTATTGCCCCCAAGGCCTAGACTTGCCAGCCCTCTCCTGGCAGATATATATTGTTCGGAATCTTGCCCAGGGACACTTACTGGTGGAGATAGGTCTTACCTGTGCAATCTCCTTTTCTTTGCTGAAATGTTCCCAGAAATTGGTGACAATAAAAGCTCCGTAGGCTTTGCTGAGAGCAGCCTCTAAACTCTTTTTGTCATCCATGTCAGCAGCCACCACCTCTGCCCCGGCCTCTTTCAGCTTCAGGGCTGCAGGCTTACTGGTGTCCCGGGTCACAGCTCTGACAATGAAGGTACCATCCTTCAAGAGAGCTTTCGCTACCGACCCTCCTTGGGCACCTTGTGAGAAAAAGTTTATTTGGAGGGTGTGAGATCAATGAAGAGCAAGAAAATCAGAGAAATTCAATCAAGGTGAAGAGGTAGCCTCGCTGATGTAAAAACATACTGCACGGCTTGCCCTGAATAAAATAAAGGTGTTGAAACTGTAACCTAAGTAGCATTGATGGCTACGCAGTCCCATGTACTCTGAGAATATAAAAAGAGTATATTTGGGCTTGGCCCAGTCTGCTCTGATTGGCCACACCACATTCTAGTAATAAAAATTAATCCTATAATCTGTAGGAAAGCTCTTGTGAGGGAGTGACCATAAACCTGTTTTACTCAAAGAATTGTGGTTACTCTGGGAGCTAAAACTACAGAATAAAACCCTATGCTTAAAGGACCTTGGATAAGAGCCATCTTTAATGTGTAGGACACCCATGTGATACCTTGCAACAGTATTTATCATATATAGTGAGTGTTTATCAGGAGGGGGAGCTGTTTCAGGTGTACACAGTTATAGATTGAAGAACAGCTTGTTCATCATACTGCATTCATCTAAGAATAACTGACTCAATGAGTCTAAATGACAGTTTGATATACTGTTTTTAATCTATGTTTCTTTTTGCTGTCAGCAAAGCTTAATGCCCTGCATTCATTTCATTCCTGCTAAAAATTGTAACAAAAAAAACCCCACAAAAAAAAAAACATATAGATGCATAAAATTGTTCTCAAAGCAACTTATAACATAGTGTACAAATGACACTTGTAAAGCTACACTAATAAAACGCATAGGAGTTGTGTCTTTAGCAGAACTCACAATGTAAAGTTTCAGGTAAGGTTAGAACTGATCTAACTGAACCGTGGCCAGCTGGGTGGGTCCGAGTTATGGAACTCTACATGCCACTGTTTACCCACAGACTGTGCCAGGCTGCAGGGCATTCAGTCAGTGCCAAGTCACAACATGCAGTACGTGCACTCACACTCACACTGCTGTTCTCTTTGGCAGCTACTGTGTGTAAAGCCGCAATCAGTGTGCGTGAGAAATGGCACAATCAGTGTGTGCACACGCAATGTCACAATCCATGTGTAACTTCACAATCAGTTTGCGTGAGAAATGGCACAATCAGTGTGTGCACACGCAATGTCCCAATCCACGTGTAACTTCGCAATCAGTGTGTGTGCAATGTCACAATTAGTGTGTGTGCAACATCACAATCAGTGTGTGTGCAATGTCACAAATGTCACAATTAGTGTGTGTGCAACATCACAATCAGTGTGTGTGCAATGTCACAATCCATGTGTAACTTCACAATCAGTGTGTGCGCAATGTCACAATTCATGTGTATCCCACAATCAGTGTGTGCGCAATGTCACAATTCACGTGTAACCACAATCAGTGTGTGTGCAATGTCCCAATCAGTGTGTGCGCAATGTCACAGTGTGTGCGCAATGTCACAATTCATGTGTAACCACAATCAGTGTGTGTGCAATGTCACAATTCATGTGTATCTTCACAATTAGTGTGTATGCAACTTCACAATCAGTGTTTGCGCAATGCCACAATCCATGTGTAACTTCACAATCAGTGTGTGTGAAATGTAACAATCCGTGTGTGCAGCCTTTGTGTGTAGTGTTTTGTCTAGTGTTTTGTGTAGTGTTTTATGTAGTGTTGTTTTGTGTAGCATTTTGCTTCAAGTGCAGCTATTCTGGGTCACAAATTGAATTGAATTTCAGGCAAGTCTCACTTTAGTAAAAAACTCTGCATGCCTGTACAATTATACATTTAATGTGTGTAATTTCACAATCAAAGTATGTATAACGTATTAATCAATGTGTGTGTAACTGTGTAGATTTGCGATGTCTATATAACTACACAATCAGTGTGTAAATTTGTATTCAGTGTGTATAGCTACACAATCAGTGTGCGTGTAACTTATCAATCAATATGTGGCTAAACATTGTGTGTGTGTCTGCACCGTATCTATGTGTGTGTGTGTGTCTGCACCATATCTGTGTGTGTGTCTGTACCGTATCTATGTGTGTGTGTCTGCACCGTATCTGTGTGTGTGTGTGTGTGTCTGTACCGTATCTATGTGTGTCTGTGTGTGTCTGCACCGTATCTGTGTGTGTGTCTGTACCGTATTTATGTGTGTGTGTGTTTGCACCGTATCTGTGTGTGTGTGTCTGTACTGTATCTATGTGTGTCTGTACCGTATCTGTGTGTGTGTCTGTACCGTATCTATGTGTGTCTGTGTGTGTCTGCACCATATCTGTGTGTGTGTCTGTACCGTATCTATGTGTGTGTGTGTCTGTACCGTATCTATGTGTGTGTGTCTGCACCGTATCTGTGTGTGTGTGTGTCTGTACCGTATCTATGTGTGTCTGTGTGTGTTTGCACCGTATCCGTGTGTGTGTCTGTACCGTATTTATGTGTGTGTGTGTTTGCACCGTATCTGTGTGTGTGTGTCTGTACTGTATCTATGTGTGTCTGTACCGTATCTGTGTGTGTGTCTGTACCGTATCTATGTGTGTCTGTGTGTGTCTGCACCATATCTGTGTGTGTGTCTGTACCGTATCTATGTGTGTGTGTGTGTGTCTGCACCATATTTGTGTGTGTGTGTGTCTGCACTCTGCACCGTATCTGTGTGTGTGTGTATCAGCACCATATCTGTGTGTGTGTGGCTGCATGTATCTCTCTGTGTATATCTGCACCGTATCTGTGTATGTGTGTGTGGCTGCACCGTATCTGTGTATGTGTGTGTCTGCACTCTGCACAGTTTGTCTGTGTCCTAACATGACCTGCTTATCCCTGAAGCTCAAGCATTGTTTGTTTGTAGAAAGATTCACGTGTTTTGTGAAAGCTTATCCCATCTCTGGCCAAAACCTCCATCACAAACCACCCTCTGACAATGGCCGCATTCTTCTTGATATAATGCACAGGCAATACTACTTGCTGGCAAAGCATCAAGAGAGTTGCAGTCCTGCAGCAGCTGGGGGTAGATAGTGTTATAAACCATTCCCCCACCTCTCCATTGTGTCCCCACGTTTCTATAAGTTGCTCTGTGCGTCCTTCTTACCTGTGGCTCCAAACACGGTGATGATCCTCTTCATGTTAATGCTAGGTGCAGTGACAGCGTCTTGGAATTTCGGGCTCGGTTGATGTGTAGGAATGAGGAACACGGTGCAGACTGACTGCTTTTATAAGACCGCCCCGCACCCTGTAAGGTCTACATCACTCTGACTCAGCAGAGCAAATTATATTCATTATGAAAGGGCTGGGTGTCAGCTCTGCTAAAATAAACACTGTTTATTTAGAAGGGGTGCGCGATTAGAGATCACTTTTACTAAAATTTGCACAAATATTTCCTAAGCTCTAAAAGCGTAGCTTCCATTAGTTGTGGGACTGGGCTCTGTGGGATCCAGATTTTGAAAACATTTTTTTTTTTAAATCACACAAACAACTGACTTTTTGTATCAGCTTATAGATAAATCTCACTAGTGTCACTTTAAGAGTTCAAGAAGGATGTTTATCTCAGAGCCAGGGAACGCTAGTTACATAATCACATTTAAAAAAAAAAATCTATATTTTTCTCAATTCACTGACACGAGAAAACACATGGTTGTACAATCATCGGCATTGGGGATAAACAATAGTGTGTGGTACGACTCTTGAACAAAAAACACCTTAAAGACACAGTCAGAGAACTGAGGGTTTTTTATGTTTTACAAAAGATTGAGCCAATATCATTAAGGTCTGATCTGAAAATAAGAAAAGGTTCTCTTGGTCACCCCCATGGTGCACTGCGTAAGGCAGTACTAGACCTTGCAAGGTGGAGACAGTCAGCGAACTGGGGAGAGGATGGGAATTTGTAATGTGCTAAAAGCTGAACCCAATACCTCAGAATCTGTAATAAACTTTGCTTGTAGGTTGGTAACCCTAGGTCCAGAGGCTGTGAACCAAGGGGAACTTACGCCTTATGTTGTCAGAGAGCTTTAATATCACTGTCAGACATAGAACTGAGGTGTGGTGGGGGAGGAGGATGAAGCAATGCACTCTTTGCATTTGGAATAAAAACTGAAATAGAAAAATTATATGTAAAGAACATTAAACTATCTATATGAAGCCTCAAGTAGTGGCCTCTCCATAAGCGTCCGACGTGCACCGCTGAGGAATGAACAGTGTGACGTTCACAGGGTCCCATCTGTGAGACTTTGCAGTAGCCAGTGCCACTTGTGGACCATTTATTTGTAAAGCATCCTGTGGGAGGCCAAGGGTCTCCAGAATAGCAGCCACTCTATGCATATTATAAATGGGGTAGGATGAATCCCCATTCAGAACTATGAGGGTGTGCGATAAGCGCCATCTGTAGCAGATATTGTTGTTCTAAAGGAGTGCAGTGAAAGATTTCCAAGATCTCCTCCATAGAAGAGTGCCCAAAGAGAGATCGGCATAAAAGTTAAGTGCCATATTTTCAAATGTATATGGAGAAGTCCACCTAAGAGCTGCCTGCACCGCAGCTTTGCCACTGCTACGCTGAAAATGCACCACCAGATCTCTAGGTACCGTGTCCAGAGTGCACCTAGGCTCAGGCGTCTGGAACCAACCTAGCCAGTAAGTCTGCTCTTTCTCTGCTCAAAGATAGAGGAGTCGGAGTATTCATCTAGCTCCACGGCCATTTTTGGCCCTAACTCGCAATACGCCTCTCTGAGAAGATCACCGATATGCATCCCCGATCTGGGTTTGTGTAACTTTTGCTTTTTAGCTTTGTTGCCCATGTCAGCCTGGACTGTGTCAGAACACAAATATGGGCTTTAATAGTGTTTCATAATTACTTAAAACAGCGAATTGTCATGGAGCTCTGAGATTGTGCATCTGACCGATTAAGCCGCTCTGCGTAATGACAATTTTTGCCAGCTTCCCTTAAAACACAGTCCGCATGTGAATTCCTTAGGCTCACTCTGTTAAAGTGCCAACTTACCCAACAACCGTTATTCATTGAGGAAGATATTAATAAAATAGTGGGAACTAGGGGGCGGGCCTGACTGCATTGGCGTGTTTTCTAAGAGCTCCTGGGGAGAAACACCACAGATCTCACATTTTGGCGGATTTAACTGCAGTTGACAGCGATTGATCTGATTACCGCAACAGACCGGTCTGGGAGTGCTTCTGGCGGTCTATAAGCTTGATCCGGCAGCTGTTCCACAATTGAGGCCTAGCTGGCACTGAGAAAGGGAGAGGCAGCCGCTCTCCTGAACTGGCGCAGGCAGGGCTTGTCAGAATGAAGTGGGTGCCCCGTAACCCCACCCTCTAGACCAGCGGGGGTGATCCCGGTTCCCACCCTGAATGCTCCCCTACCATTATAGGGCTGCGTGTCAGTGTGCAGATACTCACGGCTCAGACGGCAGTGCTTGCAAGATGGCGGACACCACATGTTCCCTAAACTCCATGGGTGAAGCGCCTAACATCTTACAACGGCTGGATGCCCTATTTGAAGCCTTCTGGGAAAAGCTGACAGCCACGATGTCGCTGCCAGTTCCTGAGATCAAACCGCCTTCACACCTGGTGCGACGCACACAACGCTGACAACCCCGCGACAGAGGCCCTTTTGGAACATCTCACGAAAAGTTAAGGGCAGATCAGTATCGGCTCTGCATACTCTTCCAGCATGCAAGGGGAGACAGAGGAGATAAGCTAACTGGAGAGGGCTAGCACCTACTCATAAGGGAACCACAGCTGATGCCCCTCACATGAGACCTATATGAGGCAACCCTGGCTGGGATAGCCTCATCTCCATCACAGGAATAGGCTGACCGTAAGACTTGAACTCATGCTGCTTGTGCACACACAGCCTATAGATACCCTGTACAGATCACTTAATGTTAAGATACTCTGTGTTTTATCCCATCTTGCCCAGAAGAAAGCTGTCCTAATGCTACATTTAATGTTTAGTCCCTTCATGTTCCTGGAGCTGCCTGGGGTGGTACACCATAGTCATGTGTTTTTTAACAAAAAATCCAGCATACTTATCCCATCACTGTTTCTCCATGCACATTAAACCTGTCTACTTCATTGTTGTCTATTCATGCACGTTTAACCTGTTTACCATACAAAAACAAACAAAAAAAAACGGTGCTCTTACTCTAGTATGCCATGACAATAATTGTTTCTCCTGTGCTTGCTACTGCTGTTCTGACACGGCAAGATTTATGTTATCTGTATTCTCGTGCACAGAAAAATAAAGAATTATTTTAAAAAATAGTGTGACCGTGAGAATTTTACCTTTGTCATGTTTGCTACACTATTTTTTTGTTTGTTTTTTTTAAATTATGCCGTGTCATACATAACTAAGGTTGTTCTCATACCTGTATTTCTGGCTCAGGTAAATAGAATGGATACCCCCGCCTCTTTTCCCCTCCCCAGTTTAATTTAGTTTTTTTGTTTAATTCTGGTTTTACTAATTACCAATATACTTTGTTCATTTAACATAATTTCATATTGATGAAAGAAGAAAAAAGTCACAAACCAACAATTTATGGCACATTATAAGGCTATGTTCCCAATTTTTTATATTACCATTTCGCTGTGATATGTACCTTATGTCTTGATCATAATCCTGTTGAAAATGTGTTAGTTTTGTGTACTGTGATTTCTTTTTGTGAATATCAACGTATATTGTGTTGTTTGTTAATTGAATATATTCTATTTTTGTATTTACTTAAAAAATCTTTTTCAATAAAAAATATTTGAAATGAACTATTAACCTGATGTAGCAATAGAGTCAGTGTGAGTGCATATTTGTGTGCATATGTGTGTGTCTCCAGTCATTGTGTGTGTGTGTGTCTGCTTTCTGTGTGGGTGTGCAGTCAGTGGGTGTGTGTGTGTGTGTCTGCTTTCTGTGTGGGTGTGCAGTCAGTGGGTGTGCAGTCAGTGGGTGGGCAGTCAATGGGTGTGCAGTCAGTGGGTGTGCAGTCAATGGGTGTGCAGTCAGTGGGTGTGCAGTCAGTGGGTGTGCAGTCAGTGGGTGGGCAGTCAGTGGGTGTGCAGTCAGTGGGTGTGCAGTCAGTGGGTGTGCAGTCAGTGGGTGTGCAGTCAGTGGGTGTGCAGTCAGTGGGTGTGCAGTCAGTGGGTGGGCAGTCAGTGGGTGTGCAGTCAGTGGGTGTGCAGTCAGTGGGTGGGCAGTCAGTGGGTGGGCAGTCAGTGGGTGGGCAGTCAGTGGGTGTTCTCACATAACACGTCTCTATGAGGACCTTTTCATATAGAGGAAAGTGATTTTGTTTTTGAAAAGCTTCATGACCTGGCTGAGTGTGTTGGTCACAACCCAAATATCCTGTAATACAATAGACCAGCCAAACATGAACCTTTGTTGTGTGATCACTCACGAGTTCTATGTGGATGGCATCTAACACTTTATCATTACATTTAATTATTTTTTTCTTTTCCAATTATGTGTATTGACTTCCTCCAGTACAAAAAACTGCCAAAAATCCACATATTCTTCCTTCAAATATTTACATGTACAGTGTTTTCTTTACAAGCATTGAGTTTTACAAAGTATCTAACAAATGCTCAGCCCGCAATGATGACAGACATATCTTTATTACAGAACTTTTCATAATTCAAGTGGGGCTTATTCAAATACATTTTAAGGCCCAAATGTCCGAAACAGGATATAGAGGTGTTTGAGATTTTTTTTCTATTCAGGGAGATTTCCAGTAATGTAAAAATAGTAGATGATTAAGTAAGTAATTAAAATAAAAACAACAACAACAACATTCTTTACAAGTCCTCATAAGCTGCTTTGTTTTCTTCCAACCATTGCTGGAATGTCTTGACTCTAGGGTTCAGTTCATGTGTGATCGACACATCCCGTTCGGGCTTCATTATATAAAACCGGAACATGTTGGCCATCTGTTTAGCTGCTGTGATGTCCAACTTCTCATACTCTTCAGGAGAAAGCTGTAGGAGATACAAGCAATATTTTTACCTGAATATTCCCTGATAATTGTTAAAACTTTAATAAGTAGCTTTATCATAGTAAGAACCTTAACTCCTTAAGGACCAAACTTCTGGGATAAAAGAGAATCATGACATGTCATACATGTCATGGGTCCTTAGGGGGTTAATCTGTGCCAAAAATTGGAATAACTGCTATTGTGCTGTAAGTGATTACAATCAACGGGAGCCGTTCTACGGTTAGAGCGTTGTTGGAACTGTTACAGAATTGGTAATTGACTTCTGTCTCATGCATGAGCTGAAAGGAACATTTGGTCGTATGACAAAAATTTGGAATAGGTATACAATGATAAATTGTACTTTTCACATTAACAGCTTTGAGTCTTTGTATTCTAGTTTTCAATATATTAGTGCTCACCTTAGCATCTTTAATGGTCTTGCCCGTGACCTTGGACATTATGGCTGCATACTGCTCCACCGTTAGCTTCTCCGCACTGAGCCCGATGTCTTTCCCAATATACTTTGATGGGCACTTCAGGATACTGACCACCACTTGACCAAGATCTGCGACAGACATCCCATCCAATGGAACATCACACATTGGGAGGCCTGTAATCATATACTTGGTGAATCGCATCTTTAGATGAAAATACAAACTTATCTCGGTCTTTATGCAATTTTCTTGAAGTGGCCCTGGCATTAGAATTATTATTTGCAATATCATAGAGCTTGATAAAAGCTATATTGGTAATTTTTAAATTTCTTCAGTAGTTTATTTGCTTTTGATAAAAGTTGAACTAACTTAGAGTAACTTTATCTATGTGATAAAATGCTTAACTGCAGAAATCCCATTTTGGTATTGGCTGCTGGGATCACATGTCCCAATGGGTTTAAAAATTGTGATGCAGTTCAAGAGATATCTTACACAGATGATAGGTTGACCCATCCATCGACTTTTTGGGCTTGGATGTCAGAAGGTTCTCGTAGTAATAGGGAAGTCTAACACTGGTCATTGGGACTTCAATTGCTCTGAAGTATTCCACCGTCTCGCCTTTGCTGTCAAAATGGAGAACTTCCAGCTTTCCACCTGTCAGTTTCTTCACATTCTCTAAACCACTGAAGACAACATGTTTAAGGCCCAGATGTTTTGACAAATCTGCAATCATTTTGCCCTAAAAAATAAAATGAGAGTTATTTTTACAATTTCTCTGTTGATTGAGGTCAGTTCTCAACGTAACAACTGCAGCGAAAATTCCAGATCCACCATTACCTAAACAAGGAAATTCTCACTCAAAACCTATTTGGACGATACTTTTTATAATTAGGACTGAAGTGGCTGTAGGTTCTATGTCGTTGTTGAAAACTAGAGAAATATAAATGCATCCTTGCGGGTAAATTGCTTTGATAATTCTTATTAAAGATCTAAGATAAGCGTATATGCTGAGCTAAAATTATAATACAAAAACATGGAATGAAGAATGAGACTTTTTTGTGTAGTGTATAATGGTGGGTGTCGGCGGGATTGGGGATGTTTATTGAGTAAACACATCAAATTAATACTTTATAATTGGACTAAAATAATATTGTTAAGTTTTTACCTGTTTGAACTCCTTATCCTTCTTGGAATTATCCCAAACCGTGACTATAAAAGCTCCATAAGCGCCACTAAGGGCAGCTTCCAGACTCTCTTTATTGTCCATTTCAGCAGACACCACCTCTGCCCCGGCCTGTCTCAGCTTTACGGCTGCCGGCTTACTGGTGTCCCGGGTCACAGCTCTGACATTGAAGGTACCATCCTCCAAGAGAGCTTTCACTACCGAACCCCCTTGGGCACCTTAAAAAAAAAAGTACAAATGTGAGAGTTTGAGATGAAGGACGATTTACAACCCTAGCAACAAAAATTTAAAGAAATCGAAAAACAAATGAGTTTATAAACTAATCTGTGGTAAGCAATTACTTAACAATTGTACCATTTAAAAGAAAAAAAAATGTATTGCTCCCCCTGTTATTGGAAGCAGGCCAAGCCTATTTTTTTTATTCGTGTGTGATAATGATAATAAGGGTATATATAGAGAAGAGGCTGTTAGCTATGCACTATTGTTTTACAGATAGGTTAGCATGACTTGACTTCATTAAGTGTGGAATCCGTAGACGATATCTGAATTGGTTTAATTATACATTTTTCTTTTTAATGGTTTTTGTTTTATTTTATTTTTTAATGGTGAAATATAGAAAGTTTAATTATGAGTATTTTCACAAGATTTTGCATATTGTAATCCCATTTTTTATTACCAGCTTTAAAAATAAAGAATTAGAAGAAGAAAAAAAAAACAATTGCACCATGCATCTCTTTCAGCTGACAATTTTACTTGGGAGATTTTTTATGTAGCAGGATTTAATAGATAACGATAAAAACTTTCCCAATGAATAATCTTAATACACTCAAGTGTCTCCTTCTTCCCTATATAGTAGAAAATAATAGAGCATCGTTATTACAATAACTAAATATAAGGTACAAACATGTTCTGTGGCGCTGTACAATGAGCCAACCCTGAGCCTTATATTTTATAGTATTTAGAAAATTGGGTGGACTAGATGGGCCGAATGGTTCTTATCTGCCGTCACATTCTATGTTTCTATCCCTTTATTGGGGCTTCATCAGAGTTGCAACATTTCAACACTCCACAAATCTTCAAGATGCAAGAAGTTCTGTATTTGCTAGTTTTGGATTGTTTATTTCCAAGTTAAAGCAGAATAGATATACTTGCTTTGTCTGAAATTTTCTTTTTTTTTAATGTATCCTTACTACATGGACAACTGCTACTATCCATTGCTGGAGAGAACGGAGAAGACCCAAGTTACGATGGTCCATGGGTTAGGCTTGTATAAGTGTGCTAATGACATTTAATAAAGCTATATTGATATGATAGGGCAAATGCCATCAAGGCTCCCAGCCAAGAGTTCAAAAATCTGCATTTACTAAGAAGACATGTTGAAAATGGAGATACGAAGAGAAGGGCATGCCAGGGTCATCTAGAAGATGATTGAATAGGGCGCACATATTGGGTGCCAAACAAAATCTAGATTAAAATGTAGCTATAACACATTTTGCTGGATTAGGTGTGCCAGTAAAAGTAAACCAACCTGGGTGGGGCAAGAAGAAAAGAAAGTTCAATATCTTCCTTGCCAAAAACGCACGCAGGTAAAGCAGCTTTGCAAAGGAGAAACCTTAAAGTTAAAGCACATCTCCGCAAAAAGCAAATCCCAATAAAACAAATATGGGCAAAAAAAATAAAGCAAGAGATAATCTAATGAAGGTTCTGCACAGTTAAGGAATTCAGGAGTTTTTAGAAAGTGGACATAAAAAGGAATTTCTTGTAAGTTTATATCGTTTTGGTGAAACGTGAAATTAGTTCTAGTGAGGTCATTTAGATTCTAAATAATCTAACAAAGCATTCACTCAAGTGTGTTAGAGTTACTCCACACATAACGACCACTAAGGCCGGCTGTAGTTGTTATGGTGCAGGCCATTTTGCAACAGTTTTCCCTTTTACCTGGGTCTTTGCCGTGCCACTGGTCTCCTCTGCTACCGAGGGATTGACAGTCTTCTGCTGTTGTGTTGAAGCCAGATGCCGTACCCCACTGGCCAGGAGCGTCAGCCGATTGCTACTAGTAAAACCTCAACTGTATGATAACTACACCCACCCCAGTCAAAGCATGGAGAACTTTGTCACTTCGATTCCGCTTAGTCAATAAAGGAGATTCTGTGTATCGGAATATGAACAGAACGGACATTCGCCAACTCTAGTTGCAGGACGGCTAATTACACCCCAATGATACTGCACCTCCAGCAGTAATTGGGTTAAACTACGTGTAGCATTTCACAATGAAACACGGCACACAGGCACCATGACCACTTCAAATCACTGAAGTCAGATTTCAGGGTTTGGAATGAGCCTTTAACTTCGGTCCCCAGCATTCGCTCAGTTGTGTTAAATCTGCCCCCACCTTTCCCATAATCCTCTCCTGGAATACCACTTACCTGTGGCTCCAAACACCGTGATGATCTTCTTCATAACGACGGATGCAGGGAGAGTGGCTGGCAGCAAAGAGTTAGGCAGATGTAATCTGAATAAAACGTACGGCAGGGATTATACGGTTTTATCAAACTGAACAATGCATCACTCCTCCTTCTCGTGTAGGAGCCAGCACTCTGACTCAGCACAAAAAAACCCCACAGAGGAAACAAGGGTTTGTCAAAATCTGGAGAAATGTATCAACTAACTCTGGTATAAGATTCGTTCTATAGTTATTTATAATACAACCAGTTCCCTCAATAAGAAGGTAGTTAGGGGGCTCCTTGTGTGGGAGGTGTTAGTTTATGGGTACATGTTAAGTGGAAGGTGATAACTGGGAGCACACGTTGAGAATAAAGTGATAACTATAGGTACATGTTGACAGATTAGGTAAAAACCAGGGGGAGGGGGTGCACATTCAACAAAAAGTAATAAGTAACTTTAATGCCAACAACAGCCTTTCGCACTGAGCAAGTCTCATTCATTCTATTTGAGAGCTTTGGGAGGTCCACTCAGACACAACACCATAACCACTACACGCATGTGTGTAGGCTAGAGTCAGTCTATATTCTGAGCAGCAAAGCTGGTCAGGTCTATACACAGGGAGTGAGTCATTAGCAAAATAAAAAGGCTTTGTAAAAACTATTTCTCCACTGCACCTTGATGGCTTAACTCCTTATCCTAAGTCTATTCTGTGCCAACTGACTCCAACTCAACCTTCAGTGTGCAAACCCCAGTAATCTGACACTGAACACACCAACTGGTCTATCAAATTTAAACCAAAATAGTTTGTGAAGGCAGGTTGGGTGTGGTTAATATGACTTTTCTTATATACACGGCTTGCCTCCAAGTTGTGGGCTCTCTTTTGGCCAGGAGTCAAATTTTCCCCTTGCCCACTAGCCATTAGAGTGACAACTCAACCCTGGCAAGAAGTTCACCTCTTGTATGTGTGTCATGGTGAGTAACTTTTAGGCCAGTCTAATACCTTGAAAGTCACCTATAGCTTGTGTCAACCTTTTGAGCACAAGGCTGAATTTTCTTTGAAATGTTATAAAGCAACTGGCATACCAATCTAGTATAGTTCAGGCACAGCCATGGCACATTATGCAAATGATTAAAACCATTGTTTCATTTGTTTGCTTTCCTGCATGCACTGTGCTTCTGTGTCCATTCAAAGGCTACAGATTGCAACCCAATGAAAGCCGGTTAACTTCCAAGTATAATCAATTTACTACAAAGTAGGTGACCAATGCATTTCACAAACTTAGGATGGAATTATTCAATGGCATAATGCATGTTTTTAAAATTAATTTACAGTATGAACTATAGCATCATCATATTTCATTGATCCAGTCCACAAACATTTTGAAGTTGAAATTTCTTTAGGGTATGGAGAGAACTAGACATAAAAATAAAAATATATCACATATATACAAGTCCATTCATTATTTTATTGATCTTCCAGTTATTTTATCTATTTTTGTGCAGGAGACAAGCATAGCAGATTCCACATTTGCAAAGTAATAAACAACTCACAGAAGCTAGAGAATATTAGATTTATTACAAAATAAAGAATGTGTCTGTTTAGCATGTTCGATACAGTAAACCGTCTTTGACTAAGCTTTTAATTCAGTCCATTTATAGAAGATTACAATTGATGGTCCATGGACGGATCATGGATGTAGTGTTTATGAAATGTGACTTGGCGTAAACAGCAGTCATTGGTTACAAGTCTTTGAATGCAGCCTTGTTCTCCTCGGCCCATTGCTGAAACCTTTTGGCTTTAGGGTTCAGTTTCAATGTGAGAGACACGTCACGGTCGGGTATCATCTGGTAAAAACGGAACATGTTTGCCAACTCAGCTGCTCCAGGGAATCCCATCTTTTCATATGCAACAGGAGAAACCTGTATGAGAGACATGCAAGGTATGTATTAAGATCTTCCCAGCTACACCGTTACACCCTAATTGAAATGAATGTCTAGTTAAAGGAACACTATATTGTCAGGAACACAAACATGTACTCCTAACCCTATAGTTTTAAAGACACAATCTATGGATAATGCACAAACAGTGTGCAAGAGCACCAGTTCAGGATAGTCCCATTAGTCGAGAGCGGGATTTCCCCTTAATGCATATGGCATGCGCAAGCCCCATAAACCGCAAAATTAAAAAGTTATACCTTAATAAATTGTTTGATACATTAGATAATGTTGTTGATGTGTCTCCATTTGGTAAGTGGGAGAGGGATATGGGGAAATCCCTCCCACTTAAAGAATGGACAAATGCTACAATGTTAGTAAAACAAAGTATACACAATATATCCTTACTTGAAACGCACTTGAAGATTATCTATAGGTGGTATATGGTCCCGGTTAGACTTCATAAAATATCTCCATCTTATTCAAAAGAATGTTGGAGATGTAAAAGAGAAGAGGGCACTATGCTACATATATGGTGGGCCTGTTCGGGCCTGAATAACATCAAAACTCAAATGTTAGATTTAATGAAAAGTATCTTTAAGGAGGTAGCAATTAGCCCTGAAATGTTTCTGTTCAATATGGACTATAAAACAAATGATAAACAACAAAAATATATTATGACACATATATTTTTGGCAATAAAAATTAATATCGCCAGAGCATGGAAATCTCCTAACCCACCACTTTGGCAAGAAATAATGGAGCAAATAAGGTTTCAATATAAGATGGAATCTCTAACTAAGGAACTGAAAGAGCTTTGGATACCCTGGACCTCCAAATTCCCTATATAATATATCATAACGAGTTGTCTGACACCCACCCCTCACCGAGTCTCATATAAATGTTATATTTTTTTTTTTTTTTTTCCGTGTATGTTTTGTTGCTGTGAACAATAAGTAATGCTAATGCTATAATGTTTCAGAAGATTAAATAATTATATATCATTGTAGTAATACTAAGGAAGTAATATTGATATTTATAAAATCAGTATAATAACTGTCTATTTGACTATGTACAAAAGGAAAGGAAAACATTGATAAATAAAATAAATATTAAAAAAAAAAAAAGTTATACCTGGAACGAAGTGCCTCAGCTGCCTGATGGACACTCCTAGTGGGCAGTCTTTTTTCTACAAGCTGCAGCAGTTATTAGCCAGTCTCAAAAAGGAGACTGGGCTGATGATAATTTAAGCATGCATTTTCAAATAATGTGAAGTAGTTATGGTACTTACCACTAGATGTATTTTTTCTTCAGCCCCAAAAAAGGCTAAATAAAAACCCATAAGGTCAAACGGTGGGGGCTGGGGGGAATACTGTCCCACAGTTAATTTTATTTTAATAGCACCCCCTGCTCACAAGGTACAAGTGTTGTCATGGGGGTTGCAATATGTCCCTCCCCCCAATAAGTTGTAGGAGGTGTCCCACCATGGGGTCCTGGGGGACCTGTGTCAGGTCCCCATTTACTGGATTAGCAATTAGGCTGCAATAGCTGCCAAGTAGCTAGTCTTTAGGACAGCAAGCAGCTACTGACTTCACTATTTAGTAGACATGTCCTTGCTCAAAGCATGGCAGGTAGGGGCAGGAGGGAGGAATTTAACTCCCTTATTTAGCAACAACAAGTATTTTTGCGCTTTCAGTTTCTTAGTAGATAGCTCCTTAAGCCTTCTGGGATTACCATGAGGATATCAAGAAATGTGCTATCTACTAAATTGCTCCCTAATTTGGTACCCTTCTATATGGCAATCCCACCTTAGGGGGCAAGATGCAGCCGTGGCACGGATCAGTATGTCATTCATCCAAATGAAATCCGTAACAAAAATAATGACCGTATTTACTTCCAAAAACAAAAAACTAGGGGGGCGGGGCCTGACCGCTGAGCTGAGTGGATGCTTGTAGACACAGCTCCTGCTTTTACTGGCAAATAAAGCAAAAAAACGTCAAACTACAGCGGGTGCACGACACACAAGGGCCACCAAGCCACTGGTGACACTTGGGTGATCCAACAGGTACCAAACATGCCACATCTGAAGCGAGACTCACCCGAGCACTGTATGCGGCCTACAAGCATGGCCGGCGCGGAGGAGACGGCCGCTCCTCTGACGCCACTCACGACTGGACTCCCGATACTAGGCCCTCGTTCCCCCCCCTATGGGCCGGTGGGGGTCATCCCGGTCTCAGGAGAACAACCCTGCAACTCGCAGTTCCAAAGAAGATGGATGCTTGCTGCACCAAAGATGGCGGTGGTCACAGACAGACCTACTCAAACTGTGCACACCCGATCGATACTCACACAGCTGGATGCTGTCTTTGCAGCCTTCTGGCTCCGCATCGAGGAGAGACGTCAGTGGGGAACCCCGCTCCCACAACATGCCTCACCTGCTGTACCAGAACCACCTTTGACTCAGCCACTCCGGAGTCCCCTGCATTGCCCTCGGCACAGAGACTTTGCTCACAGCATGCAACGACCTCAATGGCGCCAGAGGCACCCGCGTTGTAGCACAAATGTCAGAGTCAAACATGCCAAATCAATCAACCTCAAGCAAAGACAGGAGAATCAGAGGAGGAGAGCGACGCAACCGCAGCCAGAGGGCCACGTACCTTGGCGGCAAATGCGAAGCCCACAGCAGAAACCCAAGATGCCGACAGCACAAAAGGCATCACAGTGGCGACGGGAAGGAAAGCACCCAGCTCAAGCTTCAGCAAGGTGGCAAACCAAGAGGCGCACACCGCCCCAACAGAGGAGGCAGAGGCTCCTTGGTATACTTCACCAGGGATCCCAAGCATCATGGATAACCCTGACCCGGCAAACTGACACCTCATCTGTCAGTTCCTGGGTCCAGAGGCCTGAAAAACCTAACCACACGCCAGCTCCTGACTCCACAAGCAGACCGGCTCCATCTGACAGCGATCGGACCCAGAGGCTTGCTATGCATTTCCAGGCTGCAGGAATGTAGGGCTCCTCTGGCAGGCATGGGCTGAGTGAACTCTCGGACTGAGCAAGGGGGAACTTAACCCCACTAGCTTCTCCTGCACACATCGATCACAGGGAGAGCAACGCAAGTTAACTATAATTGTCTCTTATCTTATCCAGCTCTATT